TGAGTGATTCTATCTATGCCAAATGTGACATGTACATTTCTCCTTTGTGAGACCAAAAAAGTTTATCTTATCTTAACTTACCTTAACCATTTATGATCTCTAGCCTTTTTTTCTGTTCTCACAATGCAGGTGAAATAATATGCCATCCAAAGCACATCCTCAATGTTACATATAAAAGTATCTACACTTGTTTCACTTGTGTATGTATGTAGATGCAACTGCTCCTCCAATGTGTAAAAATTGCCAAGTGAAACAATCTTGATTTTTTTTTCAAATCTGATCTCAATATTTGTCATAAAAAGCAAAGTGGTCCCACATAGCTATAATTACCCTGACACTGTTTGTTCTACATGTATTTTTCTCTTAAATAGTCGCTCAAAGGTGATTCATCTTGGGAGGCAGCCCACGCAGAATCCCAAGAGCCAGCTCCCGTAGCCTGATGTCCTACAATTATAGCTCTAAAACGCCTCAGGGAAACATTAACCAGCGATGTGCCATAATAACACTTCATATTATCATTTGAAAGTTCACAGTTTATTTTACAGTATTTTGATGAATACGGTAATCATCTGGATATCATCTTAGATTTACTTCAACCCTTGTTTTTCATAAAGTTTTCAGAGGGTTCTCAAACCTTCCAGACAGGGCCACCCAAAATAATGGAAAAATAATGGAAAAAAAATGTCATTGCAAGACAAAAATAAAAATAAAAACAAATGGAATGAGCTCAATACATTATGCAAACTAAATATTGTAATAATAATCCTCCATAATCTCAAATCATGTTTTTTTTTTTTTTTTTTTTTTAATGATCTATTTTTTGGGCGGTTACTAATCTCACTGCATCATAAATACACCACCATACTATAAGTATTTTCTACAATGATCAAAGCATGTTAAGAATATATACTTTGGTCCAGTTACTGTTAACCTGTGAAATGATTAGAGTTCCCTCGCTCTACCAGAAAACCTCTGAAGTGTAAAGTCTTCTCACCGATCCATCCCGGTTTGCAGGACGGCTTGACCGTGACCACCACCTGCGCGTCGGCTTGAGCGCGGTTCTTCCCACAATCGAAGGCAGTCACCCAGAAAGTGTGAACACGCTGCCGCTTTGAGTCCAAGGGCTCTGTGTTTTTGATGTTACCTAAAAGAACAGATGGACAAAGACTCAGACAAGCACAGAAAATAAGCATGTATTCAGAGATTGTTTGGCGTCTCCGCATTGCAAGCGAGGCTGAGAAATTAGACAGGAATGATTTGAAAGTGCGCTTTGAATGGTAGCAATTAGTAAAATCACAAAGGATGCACTTACTGTACAAATTCAATATACGGTTCACTCGGGCAAACCAAATATGCTGTCGCCATGGAGTCCTTTATGTGTCGCAGCTGCTAACCTTGTAGTTTAGACCAATGTTCTGAAAGGTGTGAGATTTTTGCAATAGCTTTTTTCAGTATTTGCTGAAAAGACAGGACATATTTTTCTTTCTTCAGCCCGATATGCTTTCTGGCTTTTGCAGACACGGACTAAGCTCATAACGTTTCAGTTTCACTTTAGTTTATTTCAAAGGCGACAATGCAATTTAATAAAACACACGATTAAACAGGAGTTTAAAAAGCCAGAATTACCCAAGGAGGCTATTTTTCATCTGTAGTCCCCTGGTCGTGATGTTAAAAAGCCATTAAAATACACGTCTTTCACATTCACAAGGATTCGAAGTAGATTTGAATTACATACTAATTGTTTTATGGTTTGAAAGTGAGGTAACCCAGCTTTAATTCAATTAGATCTTGCAGGGACAGAATGTAATGCCACTTGTGTTTTGGAAGAAAAACCAAAGGAAGTGAACTAATAATAAGAGAATCAATAAGTGTTCACCTTCATCCCACTCCTTTTCAAGTAGCAATGAATTTTCTTTGTTTTACAATCAGTATAAACACAAATCTCCCAAATATTAAAATGCTTTGTTGTTATTCGCACTGATCACAAACAGAATTATTTTTACTATAATAACTGTGGGATTACAATGGATCTAGACATGCAGCTCCAGACAACAAGAGCTCCAGACCAGTTGCTCTTCACAATTTGGGTCAATCGATCAACACCTGAAATTAGGGGTTTACAGTTCGACTAGAACAATTGATTTAAAGCTACAAAGCCATGTATACAATGTCCTCGGTGTCCATGTAAAAGCTTTCTTTGACACCTATTGATTTAGATTTTTTTTGTAAATGCATTACTCACGCAGAACAATTGAGATAGAAATTAGTTTGCTGCCATTTGGTTAAAAACTGCAGCAGTGCCACACCAGGCGGACACATCTCAGGAAAGATAATGCTTCCAAAAGCATGCAGCTGGATTGATATCTACACTGGAATTAAATATGAATATGGTTTGTAATGCACCACACACTCACAATGAAGATGGAAAATTGAAATAATCCTATCCTAAGAAGTGGAGCAGGGGGAAGTGAACTTCTAAATGAAATACTCCATACATACAATACAATAACAGAATGTTTTGTCTCTGTTTGTTTGTTGTGTTTGGATCAATAATGAACTGTAAGTATATTCTAATAATAATGCAGAACAAAGTACAAACATGGAGACATCGCTCTGGACACAACTTCAAAAGCATAAGTGATTGGAGGAAACAAGTCGGTGAAGTGATTGCGGTTATAAACAGGATGTGTTTAAACTGGGCCTATAAAATGTTACTGCTAATTGCGGGCAGTGGCTCAGTCAGTTCAGTCGGTGATAGAGCGTTAGTACTCTGAGTTAAATATTGATGGCTCAGTCAAAACGTTACTGTTGTGTCCTTGGGCATGGCACTCATTCCCCTCTTTGCCTTAATGAAAAATGTGGTTATTGAGACGTTCATTAAGACTGCCTGCATTTATAGGAAGAGTATGGACTATGCTATACTCCTTAGAAAAAAAACCTTGGAACAGTAATTGCTTTTAAAATTGTTTTCATACATCCAGTGACAACACATCTTTAGAATCAAAGTGAAGGAACTTGTTAACTGTGAACGTTTGATACTCAAAACACTTGCTTTCAACAGTGAAATTAATGCATACATTTGCATTTTTTTCAGTGAAATTGTCGTTCTCTCTTTTCTTAGTAAAACAAACAGTGGCACATGTGGTGCAGGGTCTACATCATTACAGTGATCAAAATGGTTGAGTCGTCGATATCATCCAAAGATGTCCATTTTTATTGTTAGCCTGCTTATTCCTGTTCCCTTAAATTTATCAGTCTGTCTGGTCTCAGTAGGATCACACACAAAAGATATTCTGTAGCCCACACTTGACATCAAAGTTTACTGTTGGCGCGGCTCCCACTGAGAGCCTGGGCTGCTCTGTTTCTTATTTATTATATAGATTATTTTTTGGGAGGATAAGCCCATGAGATGATGCATCTTGTTTTCAAGGGGGTCCTCACTCATATTTATACATAATTAAATAATTTTAAAGCAAATGTTATCAAGAAACAAAGTACAGTATGTTTTATATCATAGAGGAAGAACCCTAAATGCATTAAATTTTAACAAAAATTAAATGATAAATCAGCAATATAAGTCTACAATATAGGATACCTTCATTCTTTAGTTCAATGCAACTGCAGTGGTTTACTTCTATACACAGTACATCTGCATGACAAATCAGTTTTCTCTATTGTTCAGAAAAACTTATTACTTTTACACACTTGATAACGATTTCCCAAAATGTTAACAGTAACTTTATGTTCTGACAGCACTCACTGACAAACAACAGAAGATTTTGTAACACGTGGAGAGAGGATGAAAGAATAACAGGAGCAGACAACAGACGATAGACAAAAACACGCAGCAGCCTCTCGACAAGATGAAACAAAGGCCTCTACTGTGCCGGGGCCCGGGACCGAAACATATTAAAGAGAGAGTAATGTTTGGAACTGCAGAATCATCGCAGAAAACCCAGAGTCTTTATCAAAACGACATCCGTTTTTTGACAGAGCACCAAAAAGAGATTCACAAGGCTCTCTTTCTATAGGGACAAAAGGATTGGATTATTTATGAAAAGAAAAAGTTAGGAACCCTAGCTTTACGTTGACTGTAATACTGTATTTGGTCATAAAACAACAATGAAAGTACACGTCATGTTATGTAAAATTGTGTTTATGTGGAAATGCCAAATAAAGGGCTTTTTTTCTTCCCGTTTTTGATACATTTTTGACTGCCTGTGGATCAAATTATTGCATTTGGTCTCATCCAGTTCTTCGTTTAGCACTGTGGACCCGGTAGTGTCCACAGTTTCTTTATGTATTATTATTTATGTCATTGTTACATCAGTATCAGAAGTAAAGATTTATCCACAACAGATGTTTTGCTATTTTATGCTCTGTTTTTGGCCTGGTTTCAGTGGTTGAATTATACACCAGCTGTGTATTGTTCTTCACAAGATCGACAAGCCTCTCTCGGAATATTTCAGTGGGTCATTATTTATTCAGCTCACACACACAGCTGCCCTGGGGAAGTCTAATGGTACAGTGGACTCTTCACCTCAGACCATCACCACCATTCACATAAACACCAGCACCATTCACACAAACACCAGCACCATTCACATAAACACCAGCACCATTCACACATACACCAGCACCATTCACATAAACACCAGCACCATTCACACATACACCAGCACCATTCACATAAACACCAGCACCATTCACATAAACACCAGCACCCTTCACACATACACCAGCACCATTCACACATACACCAGCACAATTCACATAAACCCAAGCACCATTCACATAAACACCAGCACCATTCACACATACACCAGCACCATTCACACAAACACCAGCACCATTCACACATACACCAGCACAATTCACATAAACCCAAGCACCATTCACATAAACACCAGCACCATTCACACATACACCAGCACCATTCACACAAACACCAGCACTATTCACACATACACCAGCACAATTCACATAAACCCAAGCACCATTCACATAAACACCAGCACCATTCACACATACACCAGCACCATTCACACAAACACCAGCACCATTCACACAAACACCAGCACCATTCACACAAACACCAGCACCATTCACACAAACACCAGCACCATTCACATATACACCAGCACCATTCACATAAACACCAGCACCATTCACATAAACACCAGCACCATTCACACATACACCAGCACCATTCACATAAACACCAGCACCATTCACATAAACACCAGCACCATTCACATAAACACCATTCACACATACACCAGCACCATTCACACATACACCAGCACCATTCACATAAACACCAGCACCATTCACATAAACACCAGCACCATTCACATAAACACCATTCACACATACACCAGCACCATTCACACATACACCAGCACCATTCACATAAACACCAGCACCATTCACACAAACACCAGCACCATTCACACAAACACCAGCACCATTCACATAAACACCAGCACCATTCACATAAACACCAGCACCATTCACATAAACACCAGCACCATTCACACATACACCAGCACCATTCACATAAACACCAGCACCATTCACATAAACACCAGCACCATTCACATAAACACCAGCACCATTCACACATACACCAGCACCATTCACACATACACCAGCACCATTCACACATACACCAGCACCATTCACACAAACACCAGCACCATTCACACAAACACCAGCACCATTCACATAAACACCAGCACCATTCACACATACACCAGCACAGGTACAGGATGTTTTGTCCAGCCATTTCCATGAGATTTGTCATGCATTCTTGTCTAATCATTCAGCCACTGCATAGCTATAGTTTAATCCCACTCAAACTTCAAATTCAATTGTAAGACTATTCAATACTAAGCATTACTGAAATTGAAAAAATCTATCTTAAACAACAAAGTTAAGATTTTGAACACAAAATCACTTTTTTTAATAAATTATTTTCACATGTTAAAAATGCTCACAAAATGTATTTTTTTGTTCATTATTTAAAAATTATTGAAAGTATGTATACATTTGTTTCCCGAATTTTAGGAAGGAACTGCTATCCCCACTTCTTGAAAAAATGAGTACGACGCCTGGCCTTACATCACCAACACCAGAATGATTAATAATTAGGAGGACTCACTCACAAGACCAGGTGAGTCTAGATGATCCACCCAGAAAAATAAAATCCTTTAATATGCTTTTTGACCCTACTGCACACCACCGCTGAGTTCACTTGAGGAGAAATGTGATCATCCATGTTCCAGACAGAAAGAGAAGCATTGCGTCCATGTTGTTGCAGCATTAGAACAACAGTCCACCCACACAAAGTTGATATTTTTTACATATTTTGGTGTCTACCTGCAGCAGGAATTATCAAGTGCTCTGTTTTTGCTCCCACATCGACACCTCCCCAGAGGCTGCTGCTTGTTTTTCATTTATTCGAAACATTCAGAAGTTCAGTCGGTGATTATTGCACAGAATGTGAAACTGAGCAGTTCTATTCTCAGAGGCATCAGAACGACGTGAGAAACACAGTCTATTATAACGTCATATTGTGCACCGTTTTAAATGTGTCGATAAATTGGAAGAGAGCGGTGTGTGTGTGTACCTGTTCCTCTGGATACATATATATGTACACCATACATAAATAGCATGTGTCAGTGAATGTGGTTTGCAACACACTCACCGTCGTTGTCAATGGCGAAAGGCACGTTGGGAGTGATGATGTCGTAGAAGCAGATCTGACTGTACTGTGGGGAGCAGTCTGCGTCCAGAGCCTCCACGCGGACGATCCGCTCAAACAAACGGCTTTCTGGGACAGACGCCTCGTAGCGCCGCTCCACAAACACCGGGGAAAACTCGTTCACGTCATTCACACGCACATGCACGGTCGCTCTGGAGACAGAGGCAGGGACAGGAATATTACAAAGAATAAAGTATATACAGTATATAAGTATAGGAATGGGACAACAGCCGCTATACCATCACAAAAACCCTATTGTGATATTAAGAACACACAACATCAACTCAGGCAAAATGAGCTGCTGATATTACCAGCTCATCATTTATTTCATTGGATTTGAAAAAGCAGCCGAGAATTCACAAATACATGCTACTTTGACCGTAATATTGGTCTAACATGACACAAATTATGTCATTAACCAATGTACGCCTACAGCCCAAGTTACTTATTTTGTTCATAAAAACTCACAGTTATAGCAAGAAAGCCCTTTGTTTTTGTTGAGCATGATGGGAATATTGAATTACATGGAGAACAACAGACCCACCCGCTTCAAAGTCAGGGGGTGACTCTGGAAGTAATACATTTACAATACAGCACAATGGCACAATCAGGTTTGAATGAGCCATTACTTTCAGAAGCACAAGTGATATTATGTTCAAAGGCAGATGAGCTATTCGGGGCTAATGAACCAGCAGCAGAGGAGGGTGCCAAAGATAACCAATACACCTAACGACAGGTCCACACAAGCAAGCCGAGGAGATGCTTTTATCCACAGGTGAGAAGACAAGATCTCTTATTAGGCTACTTAAGAAAAATAATTTATTACTCACAGGATATTAATACATGTAGTTTCTCTAGTCTGCCTTTTCACACATCTCCTCCATGTGCTGCTGTTTGTCAATGTAATACTTGATGTATAAATTCTCCTTTTCACTACATCACCACAAACGTCACAAGAGTCATCATAGCAGCAGATTCCCTTTTTCCCTTTTTACCGTCCTCTGTTGACGGCAGTAGAGTAGAATATATAGATATAAATAAAGATTACTTACTCACCACTAAAAATGCATAAAGCACTGTTTAAAACTGTGATAAATACAGAAAGGGCTTGTGTGAATAATGACTCTGCTGACAAGTGCATAATAAAGAAAAGTATCACTCTTTTTAATTATCTAAATGAGAGGAAATGGCAAAGTCCTTCCTCTGCCTATCTGAGAACATGAAGCAAAACCATGTTTCTCAGTGATTATTTCTGTGCTGATCAGATTTAAGCCGCAGTGTCTCCACAGATCTGTGAAACTGGTGTAGAGTGTAAATGTTTACTGCTTTCAACTGTCAAATTGGAAAAACAAGTCTATTTCATTTAAATTGTTCTGTGGACCAAATCTACGCACGTTCACTTTTGATGAACTGAAAATGTCAAGGGCGTAGGTTTGCGTGGGGACCATGGGGACATGTCCCCACCAATATTTGGTGAGGACTAAAAAGTCCCCACCAAAATGACATGATGTCCCGTGACCCGGACGGTCCGGGACACATGTCTTCCTTTTGTGCACACGCCTCCTCCTCGCCTCCAGAGCAACAGCAGCAGCAGCAGCACGTGACCCGTTCCTCTCTCTGCTGTGATTGGCTGTCTTCTTCAGCGCCAAACTGAAGCCCTGAGCGACTGTTTAATTTTTAAAAGTTAGCCAGCGTGAAGCAAGTGTTTTATTTCGTTCCCTGAGCGTTGTAGCACGTGAGTAATCAGAGGAAAGTACTGTAGATCTATTACCATTCAAAGTACTTACGTTATTTCTAATCTGTCAGCGCACTGTTTAATGTTCCGAGGAGCTCACACGGCACAGAGACAGAACAGAACTGGCTCCAATAAAGAAACAGGTTGGTTGAAAGGCTGAGAAAATACTTTATTGTGCTCTTACTATCCAAAATGTATAAGTGGGTGTGTTGTGTGAATCAGGATAAACTAGGGATGAAAATATTCCACGGATCCACGATTTACAACCTTTATCTGCTGATAATGTAATTTCTGTGAAATGTGTGACAGCGGGCACTTGCTGCTATTTGCTCTAAGCACATTCAAGCGATGCACTCGAATGTGCACGTCCTGGTGCAGCTGCTGCCGCTTTGTAATGACAGCCGCGGCGCTCAGTGAAAGCACAGCTCTAACATGGTACCGAGCTCGGACCATATGCAGACAGAACCATGTTGCAAGTGCGGGTCTCCCTCGTATCTCCCGCGTTTCTCCCCTGTGTCTCTGACATGTCTCTCCCCTGACTCTTCCCAAAGCGCAACCAGCGCTCCCGAAATTAAAGCTCGGATACCTAAATTTTCCATTGCGTTAACGATGCATGCTGGTTGTGCGCAAAACACACCACAACAGGTCATTTAAGTTTTTATTTTGCATACTTGAGAGCCCTGTGAGTCATTACTTGCCTTTTTGGGTAGAGAGTGGAATAAAAAAAAGAAAATATAGAAAAATCCACACTGTTACTTATTGCCAAACTCTTGTTAACTCATTGTATTGAGAAATACTATGTAACTTTTGACATTGGCCAAGTTATATAAATGATTCTGCAGTTCATGTATATGAATGTCTGTTTTTGATTTTCTATACCTTCTTATATAATTTAGAAAAAATGCCACCTCCACAAAAAAAGATAAAAGATATCAGGAGCTTTTTTAACAGTTGGAAAGTAAGTAAGAGAAAGCACAAGTAATAGCAAATTATGAATTGTGATGATTAATCTTCTGTTAACATACATAGGAAACTCAACCAACAAAAGAAAACAATATAGGGAATGTTGAGGTAGAAGCAACAGGCCCTTCAGTGCATCAGGCGAGGTTGGAATTTTGTAGGTATGCATGGGACTATGAATTGTTTTTAGAGATTGATCGTATATGTCAAACAATGTAGTGAGCTACTCACTGTAGATTCTAATTCAATATGTTCTCCTCTGTTTTTATTTATTATAGGAAATTGAAAGATCAGAGCATGATTTATTTCAAGTATCGAGAGCAGTTCCTGAACTGTTAGAGCCTCAGGTGAGGGCTATTATGTAGATTTGGATTAGGTTTAAGTCAGTATAGAATCATACTAAAGTTAAAGAACATCATTTGGTTGGAAATTACCTATGCCAATTACAACATATTTTACTACTATAATGATGCAAAAAGTGTTGTCTGAAATCTTTTACTAAATATAGGACACTCTGAGAGATATAATGGAAATTCAAGAAGGAGATAAAGACAAGGACAAGACAGGACTCCAGGTGAGGTTAGGGTTAAGCAGTTAAAATCTTAGACCCATCAACCAATCCTAGTTTCATGAGATATTTAGCGACTGGTGTACCATGCCTAGGTTTCATTTTATTCAATGTAGAATGTGTGTTTTTATTAATACCATAAAGGAAAGTCAGACAAACAGGGAATGTGCAGTGCTGGTAGAGGATGAGGAAGTGGCTGGACCTTCAGGGCTTCAGGTGAGGTTGAAAGTATTTATTTGGTTTTGTTGGTGGTTTTATTTTGTATAGATCTGATTTGTTTAATGCACTACATGTGTTTTATTTATTATAGGGAACTCAGGTATTCAGGGAAGATGTAGTGCAGGCAGATATCGAAGCTGGGCTTCAGGTGAGGCTGGAATTATGAAGATAAAATATGGGATTTTTTAAAGTTTCATAAACAGTGTATTTGCTATTTAGGAGGCAGCCAATGAGAGTCACTCTCAAGAAAGTGCCAGGGACAGCATATTTGAGATAGGTTGTAAACCATATCAGCCTGATCCTGAATACAGGATATATTTACTATCTTATTTACTATAAACATTTAAGCCATCTTGTGGACAAAGTTAGAATGAACGCAACACAAAACTCAGAAGTTCTGATCCAATTGATTTTGTTTTAACGATTAGAAAAAATCCTTAACTGCTTCTCATTCAGTCTACAGCTGAGTTTAGTATAGAAGGCAACACACTATTGCAAATATAGTGTGTGATTACACAACAAATTCTGGGGGAGAAACTCTGGACCCCGTGTCAATGGGTGTAGACTCAGGTCGTAGTGAATGTCCCCACCAAGATTGGAACCAAACCTACACCATTGGAAAATGTAATAGTATCTTTTAGAACTTGTAGGAACCAGAGAATACCAAAATAAGACCCCGTCTCTTCCACATTAAACCCAGAAGGATATATTATATTGAGACATAATAAAGTGGCTGCTGTCACTGACTTGTGGGACTTCTTGCTGTTGACTCCGTCGGGCCCCTCTCCGCAGTCGTAGGCCTGGATGGTAAAGCTGTGCTCGCGCTGGCTCTCACAGTCCAGCGGCTCTTTGGACCGGACCAGACCCTCCCCAGTGGACCGGTCCAAGACCACTGCCTCAAACTGGACAGTCCCAGGCCCCGACGGACCATTGTGCACTTTGAAGCCACAGATCTCACCTATAGAGACATTACAACAACACATAAGTTCATGATAAAGACATGACAGATTCAGATTCAGATTATTTGCCATTTGCAGTAAAAAAAACCACTTTGGAATACATTAGCGAAAAGTCTCCAGTGTGCACAGACAAATACAGACATTTTTTGGCTATTCAATGATCATCTGTGACACCTATGCCTCATTATTATTTATATATATATATATATTTATCACCGATCCAAACCACTATTTGAGCATAAAACCTGAAATGATTTGGGATTATTCAAAACAGTGACATAACACAATCCTTGAAATATACTACAACCACATTATATACATATATATAAATGTTAATGTGTATTTAAAAATGCCTCTTCAGCAGTTTGATTGCTCCAGGAAACAGTCCAGTGGATATCATGTGATGCAACTGATACCGCCACGCTTTGGTGAAGACATTTGACTTCCATTTTGTGTCAATCACCTTTAACCTCTTCAGCCCGATTGCGCCCCATTCGGGGTCCGCCCCCCCTTGCTGCAGCTTGTCCGGACCGTAGCTGACATATACAACAACTGACAATCACATGTTTCACATCCTCGTGTTCGGACAACTCTCAGCTACAACATTATCCACTTCAATTTCAGTTCAACAGACCCAGGTTCAAACAACAAACCACAATCTGACAAATCGTCATAAAGCACATGTCGAAACAAATGTTTGCTTTGGCGTCACAAGCGCCCTCAAAACAATAAGTAGCCCTGCTGTCAGCATACCATTAGAAAGCCCTCTCCGAGCTGAACACAACGCTTTAAGCCTGGTAACGCTAGCTCTAAAACTCGCTGACCAAGCCGCAGACGAATGCCAGAAAACAAAGCCGTAAAACATCAGCGTTGAAGTAAAAGTCGACTTACTTTTGCTGTTTTTTCATCACAAGTCATTTCCATAGGAATAAAAGTCCGTTTTTTCTTGTATTCAACCTCATAGCGAGGCTTTCTAGCGACCTGGCAGATACCAGTTACTTCCTCCTTCTGTAAGAGGCCCTTTGTGATAGGCTGCACCCGTGCGTCATGTCACGTACCTCTGTGTATCTCTTCCTGTGATTGGCCACAGGTGCTGTCCATCAATACGTTTTCAATGGTTTTTGATAGCCGAAGGTGTGTTCTTTCCAAAATGGTATAACATGCCCTGATTGGCCAAAGTACCGCGGAGGCGTGTACATGCGTATAGTTGGGGCAGAAGGAGGCTGTGCGCAAAGCCTTTACGCACGGCAGGTACTCGGAATTTTGACGAAATTAAAAATGGCAAAACAGCGTTATACACGCGAGGAGGTTGTAGAGCTTCTTGCTAGGGAACCGGGTGCCAAAGTTTATCTCGATGACTCTACAGACATGTTTGTGCCATTTGGCACAATTTTGGCACAGTTGGATTCCGCCTGGACTTTTTTTCCAATTCCATGTACAACTCTGCAGTGGTTTGTTTATTTGGCACAATTTTTGCTGGACTGGTCCAAAATATCGGGAACTGTCAATTTTAGTTCTTATTTGCTACACCACAGACAGGGAAAAAGCTTTTTTGAGGGAAAATATGTGTTTTTTTTTTTAGGCGGAAGTTAGAATTGTCTGTTTCAACCTAATTTTATTGGCAACCAATACAATTTATCATCTTTTTTCACTTCCACAGCAATCCCCAAGGTCCACCAGGTAATTTGGTACCAAGTTTGGCCACATATCTGGCTAAATACTATATGAAACCTTAGTAAATGTAGATTATAGCTTTTTCGGGAAAAAAGGCCTCTGGGCTTAAGAGGTTTTAAAATAGACTAAACTGGGACCAAACACACTCACAAACTACAATTACTCATCTGCCACTTGTCAAAACGCACAGATCTCCATGTCATCTGGTCCAAATACGTCACACCATGAGACCAAATGATGGTTTTGAAGTCAGAAAGCAGAGACACGATGCAGTGCAGTGAGTTAGAATTACACAACTATAAATAGTGCGACTGTTACACTGCTTTTAATATCTAGACGCCTGTTGGGAATCGCAGCTCACATTGACTCAAATCCACTCAATTATGTGCCACTACCAGAATTGATTGAAAGTAGGCCTTCTGTTTAATTGTGTTAGAGTCTCATTATTGCTGATAAGTTCCAAGTGATTCAAATTTGTATATTCACATTGTTTATTTGTTTGCATTCCTCTTTCTGACATTATTTGGATAAAGTTTATGTGGCGTTAACATCCAGGCAAAAAACACTATGTACAAAATAGGACCGGACTAAATAGATAAGACTAAATATTGGACAAAATAGGAGTTATTGCTGTTTAAAATAAAATGTATTACTCAAACATGCATTAATCAATTAAAAAACATCCATCTATCAATTTTCTTCCGCTTCATCCGTTGCTGGGTTGCGCGGTCAGCTGTTTAAGCAGAGACGCCCAGACTTCCCTATCCACACACACTTCCTCCAGCTCGTCCAAGGGGACCCCAAGGCGCTCCCAGGCCAGCTGAGAGACATAGTCCCTCCAGGGTGTCCTGGGTCTTCACTGGGGCCTCCTCCCGGTGTGGCGTGCCAGGAATACCTCCCCAGGGAGGCGTCCAGGAGGCATCCTGAACATGGACGTGGAGAAGCAGCGGTTCTACTCCGAGCTCCTCCCGTGAGACTGAGCTCCTCACCCCATCTCTAAGGGAGCGCCCAGCCACTCTGCGGAGGAAGCTCATTTTGACCACTTGTTTGATACAGCGACCGCATCACTGCGCACGCTGCACCGATCCGCCTGTCAATCTCACGCTCCATCCTTCAGTCACTCATGAACAAGACCCCGAGCGACTTGAACTCCTCCACTTGAGGAAGGACCTCTCCACCCACCTGGAGAGGGCAAGGCACCTTTTTCCGGTCAAGCACTATGGCCTCAGATTTGGAGTAAATTTTCAATCATAAAAATGGTAAATTATCAATAAAAAAACACTTTAGGGTAATTATCTAGTATACATCTTTTGTGTGTGTTTGAATGATTGGTAGTGGTCCAATATGAAGCATCTTGTGTGGCCAAAAATTATTTTTCACGTTTAAAACAATCCTCTAATAAAAGCCCAGTGGTTATAAGAATCAGACAGAGATGATTCGAGGCCAGGCAGCAGCATTGACCTATTTATCATTCAGCACTGAGCCAAGCGAGATCCTGACAAAGAACCTGTCTGACCTAAAGCGAGTGTGGGACTGCACTCGTGCTATTTCTAACACAAAAAATACAAACGTACGTCATCATTGACGTTATGAGCTATTTTTGGTTGGCTCAAACTCACTTCCAAATCACTGAGTCAAACTTTAATTGATAGTTTTTTTCATGTGAAAGTAAATGGTAAAAAAGCATTTTTTTTACAGAAATATTTTTTCAAAAACTAATAATTGTTTTATTTTGATTTACAGAAAACAATGTGTTTTTCTCATGTCTGAAAGTCTAACCAACATCATCCGTACCTTATATGAATATTGTCACGACTTCTCGACACCTTTATGTTACAATAATTTGACCATATTTGAAATGCACTGAAAAAGAAGATGTGGAACTTGACATTGTGAAGACATTTTGTTTTGTTTCATGTGAATTGGCCCAAGAATCACAGAGAAATTAACTATAAACTGAGAGTAGTTACCATAGTTACCGGGGGGGGGACATTCCAAAGAGCCTAAAATACAGGCTCTTTGGAATGTCAAACACTGTAGGGTTAAAATTAACAATTCAACACGCTAATGGGTCAGAGTTCCTCATTCTTTCATTTCAATGTGAAAGGAAAGAGATGTTGTGTTTATGTGTGTATTTCTGCACAAGTATTGTTACCAGCGTAGTGCAGTGGTGCGTCCTTGTCCAGAGCGAACAGCGGAGGGTTGAGCAGTACTGTGTTGTCGTTCTCCATGACGATGCCCTGATATTCCGTCTCGATCCACGGCTTGTGCTTATTGGCTGAACACAAGAGGGGGGGGGGAGCTTTGGGTTAAACAGAGCAATTAAAACCAAAGTGTCTATTTATAACTGTGCATTAGATCAAGGACACGCTGCCAATGTGACCAGGCCCAGACAATGGAGGCTATGGTAAAGGTCTGTAGGGAGAGAGGGACAGAAGGGAATGGGAAATTACACTGACACTGAAAGAGAAGGACAGCACAATTCTGGAACGATAACTAACTGTGAAAATCCAGAGAGACACAGATATTTGAGAGACACTTATGTATCATTCACAAACATTTGTCATCACAGAGAGGAAATCATTTATGTTCAGTGGGATATTGCAAACAACTCTATAGGACTATTTCAGTTCATGTTTCCAGAGAAAAACTACTTATTTTATATATACGAATACAGGGAAAAATGGTTTTCATCAGTGTTTTTAAAAATCATTGTGTACACATGCTTTTGGCCTTTGTCACATCTTTAGCTCAATTGGAATAGCGACAAAGAGAGGACCCCAGAGCTCTCATTAAATTGTGACTCCGGTATTTGTTGTACAATTATACATTATTTTGTTACTTACAATAGCAATATAGACAAATTCTGGTTCTGATTCCGAAATAATAGTATTGTGGTCTCTTCACTTTATAAATGTTACTTTCTGTTGGGAGTGTGAGACTCCCAAAATGTATTGTTATGGCAAGAAAAAAATAGATACCCAACCTTTAAAGCAACAATGTATAAAACCATGTATAAAACCATGGAAATAACATTTATAGATCAGAGCCGTGGTAACCACACAACAGCAGGTTTAGGTTTATTCAAAGATTTTTCTATTGATGCAATAAACAAACAAAATATACCAAACTATACTGGCCATTTAAAGTGTGAGTTGGATGAGTTTAGAGATATTGTTAACATATTTGGTTTTGAACACATCTGAAAGCATTATGGGGAGACTGTAGGATATGTTTCATGCATATTTCAGAACAGAGTATTCAAAATATTAAAAAATAACTAATCATTTTAACATAGAAGTAAGAATTGCATTTTTAAAGCCTGCACAAGACCACAAACACATGTTAATGAGTTTATACATTCTGTTAGTTTCATTTCAAAGATGAAGTCTTTAATCGTGCTCACACAGCGGCTAAATGTACAAATCAAATGCCCGCGGTTTGACTGGGTTGTAACCTTTAAATGCAAATGAATTATTCATTTCTTGTGTTGAATGTTCTCTGTAGACTGATCAAAGGCAATTTTAATGGGAGAGAAGGATTTTACACATTACAAGAGAAAAGAGCCGATAAAAAGCTACAGTCGTCCACTGCTGTCCTCAGTCGCCAGTGTGGACTGGAAACACGGCGCAGGGCAAGTAATAAATAATGTTATAGATGAATTACAATGATCTGAATTCATCATTTTAGAAGTTTTGGCAATAAAGAAGAATGATTATTTCTAACAGTACATTCCTGAATAGTTACACAGTATTTCCAAAGACGACTTATTTAGATAGATAGATAGATAGATACAGTAGATAGATAGATTCTTTATTGATCTCCCGTAGGAGAAATTCATGTGTCCAGCAGCAGAAGACTCAATCAGGTTTGTTGTACAGTCTGACAGCCGGAGGAACAAAGGATCTCTTAAAACGTTCCGTTCGGCAGCGCAGTGATAGGAGCCTGTTGCTTATTTATTTATAGGTGATAACAAGATAAACCCATTCATTGATGTCCCACATATTTTCATTTTTTTAAAAGACTAAATAATCTATGTATATTAAGTAAGTTCATACATTCATTCATTTTCTTCCCCTTTATTAGTCCATTTCTGAGTGGGGGATGGCAATGAGAGCTGCCACCCAACGCTCATAGCACCAGTCCCTCTGATCCTCTGCAGGCGGTGGGTCAACGGGGAGATGGCTGCTCCGTCAACGGTGACACAGCCTTGGTCTTTCTTTTCAATTAAATAAATTATATAGTTAAGCCACTTAATCTATCAACCAAATTGCATGATACAGGGCAAGGCCAAATAGATTTTTTGCAATTACAGTATATGAGCTTGGTCACAACGGAGGAGCTTAGAGTAGAGCCGCTGATTCTCTGCATCGAGAGGAGCCAGTTGAGGTGGCTCTGGCATCTGTGTTGGATGCCTAGGGAGGTGTCCAGGAGGCATCCATCAAGGACACACTAGGACAGGAATCCCTGCACCAGGTTTGCTACACGAGCTGAACTCTCCCTCCCGTCTGTCTTTGCCCCGGGGCCACTGCAGGACACCTACCCCCGTCCTGAGTGGCCTTTTCAGTCTCCAACACAACCCCGCGGGACATTTTTCTCTGTCCAGGGTGTCTCCTCGGCCCAGATCTGGTTCCGGCCCCTCCTCTTCCCTGTTTTTTTTTGGTTTTTTTTGGACGTCTTGAGGAGGGGGTACTGCATGGTTGTGGATTTATGTCCAGTTTTATTTTGTAATTTGTTAACCCCTGTGTCTTTTAGTTTTACTTCCATTGTCATTCACTGGATTTGTATTTTTTATTAAACCCTTTATTTTACAGCTTTGCATTTTCGGGCTCATTTCATTTTACCCACATGGCACCTAGTTTCATGTTGTGAAAGTAAAAGCCAAACCAGCAGCGGGTTTCTCAGAGCTGCCTTTTTTCCATTAAATTTCAATTTATCATAGGCTTCAATCACTCCTGCTGCCTTTTAGCGAACAAAAAGGGGAAAAATACCTAAAAATGTAGAAATTAGACGAAACGATTCACTACTAACCAATGTTATCTTTCCATCCACTCAACCATATCTGATCTACATAATTGTATTGTACTTGAATAGTTTGACATCTTGTGTGTTGGAAACTACAAAACCAAATGACTAATCTGGTTGCATTTTATAATTTCAAAAAAAACCAATACATTTTCTGATTTAGGTACTAGAGTCTGTGCATATCTGTGGATTGTTTCAGTTAATGGCCCTAAACCTGACACTGTTTATTAGTGCACTACACTACAGCCTTTCTAGGTATTTTTTATAGAGTTGTATAGTTTGAATCCATAGGCAAATGAATTTCAAATACAACGCTTGTAAAGAAACGTACCAAAACGTCACTATTAAAGCTGGGGTACCTAATTTCAAACCATAAAAATGAAACTATGTAATAAAATCCATGTTCCTCGCCCTCAACACAGTTTGCTCCTAACCCTAGTTTTCACATGTGTGCATACTTTTGACCTACTGTATGTCCCATCTTTAGAATTTACAGATAGAAAAGTGAAAGAGAGACGACCACCCTCACTCAGCATCATCCCACAGCCCAAAACCTCTCACAAATATCTTTTTAACAAGAATGGCTCATTTAAAATGTAATGTGCATTGTAAATAAAATTAATTATAATGTAAAAATGTATTCAAAAGATCAAATGCTTTCAACAAAGATGAAGGCAGCATGTCTGATTTCAGAACAGATTTTTTCTATAACAAGTCTAGTTCTGTTGGGACAAATACTGTGTGTGTATAAATGCATGGAAGTGGATAACAGTTAGGTGTCCCAGCTTTAAAGTAAATCCATAAAAGCTTTGGAATAACGTAACTCCTCAGCATTGTGCAAGAAGGTTTGACTGAGATCATTACTGGCACCAAATGGGTCAAAGAAATTAATCTTCTAATCCCAATAATGACTTTTACAAGGACTCCACTTGACACCAGCTTCTCTTCCTCCTCCTCCGCACAGTGCCCCCTCCCCCTCCTGATATAAAGCATTAATCTGAGCATCAGGCCCGGATTACACTGCGGATTACAGCGACGAGAGACCCACTCCCACATGTGTACGCTGGCTCTCTCGCCGCCCGTGTCACCCATTCACCCACATCATTAACCTCACCCATTCACCCATTCTATTCTTCCATAAACCATTCCTCGTCTTCTCATCCTTCCCATGAGTCACATCCATCTTTCTCTCCTCCTCTACTTTTAAAATGTAATCGTAGTTGTACTTAAAGCTGGGGTATCTTTTTTCCAGAAATGTGGTTGTCCATACAGAACAAAATGTTGTGAACAAATAATCTCACATTATGCTGTTTTAGAATGGTATTAGAAAACATGTTATCTTTGGCAAACTAGAAAAGGTAGAAAGATCCCTGTGAGTCACTTTTGACGCTTTGGGCGGAGAGCTGATTGGCTGAGTGAGGGTGGATTGCTCTTTGACACTTTTTCTGGTTGAAAAGGCTGATCTAAGATGTGACAGAGGACAGAAATACAGTCATACAGTTTGGTTCCATCACAACTTTTCACAAGAAACAATGGTAGAAGTATAGAACCCAAAAGTTTTGACAACAAAGATAGTTTAACAAATAGCTTAAGGGATTTTCATACACGGTTCATTTTTTTGTGGTTTGAAAGTTAGGTACCCCAGTTTTAATCATACTTGGTATATATTTCAATTGCACTTTTTGTCCATCATATATTATACCCTCCATCTGCAGCACCAATAAACAAGTTCTTACTTTCACTTCATGGAGCAGACAAAGCAGTGAAACACATGCTGTTCTTTCTGCAGCGGAAGGTCTCAAACTAGTGACTACAAAGCCCAATACTTTTACTTTTTTATGAACAGCTATGCCGTTTTTTATGCTGCACAATCATAAATAATATCAAATAAATGCAGCTCCTTGTCTCGTCCCAGCAGTAATGGTTTCTATGGTTACATGAGGTGATCTGATTACTAAAAGATCACCTCTAAATCCTCACCTAAATGCATTTAAATCCTCACCAGTTTACATGCATTTGTTTTAATCAAAATTGGACAAGGCCAATATTCTATGTATCCTGTACTTTTGTTTTTATCTCCAATACATTTAACTCAAATAGAAACTTGCATGAGATCCTGCATCTGTATTGCTTCGATGGGCCACAATGAGGCCAGTCTCTGAAATGTTCGGAGATGCAAACAAATCCTAGCTAACAGGGAGGCAGAAGAAAATGATTACATCCACAATGAGGCCTCTTCAAGCAAACATATCTCTCGACAAGTCTATTTTGTTCCATAAATACATTTTGTTTGTCCCAATAAAAAGCGTCTGTTTCAACAAATCACATCACGCCATGCTGCCTTTATCTTATTAGAAAACACGTTACAGTTTACATACAGAGAGATGATTGGCTGGTACTGATGTGACAGGGGCCAGAATGACATGCCTGTGAAAACTAGTGATTGAACCAGACAGTTTTGAGACCAAGGAATTAGTGAGATGGATTATATTACATGTAGTTTTTGTGGTTTAAAAGTTTGCTACTCCAGCTTTAAGTCAGGGAAAAGTTTGTTGCTACTTTTGCTTTTGACACCTCTCCTCCACGTGCGGCTGTTTGTCTGCAGGTTTAAAGAGAGCTATTGCGACTTTGATTCAATGTTATTTAATTGTGCACAATAGTTAAATGACCACAGCCTTAATCATCTCTCTCCCACAAGACCTGCACCTCATCAGCCTCACTCTCTTATCTTATCCAGTCTAAAGTTCTTCCGCTCTCGGACACTCCATCGCTCCTCCAATCTCTCAAAAGCTTTTTTATTTCCTTCTAGACTTTCCCTTCTCTCTCTGAACGTCTTCTGTCTCCTTGGCCTCAGTCTTAGAAACACGGGTACAGATACAAATCAGTCTGATTGATGAAACTGCAGCTGCACAAAGGAAAGAACTCATTTGTCATCTTCAAAGTGCATGTAAAGAGAAAATGCAACGTTTACACATTCACTGGGAATCGGTTTGGGGTTGATAAAAGATCCCGTCGCAATTAAATGTTTTGAATTGAAGTAATAAAATGTGTAATACCATGCACATTACATACATATTGGATCAAAAGGATACCAATTGGTGTTGTTCACGTAATATTTACAAATCAGGAAATCAGTTTGCTATGGTGGAAAAGGGTACATTTAAAATACTTTTGATTTTTTTTTCCCCCAATAAACAAATATTTCAAGGGCTCTAGTTTGAGGGTCTAACTACATGGACAGTGGTGATGACCCAGGACACTCAACTCAACATTCAACAACATTTATGGACATTTTTTGGCTTCTGCCCCTCATGGACCAATGGCTCTATTGTTTTTATTGTTGCATTTCTTGTGTTGAACTATTGATTCTCTCATCTGTGTTGGCAAAATCAAAGATTTTATTAAGTCCTCCTAGAAAACTATACAGTGGTGATTTAGGGATGTACAAAAATACATTTAATTGACTTTATATGAACAATTCTATGAAGGTGCATTCCCCAACTACACTGGCGTGACCTGCTTTTTGTGAAATGGTACCTGCTTTATGGTTTTGCATGAAATGTATAGTTTTATCCACAGATATAAGTGGAATTGCAACTCTTAATAATGACAAACTGTGCAAATATCCAGCAAAACAACTACATTTAAAGAATTCACCCGCAAAAAGTGGGATTGCCAGCATATATCATGTTGCATGGGTCCCACGGCACTTAACCATTTAAAAAAAACACTTAAACAAGAAGAAAAAACAGAAATAACTGACCTTTGTTGCCACTAGCAACTGAAGCCAAGCAAATGAGTAGTACGGAGAGAAAGTTCATTGTGCCCATCTGCAGGAGGAGACAGAGAAAAGAGGTTAGGAGGAGAGGGTGAGGAGGAGGGGGCCAGATGTAAGGAAGAGGGGGTGAGGGGTAAGGAGGAGGGGTGAGGAGGACAGGGGTAAGGAGGAGGGAGTGAGGAGGACAGGGGTAAGGAGGAGAGAGTGAGGAGGACAGGGGTAAGGAGGAGAGAGTGAGGAGGACAGGGGTAAGGAGGAGGGAGTGAGGAGGACAGGGGTAAGGAGGAGAGAGTGAGGAGGACAGGGGTAAGGAGGAGAGAGTGAGGAGGACAGGGGTAAGGAGGAGGGAGTGAGGAGGACAGGGGTAAGGAGGAGAGAGTGAGGAGGACAGGGGTAAGGAGGAGGAGAGAGTGAGGAGGACAGGGGTAAGGAGGAGGGAGTGAGGAGGACAGGGGTAAGGAGGAGGGAGTGAGGAGGACAGGGGTGGGTAAGGAGGAGGGAGTGAGGAGGACAGGGGTAAGGAGGAGGGAGTGAGGAGGACAGGGGTAGGAGGAGAGAGTGAGGAGGCAAAGTATAAGGAGGAGGGAGTGAGGAGGACAGGGGTAAGGAGGAGAGAGTGAGGAGAAAAAATTTAAGGAGAAGGGGGGAGGAGGCCAGGGGTAAGGAGTAGATGAAGCTGAGACTGAAGTGTTGAGTGTCAGGCTCAGAAATGACAGTGTAGCAGCGACGTAGCAATAACTAACATTGTTTTAAGTCTCATAATAATATTGTGGCCTGCTACAACATGAAATCACAAATAAAATTATTTTGCTAAAAAGGATTATTTAGTTGCAGCTAAAACGCAGATGGTATTGCATATGCCTCCGCCTGTTTGTCCTTTGGCACTTTGCTACTTACATTGCAGAAGATATAAACCAGGACTGGAATTCATCGGGTGTTTAACCACAGAAACTGGACTCGATCGAACTCATGGAACTAAACCTGAAATGTGCCCCTGTTGTGGGACAAATAAAGCTTCTATTATAGTACATTTTAAACCATTATCTTACTATTTAGACCATGCACGTCTAAAATCGGATTAAAACTGAACTTGAGATGGGCAAATGAATGTATTATTATACACCTATTGTGAATGTGTTTTAGAAGATGTTGTAAACCTATGATTATGTTAAAAGTATGCCCATTTTATATGTATTTTCTCATCATTGCTGTATTTGAAAGAGCGTTTGCTGGACTGACTTCACATCACCTGAACATCAGAGCAATGGGGAATACACATAAATATTATACATGTTTGGCTTTTAGGACTTAATGGTCTGGACTTGTCTATTCCTGAACCAAAAAGAACACACATGAAAGACAATATTGAAATTGCCTGTGTAGCCCTCAGGTGCCACGTCTCTCTCAGCAAACCCACTGTGAGCTCTTTTAAACGTGAATTTCCACACACAGAATGAATTTTCTGCTGACATCGGCTATCCCGTCAGACATGGGCTATTTCCAGATCAGGCGCACGAATCCACGTCCAGTGCACGTCTCCTATCCGTCCTGTATTAATTGAAGAGGTCTGTAAAATGAAGGTGCTGCTGGATGACTCCTTGGGGGATAACGCTCGTTGACATAACAGCGAGAGCTCGGTATTTCTGCATATAATATTCGCCCTCCTCGCCTTGCCATGTAGAGACGGGGCGCGTAAAACGTATGCTCCATCCAACGCGCCACACGGGTTAATCATGCATTTGATCACATATTGATACACCGAGACATGCTATGCGACAATAGACACTAACATACATACATACAACGCGTGTAATCTGCTGTAAATGCTGGATTATGTCAACGATCGCGCACCAATGTATGAGAGTTGTAGGAAAGAAAAAAGAAAAACAGTGTACATTACCGTAGCGACACTGGTGCTGATGCTGCTGATGATGCTCCTGGATGTTGCCCAGTCTCTACACTCGCAGCATCCGCCTCTCACGCCCCTGCCCTCGGCTAGAACCGCTCCAAACCCCCGCGGGCAACGATCACCGCAAAGGCGCAAGGAGGTCCACGCCGGGAATGGATGGAAAAGGCAGGTGTCCAAAAGAGCGCGGCGACGTCCCAGCGTACACACGGGAAGGAGATGGGTAGATGGATGCCCTTGTTTTCAGGACCTACGGTGAAGAGACAGTGGTGGGGATATTACGTTGATCTGCCCTCCCTCTCTCGCTCCTTAACCCGCCTACACTGCGTCCTTCTCGGGGCCCCCACCTGCCCGTAAAGCGTTGCCTTATTATTATTTATTTATTTATTGCTGTACAGCGCACATTCACCGTGACTCAGACCTTCATCCATCCCGTTGTTTTCATCACCTCTGCAAACACACGAAGGCAGGTGTCGATTCGGTCCCGTGTTGGAAATGCTTGTTAGGTTTTTCTACCACTGCACAGTTCAGGCCCTGAGACCGCAAAATGACGTCATATCAGTCACCCCTCCAATTGTCAGATACATTTTTTAAATTACTGAAAGAGACAGAGAATTGTCCATTGAGCCAGTGTAATCTTGTTCAGCTAATGACAAAGAAAATATGGATGCGTTTAAAGCAGATACTATCAACGAATCTTAAATAATCTTAAAGATTATTTTGCATGCATTACGAACTAAATTTCAATAAAAGTAATAACACCTTCCTAATCTGTAAGGTCTGTCATCTCAAAAACCTGATTTATAGTTGCCAACCTGCTTTTTTCTATTAAGAGATCATAATTCTTTCAAACTCAAATCAAAAATAAGATTAGAGAAAAAAACACTTCACATTTGGCTCAAAACATCCTCAGTATGGAAATGATCTAACCTCAATCAAGAATGTCCTGAGTGGCATTTTAACTCTCTAGAGCATAAGAAATTTGACATGAAGTAGCTAGAATATGTAATATCCTGAAACTTTACAGAGATAGTACATTTAAAATACAGAATGTATAAAAATGATTTGGTGGAAAAAATGAAGGACAAAATGTCTGAAAGAAAGCAAAGTATATCCTGGACCTCGGCATCTAGAGTAATGAATACTTTCCCACACTTTAGGTTCTTATTATTCTTTGATGCTATTACTTTTGTTCAACTACTTTTTTGTACTTTAGCTCAACATTCGGTGTAATTTTTGTGCAAACAGTTTTTTTCTGTAAAAAAAAAAAACAAAAAAACGACACACACACAGTTGAAGTTTGAAATGCAGCATTTTATAACATTATAAAACTGTATTTAAATCACTCTCTTCACATATTCTCTCAATATTTATAATTATAAGGCAAAGGTAAACAATTAATACCAGAGAACAATTACAATGAGCACAACATGAAAACAAATCTAAAATGTGAACTACGGCTACAGCGACTTCAGGAGTGAAATGTCACTATCTCTGTCCAGAACAAACTTTAAACAAAAGTCTCCACACGGTTCACACGGATGACTTGAATGACAGAGGAAGACTCCGCTCACAGGTGCAGAGCAGCCGTTTGGCAGTGGACTGACACAGGAGGACAGTAAGGCAAAAACAACTTTGCATTGGACAATACAGGAAGATGCTTTCAATTCATAAAATGTTTTCAAAACTACAAAATTCCTCTTTCCCTTCCAAAAAGCATTGTTTTTAAAAAAATGTACCCCAACACTTTTACTCTAAAACATTCATAATTTCAAGGCCATTTGATATTTGTGTATTTTTGTGTTTTACAGTGCTTGTTTAACCACGGGCAGCTGTGAGAAAACCCTGATCGGTACCAAAGCTGCGCTCCTATTTAAATGTGGCACTGTTACATCAGAGAAGCAGAGTGTCGAGTCTGAACTCCTGTGCAAATCTGTGACCGCTGAGTGTGAGGTGTGAGACATGAGACTAACTAAAACAAACTTTGATGCAGCTTTTGAAAACTACAAACCCATGAACGGGCAGTGCAAATCAGAGCGGACAGCAAGTTTCAAGTTCATAAAGTCCCTCTTCTTCAAAATACAAAACAGGAAATCACATCTTATTGGCCCACAAAAACCCATGTGGCACAATGGTAGTTTCCTGTAAACATTTGTCAAATGTTTATAAAAACCTCCCTAGCAACAAAAAAATATACATTTTCCACTGACGTATATATATATATTTATATATATACAGATAGTATATACAGAATTTATATAACATATATTACTTAATGCCTTAAATTTGCTTGTTCTGCCCCAGAAAAATCACAGTTCCGTTGAGTAGATCGCCACAAAAAGACCTGTTTAGAACAGTACAATGTTGAATCATTATTTTGATAAACATGCATTCAAAAGAACACCGTGCTCTCACCATGTGACGCCTCAGCAGATTTAGTCCTCCTTTTTCAAACTGTGGTCTTTCTTAGGCACCAAAGCCTTACGCAGGTATGGCAATATTAAAAATGTTATAATGAGGAATAGATGCCCGGAGAAATAGACCGACAAATAGACCTAAAAACAAGAAAACCGCAATTAGAAAAGGCAGGATAATTGGAGTTTCAGTTAATCCGTTGGTATAACTAATCCCATACACATAGGTCCTAAAGTAGACTTACCTTGAGCCATTTGTCATATGAGAAGAGACAGAAGGGCATAAGGGAGTAGCCCATTAAGAACCAGTGTATAAACTGTTGCACGCCGTAGACGAAGGGGTACAGCGCACTGTTGGCGAGTCTCATCAGCATCGGACTGTCGCGGACGAGAGCTTGAGCCTGAACACAGAGGCACCCATCACTATATGACAAACCTCCTCAATATAAAAACTAAACCTCACTCACTTGTCTCTCCAAGATGACAATGAAATACTCCATAGAGAAGCACATAATGTATCCTGAATGGAGGCCGTGCCAAATTGCCAGAAAGAAGAGCGTGGTCACGTGAGAAACAGTTTTATTTCCCACAAACTTCAACCTCTTGAACACGTGTCTAATGGAGGCAGGAGAGAAAGTCAATTTACAGAGCAGCAGCACACACCACTTGTCTAGGAGTGAGTGACAGGCAAAAACTTTCTGGCATCGTCCCCATTATAAATATACTTTTGCATAACATACACATAGTTCTTACACAATTGAAAACACTGATGTTTGTCAATCTCAACCGAGGTCTGGACTTTAGCTCTATGGCTGCAGATGATGCATCGAGCAATTGTATCGAAGCAACCAATATGGAGAAGGGTTCTTTGTAATTAAGGCAAACTCTCTTAAGGTTTTGTATCCACTTCTCAGAAAAACTTTCATGAAGTTTAGTTAAATAAAACAAAAAAGTCCCCTGGTTTGATGCATGATATATTTTACTGGAATTCTAGCTCAAGTAGATTAAGATTAAGATTATCCCGACAGTGGGGAAATGTCAGTGTTGCATCACTGTTTATAGAACCACAGGAATGAGGACACAACACAATGTATATGATATCTTGTATATATATAACTCTATATTCAAATAAAATTCAAACAAAATCTATAACTTTATCAGAAAAAAGGGGTATGTATAAATCTCCAGTTTTAGCATAAATGGCTGAGGAATGCTTCTGTCTCAGTGCTGTCAGTCCAGATTGTGGACCATCCTACACGTTATATTTGACAACCTCCGCAGAGCCCATAGCACAAGGCCAACTTGATGACATGAGTTACAAAAATAATCCAGTAAATATGATTCCGGATGGTTTGTGGTTGCTGTGTAGGAACACTGCAAAAAAGGGACGTCCTTCATTACCCATGTACAAAATTCACTGACTACGAATGGCACGGTAGCTGGAGTGTGTAAAAGAAGATGTCTAGTCTATAGCATCAATAGTAAGCAGCGCCTCCATTGGCCTAGCTCTATGAACTGACCTCGCAGCCCAAGCATTAGTGTTCATATTAAAAGAGGCGATGGTTCCCTGGAACAGCGGAGTGGTCTCAAACACCGACACCTTCATGTTGGCACAGGCGTCCCAGCGGTGCTGCGCGTCCTCCCCGACGCCATTGTAGCCCATCCCAGTCAACACACATGCTCCCTCCTACAGAGAAAATATGCAAACTGAATATGCCATGATTATCCACTCACAAAACTAGATCAACTGGAAATGGGATTGTATTCACCGCGTTGCCTAACACCATCTAACATGAGTAATAAGTAATGCATTAAGACGTTTGCACTTCCAGTTTGAAAACCGATTTTACACATTTTATTTCAGGGACTACTCACCGCTATAACCCAACAGCTGACGTATTTATACAAGTTGAATTTGGCCCAGAGTGACATGAAAACACATCGGTACCAGAAGGGCTGCGCCTGTAGAGAGAATCAACCAGTGATAAGACTTGTTTTCACATTGGTAATATCCAGTCTCACTTCACCTCATATTCATCTGTCAGGTAGTAGCTGTCGGGGTAAGAAGGACTGAAGATTGTGTAAAGTGCCAAACACAGAAATCCCAGAGCAAACCTTTTTAAAGCTGGTACAGCACTGAAAGAGTAAAGACATATTAAGCAAGAACAGGTTGGAATGTAATTAAATTAGATAACTCTAATGAGCTAAAGAGGAGGAACTGAGCTTGTTCCTCCTCTCTGGGTTTTACCTGTTGGGGGGTTTTCCAGGGCAGTCCGTGAGCTCCCCGGCCACCAGTCTTTGGTAGCTGCGCAGTGTAAACTGGGGCCCAACCAGGAAGCCTCCGTAGAAGTAAGAAAAGCCGAACATCTCCAATAGAGACGGTACCGACGACAAGGCAGAGCTCTTCAGCTCAGCACTCAACTGAAGAAGGATCAAAATGCATCATAATGTAGATTACTAAAACTAAAACCTTGAAACGTGCACTAGGCAAATGTTCTGATTATGTTCAAAAGTATGTCATACAATTTATCTATTTGGGAGAGAAGGAATATAGACAATTATATAATAATATTAATAATAATAAAACATTGATTTATATGGCAACTTTCTGGGCACTCAAGGTCGCCTTACAAAGTACAAAGTAATATATACCATATTAGCAGCAATCAGCTGATTTTCCTATTTGTAGCACAATGATTACAAAAATAAAAAAGTGTAAAAAAATGATGGTGAAAAGGAAGCTTAAAGCAGTAATGTGTGGATTCAATAAAGCCCTTTAAAAAACAGCTGAAGTTTGGCTCTGGAGAGCTGCTTCTGGGCTTGGTGACATCACCCACAGCCATAGTTCCATTCAAAGCAAATCCTCACCAAAAATTGTATTTAAATGATTATTTTACTTCTATACTAAAGACTTCCAGACAAGAGACTTGTAGAAATAAAAAACATACAAACTCACATTTTCCTGTCCTCCATCATAGTAATCCCACGCAAGACCTGCAGAGCACAATGTAGAAAGTAAACATGTGTAACATTGCCATCTTCTAATACTACTCCATCGTTGTACTTCTATGAACAACAAAATGTGTTTTTCTGGTGCCCACACTGACCAACGAGTTTGAGCGTGAGGACGCAGTGGGGCATGGTCCACTTGATGTCGTATTCCTCTGTGGCTGTGTAGTAATATCCAGCTAACAGGTAAATCTGCAGGAATATTAGAAAGAGCTTTTTTAAGAACAATTAAACTAATCCTGAACATCTCTGAAAGCATGAAAGCAAAATAATTTGAAACAGTTTTAAAGTTTGTATATGTAATGTCCAAGTTTCACCAGCAGAGGGGGAATAGCCTTGTAATTGTTTCTTATCAAAAGCCATTGACAGTAATTCTAATACACTAAGACACTGTGCTGCAGGATGGGAATGACTCAGCCACAGTGATTCAATACCCTAAATCTTTTCTTTTTTTTTTTTCAAGCTGAATGATTCGTCCTAACCCCGAGTCATTGAGAACCTTTTAGACCATATTTTAATGTCTCTTTTTAAATCACTGTGGCGGGTCATTTTGACCCGGGGGCAGCACAAGGATTAAACCCAATGGAATTATATTGAAAGTTTGAGTCACATAAGTCGCAATACTAAGATAAAAGGTTAATAAACATTAATTATATAAAACAAATGATTATATTGCTTAACACTGCAAAAACAATATATAATCTAAGGAAGACAGTAGGATTATAGAATACAAACTAACGTTCCCATTTTCACACAATATGTTCAAAGATCAAAAAGAGGCAGGTTCAGAACACATCACTTCCCTTTAGATTAGTTTACTTTACACTGTTAAAACAGAAGAACATTTCTCTTTCTCACAAATGCAATTATACTTCATTAGATGTTTCCAGGAAAATAAGTTCTTATCACCTTAAGACCAAGGTTAGAAATACAAAATGCAGTAAAAAAAAAAAAAATAATAAAGAAAAAAAGATTGTATTAACTTTTTTTACTTTATTAGATTTATGCAATTTACATTCTGGATGTGATTGATGAACTAACGCAGCCATGTCATAAATTGGGCCAAAACTTCTCGAATGTTGTCATGTTTGACAAATAAATTAAATGAGTTGTGCTTGAGTAATTATTGTGTTTTGTATTTGAGAAAATCTTTGAAGCGACATAAAAATGTGTGCTGCATGATGTTATCCGTTCTACTTCTACATTTGAACGGTTTCTTCACAGTGTGGTTTTATTGGTGCGGAACTATAAACATAATGAGATTCAGTGTTTTAAAATAAAAAAATAATACAACCACACACACACACACAGCTCAGGAAAGCCAAGCTGCCTGCACAGATGTTGGTGCAGTTCTACACGGCCATCATCGAGTCCATCCTCACCTCCTCCATCACCGTGTGGTTCGCTGGAGCCACAGTCAGGGACAAACAGAGACTACAGCGCATTGTGCGCTCTGCAGAGGAAGTGATCGGCCGCAGCCTTCCATCGCTGCAGGACCTGTACGTCGCCCGAGCTCGAGGCCGGGCTGGTCGTATCACAGCCGACCCCTCTCACCCTGCACATGGACTATTCCAACCACTCCCCTCAGGCAGGAGGCTGCGGTCCATCAGGACTAGAACCTCCCGCCACAAGAACAGTTTCTTCCCCTCTGCTGTTGGACTCTTGAACACTTCTTAACCTGTCCCTCCACCCTTTATAAAGTCACTTTACTGCCCATCATACGTCACTTCACTGTACTACTGTCACCTTACATTGTGTGCACCATGTAAATAGTAACTGTAACTCTATTTTAAATTTAAATTTATTCTTTAGAAGTGTTTTTTATTCTTTATTTTTATTATCTCTTTCTGACTGTTGCATTGAGCCAAAGCAATTTCCAAGTCTGTGACTTCCTGTTACTTACGTGGCAATAAAAAATGATTCTGATTCTGACTTCAAAATGCCTTTTGTCCTTCTGTAACGCACTTTAGAAAGACACAGAGTTTACCGCTTACCATTTGAAAGGAAAAGCTGCTGATGACTGTGGTAATGGTCCTTCCCATGAGCCTCAGCATCAGGAACTGTACAAGGATACATACTGCAGAGTGACTGAGCTGTGCCCCTGTGGAGGAGGGAGAAGGGGGGCAGAGAGGATGGGAGACCAGTGATTTTACTACACGAAACTTTATACTTTCATTTCAACAGTTCAGTTCTGGAGTTCGGTCCCTAGACAGCAGCAACTAAAGGTGATTTTAAGGCAAAAGTTGAAATATGACCGAAGGCTTTTAGAATAAGTGCACAATGAACACTGCTGAGTAATAATGATGAATACTTTATGTACGGAGCAGGATAGGTGCAAGAGGAAACATTTCGGATGAAGTGACTAAGTCCTTATAATGGTTTGCGGGACTTGCAATAGGGTTACATGGTGTACTTTAATATAGCCAAAGTAGTAAGAGTTCTTGATTTTTTGGACTTTGAATGAGACATTATTTTGGAAAATGTGAAACACAGAATGTGCGTAATCAAAACAAACATGCACAATGAATCATGTCCCAACAGGGGGAGGAATATGTCATTATTTAACCCTCTTTTCCAACGCTCAGTTTACCAAATTAATTCAGATTTCACGTTTCCTCGTCAAATTAAAATGAATAAAATTATACATGGAATTGAATGGAGTAATTTTACATGAAAAAGTAAAGCGTTAGTGTCTTGACAGTGACTGGCATTCTAAATATTTCTTATGGCTATTTTTGAAGATTCACCGACTTGTAAGTATGACAACTGCCTATTTTAATGTGTAATTGTGTTATTTTTGATTCCTCTTTTTTCACAATTTGCACCATACAAATAAATATGATTGACTGATGATTGATCTAAGGTGACCTATACACAGATAAAGGTGAGATACAGTTCATAGTCTCTGCAGGAACGTGTGTGTGTACAAGAACATCTTATCTTGGCGAGTTATAAACACATCTATATCACTGCCACCTCCACATGCTGTAGGAGTCTGCTGAAGTAAAAGTAGTAACAAACCTGCTGCAAGATCCGAGCGCAGCCAAAAGAACACAAACAGTTTTAGTACTTTATAAATAAAACTGATGAGAAGCACCATTCTGCTGTTTACAAAATGTCAAAACTTGCACTCCTTAAACAAGTAAAAGTCAAAAGGATTCATCGTCAGCCGTAGCCCTTCGACAAATACGTTTGTGTAAGCTCTCAGTGGCGCAGGGATTATGCCTTTGACGAATGCTCAGACGGTTATAAGAAAAGCATGAACAATAGATACTGAACAATTTTAAGGCACGATTCAAAACGCGATCCAGGAAAACTTTTGGAAACAAATGTATCAAGAAAGTAGTTTTCACCGAGTCATTCTTCCCCCATTAGTACTCTTGGGCGATTCAATGTCAAGAGGTTCCATAACCAGTTTATACTTTAGCTGAAGAATATTCATTTCGGGATTCTTGAACATGAATTTTCCTTTTGACAGGATTGGGGCTGAATTGTATAGTTCCAGGTTCGTATTTAGTTCCATTTATTGAATCAGCCTTGTATAAAGTCTAGCATTCATTCCAGATGGTACAAGACTCGACCCCGACTCGAAGCCGGGCGAGTAAAATACATTTTGGCTTGGACTTTTATTTTCATTACTTTATTTTAGTAATGAGTTCTTACTGTATTTGGAAATTACCGAATTTTTAAATAAATACTGCGAGTAACTCTTCATATTTTGATTTGATAGATTAGATTCATAATTAAAAGGAAACAGTTCTGAGCCGCATCAAATTAAACTTAACTAAATATTTCAACGTGTTATGAAACGCTCAGAGTTTGGCCTTTCTTATCTGCTCCCTTTAAAATGTGAAATTAGATTATGTTTTAGGTTCTGTCTAAGAATGGAATGCAAGTTTCCCAGAAGTAAACACCACACTTCAGACAACGTAGAATCTCCCCCTTGTTTTATAATAATGTCTTGCACAACTGAGACGTGTGCTGCTATAACAAGCCCTTTAGAGATTTTTTTCAGAGTTATGCAGGCCTTTATCATGCACCGTTTATTATACCAAGTGCAACTCAATTTGTTCCAGCTTTCTATCTAAATCTGATTGCAAACCCTTGGCAGCTCAGAAATAAATGTCTGAGCTTTATATGGATGTTTTATACTAACTGGAGGTCATGTTTGTGTACGGTACAGCAACGATAATGTGGTCTTTTTTATGTACACATTTCTTTTTCAATATACTGTATATATTGCATATCGTCTTTTAACTATGGACAGTATTGTATTGTGCCCTTGATAAAAGATTAATTATTATTATTATTTGTGTAGTTGTATTTGTAGTACTTGTGGGCCTTGTAGTTTTGGACTTTGGTGACCCTAATTATAGATGGTAACAATCACTAGAAGAAAATCTAAATTCACATCTGGGCTACAATACTAAGTAAAGCTGGAGAATGCTCTGATGCAGTTTCACAGCTGAGGTAAATGTAATTTACATTTTTAATAAAAAATAGATTTTGGGTATTAAAATGTAATTGTGTTATTATTTTGGACTCTCTTTTTTCACAATATGCACCATACAAACAAATGTGATTTAAATTATATTTACTGTTGAACATACTATGTGTTATCAAAACATTTAGTTTTGTGTGTGGGTGTCTGATGCATCCCATAATGCCTTGCGTCTTGGGGTTTAGAATGCAAAAATTGCATTTTGCTGCGCTCAATGAATCAACAACTCAACTGTATAAATACAGCATTGAGTTGGTCCTGGTCTGTGGTACTGATCTGCTCATGGTGAGCCAAAGAACACTCAGCATAGGGCTGGGCGATATGGCTGAAAACTATATCACGATATAAGTCATTCATATCGGTCGATAACGATATATATTGAGTTTTTTTTTTAACCTAAATAAATATATTTGTCGTGTGGGCTAACCAACCTTAGCAGCCTTGTTTACAGTCACGGGGCGATGAGGCTGGAGGAATATGTTCACACTGTGTCCCTCGTTGTTAGTCCTGGTTTAATCCTGGTTTTTTATTCCTGGTTTAGCTCCTGGTTTAGCCGTTTGAGGGTCTTGTGTCCCCGTGGCCGCTCCGTGCGGCTCTCTGTGCCGCACATGCTTCCCGAGGAAAAAGTTAATCTCTTGCTTTCGCCGAATACATCGTGTCTGTCCACTGCCTCTGCCGCCGCCCATGTTATTCCGCGCACGTACGTGCATAACAATTGACACGGCATTGAAACACGAGCTATAGATCCATGGACGCCACGCATGGTGCGGTTGTTGGTGTTTTTGCATTTCCCACAAAGTTTTGCGGTTCCTGCTCGGCTGTTATTGGTCCAGAAGCCTCTGCCTACATCCCCCACAATGCCATGCGCTTATGAGTCGGCTTTACTTCGGGTATTTTCTTCCTGACGGAGTTAAGTTAAACTATCGAACATTCTATCGACCCCATTCTCTATTGATATCGAACACATGTCTATCGCGATATATATCGTTATTGTTTTATCGCCCAGCCCTAACTCAGCATCTACTTTTCTGGAAACAGTTGAAGATTCAGAGACAAATTTTGGTAAAGGGTCTTACCAAAGTTGAAAGCAGCCAGGGCCAGGCCAAAGAGAGTATGGAACAAGTGGAGAACAGTGGGCGGCTGGTAGAAAAGAAATCGCCGATAAACCAACGCACACGGGTATCCTGAAAACAGACAGGACACAGATTAGACTTTGTAAAGCTCAAAGGTAACGTATAAAAGATGACTGCTGTTTGCATTTGTTTGCATTTTAGACTGAAGAACACCGGGAGATTTTACTCCGTAAATCAGGCCCAACATTGACACACTGGTGTCCTATTGAGAGTGGACAAAATACACAAGGCCACTTGTGTTTTTGAGGTGAGAATAACGGCCCATGGAGCAAGGACAAATGACACATTCATTCAAATGAAACGGTTTGGAAAATTGCTTCCAGGCAAAACTATGCAAACTGCTGCGAGATCTCAATGTAGTGAACAACTCAGCAATCGCACAAGCTGCATACGAAGACTTTAGAAATAATATCTGAGGGAAATTATACAATAACGCTTTATAACATGACCATGAGGGAAATACAGGAATTTTATTGAACAATTTAAAACTGACTAGAAGTAAAGGAAATGTTTTGGTTATATTTGATATTGTGCAAGAAGTTCACCTTGTCTTTACGACATAAAACATCCATCAGCTAGTATCAAATTAATGGTAAAACAATAGCAACCTTTGAAAAATGAGAACTAAATCTTCTGATCTTTTCTGCTACTCTTCTGCTATTGAATAAAATGAAAGACAGCTTAGGTCAGGTTATGATCAGAAGAATGTAACTTTCTAGTATATTTACCATCTCTCCGCAACGATTGTTAGACCTTGAAATGTCTGACACAATAATGACTATGCGTAAAAGATTTAACTTCAATTTAAGAGAGAAATGTAACAAACAATTACATTACATATCACGATACATGGGCCCTGATGCATATTGCAGTAGTAACACATTAGGAAACAATCTACTCTAATTTTATTCTGGTATCTTAAGCATCATCATAGAAGTTCAACAGCCTCCAAAAAATACACTGCCAATCAACCACATATTGTCTTCTAAAGTTTAGAAACAAAGCTTCCTCCAAACTGCAGTAAAACATCCACGCAGTACATTAAATGAGCTTACCTTAACTTTTAAAATAAATGAAATATTGACAAATATTAAAGTGTAACCCAAAATACATAAACAAAATCGGAAAAAGAGGAATATTTGGTAAACGCCATGAATAACAAGCAAAGGCTTTACATCCCTTTGCATAATATGTCTGTATCATATGTTGGTTTCAAATTGTAAGTTGAATTACAGAAATAAAATAACCTTTTGAACAATATTCAAATGTTTCAGCGCTTCAATTTTCACAAGTACATAACGTCAAACCTCTCGCACTACCTGCCGGTCATATTGATACTCAATATAAAGTTACAGCCCTCGGTGAAATAGTGAAAAGCGAGCCAGGATGAAAAACTAGTAATAAAACACCAATAACAGATAATATTCATAAAAAAACTGGGTTTCAGTTAAGAATTAGATCATATTTTATCTGGTGATTTTCATATTCCAAACCATTACTGCCTTTAGTTATGGAGCAAAAATAGAACATTAACTGCACACCCTTAAAAGAAAAAGAAAGAAAAGTGTTACTATTTTTAAAGAGTAACGTTCACAGCAAAAGGTGATCAAAAACCAGTCAAAATGTATCTAAATTTGAGCTCATTTTTACTGCCTTAAAATAAAATTTGCCAATGGGACGAGAAAAATGAACTTGTTTTTTTAAAAGATACATGAAATATCTCCCGTGGAATGAGAAAATAAAAAGTTCTTTAAATATGACTAAATGGCTTCTAATATTGAGAAATAATGTACTAAACTAAGGATAAAAATTGTTACTTCATATTTTATATTCTTATATTCACTATGGACAAATTATTTTCAACTGCCCAATGCTTCGATCTGTGGATACAATGTTAAACGTCATGTGTGTAAGAAGGGCCGTCTGTAAGCACTGCCTCTCCCCCGCATAAAAGTGAATTACAGTAATAAGCTTATGAGGACGGCGAGCTCAGGCAGCGTGTAAAAGGATTTCAGTTTTAATAGTTGAATGACATTAAAGCTAAAGTAGAGTCTGTATTCGTGACATCTAAACCTGCTTACCCAGTTTTCAGACCAATACATGAATCATCTAAAATGCATGGGAATCTTCTATTGGTTCAGCAGTGCTCTCAGCTTTGGGCATATCTATATAGTTTATACAGCTAATTTCTCAATAGTGGAGCGAATAAAGCTGGAAGCAAACAGCTATACCATTTTGAAACAAATAAATTCCATTAAATGTATAATTTTGTAATGCCCTAAAAACACAATAGTAGTTATCTCGGAGGACTTTACAAGCCGTTGACCATACCGTCACCAATACAGATCAGAATCAGTTCAAACACAGGAAATGCAATGATTAAAACACATATAACCATTAGTCCATAAGGGGCAGATGGCTGATGTCCATAGAAGTTGATAAAGTTCATGTTCAGGTGTTGTTGAATGCCGAGTGTCCTGGATCATCACCACTGTCCTTAGACCCTCCTGCATCTGCACGGAATAACTCTTGAGAACCCAAGAGACTTCCTCTTCAGCCTGATAATCTGTTGATTTTTTTTTAACCACAGTCCAAGTGCACTGTGAATGGTTTCTATAACTATATAGTTATGTTCAGTAACTCACACTTGTAAATTGGCCTGTTTTCATAAGGACTATTTAGCCTAAGGGATGATACAGGCAAGGCAAGTTTATTTATATAGCACAATTCATACACAAGGCAATTCAAAGTGCTGAACAAAACAAGAAAGCATTAAAATCATAAATAATCACAGAACATTAAAAAGAAAGCTAAAAATATAAAATCCCTCAGTTGTATGCACAGCTAAACAGAACTGTCTTTAACCTGGTTTTAAACATTGTCATTGAGGAGGCCTGTCTCACTTTCAGGAAGATTGTTCCAGATTTTAGCAGCATGAATCTGAAAAGCAGCCTCCCCATGTTTAGTCCTGACTCTGGGCACTGACAGGAGTCCAGTCCCTGTGCTCCTCAGAGTCCGGGCTGGTTCATATGGGACTAACATGTCACTAATATATTTTGGTGCGAGGCCATGGAGAGACTTGTACACAAGCAGAGCTGTTTTAAAGTCTATTCTCTGAGCCACAGGAAGCCAGTGCAGAGACCTGAGAACTGGACTAATGTGGTCGTACTTCCTGGTTCTAGTCAGGACTCGAGCTGCTGCATTTTGAATGTACTGCAGCTGTTTTACAGCCTGTTTGGACAGACCTGTGAGCAGGCCATTGCAGTAGTCTAACCTACTGGAGACAAATGCATGAATAAGAATCTCCAAGTCTGCTTTAGACACTATGTTTTTGATCCTGGCAATGTTTTTTAGATGGTAAAAAGCTGCTGATGTTACTGATTTGATGTGGCTTTTAAAATTTAAGTCTGAGTCCAGTATTACCCCTAGATTTCTGACCTTGTTTGAAGGTTTTAGGGAGAGAGACTGTAGGTGACAGCTGACGCTCTCTCTTTGTTTCTGGGGACCAAAGACAATCATTTCAGTTCATTTACAGTCTGGTACTGTATCAATATGTTGATGTTCTATATGTGCTGATACCCAATTTGAACAGATACTAGTAAGGAATGTGAAAGTGGCAACAATAGCTACCTTGTCACATAATGGGTACATACTGGGTTAAAATTAGCCAATATATAGTCAATTGAATATTAACCAAAATCCAACAACGGTATCAGTAATGTAGATATCAGTGCGTATCTTTTCTCAATACAGTATCATCAAAAAGCATGAGACAAAAAGCAAAAGCTTAATTGAGAAGAGAGAATGATCTAACAAAAAGTGAATGAATCAATACAGAGACATGCACAATGTGAATACCAAGCATATAGTTAATAAAGTCAATAATGAGACCGGCTGCCGTCTTGTTTGAAATACAATTAATATGAACAATAATAAAGTCTATATTTCTGCACTTTCACAATCAAATCGCAACTATACAATAATGTAATAATAATACATAACATAAAAGATGTTTCATTATTGTTCTTAGATTTGCCCAGTGGGCAACAAAACTTAACTAAATTAAGCTTTGGTCTTTGTTTTCTTTGTGGTTGCTAGGTGAAAGCCTGTACCCATCTCATATCTGCAGTCTGTGAAACCAGGAAGTCCATATGTATTTTAAGTACAGTTTCCTGTGGACATAGCTTGGCAGTTACTACGAAATATTGCTGCACTATTATGCAAGGCCATTAAGCAACAGTGGAGCAAGGAGCAGTCTGAGGCTCCACAGATCACTCAAAGGTGGAATCGTGAGCACAGACTGTTCTGTTATCAAAGACCAACACATAAACGAATTCCTTCAAACCTTACACTTTGATTAGTTGGGACTAAAACAAATAATATATGTTATTAGCCATCACCAACTAACTACATATATTCATATAACTATTTATGAAAGTTATGGACCCATGCAGACATTGGATCAGCTAATTGGTAAAAATATATATATATATAAACACAAAACGTGTATAATATATGATCACCTCTTCGTTTAGTTGTTATTACCAATGTATTGCATACCATAGTTTAACAGTAGGAGTTGGAGGAACTAGAAAACGTGTCCAACCATGCAAGTTCACATGACCTCCAACCAATCAGTAATCAGTAAGAAATGTTGGGTTGCGAAGCATTAACCGAATAAATAGCCGAGTGAGGCACAATACTCATGCACTGTTAAACAACAACATGGCTAGAGAGATTAAAAAGTATTGCAGCCAAATCTAAAATAAAATCTAGAAGCGGTTGGCTGCGTGGCTCCCTGTGTTTATGTCAATCCTTGATCCTAATCCGCGCACACACAAACAGCTTGTGAATGACACGTCTTGGTAAACAGGTCCAGCAATGTTTAACCACATTCTTACATCTGTTTAGGAAACTTTAGCGATCGTGATGTAATTTGCACACGGACATAGCTTTAAACATGCATTTCGGTACAAAACGGACGAAAACAATGCACCCATGGCAAGCTTTCAAACAATACAACAGCGCCCAATGCAGAAGTCGCTTAACCAGCTCGTAAATCCAGCCAGCTATAACCGACATGGAGGAAGGGTGATGCAAACGGAAACATTTGGTTCATGTGTTGATGTTTTATTGCATCTTTTTGTGGCCACATCTTTGCAGCAGACTTCGCACTGACATTAGCGATGAGTTCACTTTCTCGCATTACACCCATAATAACTGCTCTCCGTCATCTGCCAGTGCGATTGTCGTGACTTGAACATACACGCATAAGTTACATTCACTAAAACGCGTTACTCACCTACTAAAATAGATAGAATAAGGCGCACAGCTGGTTCTGGTGCTCCTAAGGACTCGGATACTTTCTGCATTAAGGGAGCCGCCATCTTTCTTGTGGGCGGAGTGAGCACGCGCCGCCTGACTGAAGTCTCCTGATGCAGACCTATGGCAGAAAGCTTTTTATAGGCACATGTCTCCTCCTTATACTACTCCTCCCTCGACACACGCCGCACAAAGGCCTTTATTCGCCTTTAAAGCGTGTGTTTTAAATAATTAATTTTGTTTTTCACGTTGAGAGATTAACTGTCAAGCACGGCGTGGCTGCATTGGCTGGGTTTCAGGCGACGTCACAGCATTGTAAAAGTTAAAGAAGAAATATCATGCATTATTTTGGCCGTTGAATATTATAAAGGGGGCATTTTACTTCGTCATGTTGTGTGAAATAATATTGTGAATTGGAAAAATATGGTGAAACAAGTACCAAGGGTGAATAATTCTATCCACCTGCAACTCCCTATGCTACCACCAGAGGGAGGAGTAAGCCACATAATTTTAAAGGATGTTCCATTAAATGAGAAATTCCTAAAACAGACATTTGAGCAGTATTTTTGTTTTAAAGGTATATAGGAGGATTATCCCAAAGTTTAGGAAAGAACCACCCGCTCCACTTTTTGAATAAATATCTCTGGGCTTATTTGTCGAGCACGTATCCCCAGAATGATTGACAATTGGGAGGACCAATAGTCCACCCGGAAGTAGAAAATCCTCCTATACATAGTTCCTACATGACGTCACTACATACGGGGATTTGCCGACCCGGCGCCATTTGTGTTGGCATTCTGTGGGCAAAACAATAGAAAAAGAAGCTGAAACGTGTTAATGTCGTGATAAAGTTGAAAATGGTCATCTCCTGCTGGGTCAATGGATGTTCAAATCGTGCCGGAGGTTCCGTTAAACTTGGATTTTACAGTATACCCATCATTAGACTTCATGAATGTGAGAAGACTAAGCTTTTGTCAGAACAACCACGGAGGTTATGGCTTGCGAAGATAAACAGGCAAGAAACTCCCTCAAAACACGCAAGAATATGCTCGGAGCACTTTGTGTCAGGTGCGTATCGTATCTCATAATGTGTTGACAGACGTAATTTACTCAGTACTAACTTGTGTATGCTGATATCTGGTAACTTGAGAGTTTCATTATTTAGATTACTTTATTATGAGGAGGATCGGTGTCGCGTCCGAGGCTCTCGAGGGCAACGTAAATGTATTAAATAGATAATAATAGTTCTATGGTGGGCTAAAACAATGTTCACAAACAGCATTGCTTCTGTAAAAAGATCTGTGTCATAAAATAAACTGCTCTTTACGCCTGGAAAAATCAGTTGCCCACCATTCACCAAAACATACGGTCAAAAACGCGGAAATAAACAATGACAGCAATCCAGAGTGTCCGTGTGGCATTAGCATTAATTAAATTAGTTGTTAATATAATTAAAATAATTAAATGGAGCTCCAACTGGTATTAAATCTAAAGTTTTTGAGAAATGTTTGCATTGCTTGTTAATTCTTGCTGCATAATTTGATCAAATATGTAAAACATGTCCGTAGCACGTTAAACTGTGGTGCCATTGTATTAATATACAATTATTTGCTCAAAAGTTGCCCTTTTTTTCCAATTTGCGTTTGAATATCTACATTTATTCTCATTCTTCTGTTTAATGGAATGCACAAACACAGCAGCGTGCCATCAAAGATGGCGTCTCCGAGGAGGTCATGTGACATTCATTGGTCTGTGGGAACTATGTATACCTTTAATAGTACAATGACATCATACTAAAAGAGGCCTGAGACAGGAACCTTTAGTCAGAGGAGCAGGGTCACGTGTTTGCATGGAACATGTTTTGGAACAACATAATATGTGTGAATCTGAGGTCATTGCTTGCTCCCCATGTGCAGCAGCAAGAAGTTTTTCGTGCGCTTGTGGAATTTATTTTTAGTACCGGACTGTACCAGAGAATTTGAATGGGCCTAGGGTGCAATAATTGGATCCATCAGTGAAAGGCAGCAATGCGCCAACTGGCGCACAGTCTGCCGGAAACCCACAAGAAGAAGAACAACAACAACATAATATGGTTAAATGCTCAAAGAAAGATGATTTGCTTTATATGTCTCCTTTAAAAGTGGGTTACCTAACTTTATGTTTTGAATAAAAAATATATGTTGTCCGTGTCAACAAAAAGATGTTATGATTTGTTCACAACATTTTACTATTCCAAAATGCTGTCTTTATCAAAGAAAACCTCTTTTGCATACTTGCACAAAAGAACCCTGTGAGGCTGTGGGCCACGTGCTGATTGGCTGAGTGAGGGTGTCTGTTTTTCCTTTTTTTTCGTCTAAAAAAGCTGATGTGATGGAGGTGTGACAGAGGGCAAACATGCATGAATGTGAAACTATTGATAAAACCAAGCTGTACATTATACTGTACATGGATTTTCTATGGTTTTGTGGCTTGTCACGTACCCCAGCTATAACATAGAAACATTTTAAATACAGATGGGAGCCGCTATAAGAAAATGTGACTTCACTTTTACATATTCAATTACACAGCTCGTGTCTTTTAATGTGTTCAATGAAATTAGTTTTAATTAGTTAAATTATATAATATATATATCAACACTTCATAATAATTATGTTAAGTCCCCATATCTACATTTGTTTGACCTTTTATCGAGCAGATGAGGAAACTATTGAATATTAGTCATTCTGACCAGAACAGAGACTTTAATATCACCCACTAATGTTTAACACTTTGTTGCTGATTGACAAAAGAGCACATTGGAAGAAGGAAAATCCCCGGAACTCCAAATGTAATACAATTGATATTGACTGTTGTCTCTTATTTTACCAACTTCTACAAATGTGCAAAATGAAAGTGATTTTTTTCCTACAGTTTGTTGTGTTTCACCCTATAAAGCCTCCCATAATAACTTGTGCTATAAAAAAGCGACATGAAAAACACAGTGAAACAGAAACTGTTTTTAGTTCACTGTAAACCGTGGACGCCCTCTTGTGGTCTATGGTCTACACACTAAACTGCAGTCTGGATTAACAATTTAAATATACAAAGCAATATGGACAGCTTAGTCTGTGTACAATCAAGCTACTAAACATGATGTAAATAGATACGCATCTGCATAAATCCTATATTCATTAAAATTGAGTGTCTCAAAGCGCATGTCAGTACAAATGATTAATATACGTCACTGCTTAGATTTTGTTAGCCTGGCCGCAGCCATACGTACATTCCGCTCTGTCATCATTTCACTGCATGATATAATTTCTATTTAAATGTTGTACTATCAAGTTAAGATTGGGATTATGATATTTACAACTACAGGGGGCCGCCCATTATGGACGGCCTACTGGAAAAATATAAAGAGTAAGACTTCTGGTGAGTTTGTGAAACATTGATTCGAAGGAAAAATACACACATAGCTCTCAGTTATGGTGTGATTACGTGTTTTATTTTTTGATGTTCTTATTAAGTTTGTGGTACTTCCATAGCATAGGAAACACGTAACATAATTTAGTAGTGAACGAAGACGTTTCTTAAATAATAAAACAATTATAAATGTTACTTGTTTTACAAGTGCCTGGTTGTATGCAAATTATAAGAACCATTACCCAATGGGCTTCATGCAACTGGGCGTGTAATTGTGTGTCCGGCCAATCAAATCATCACAATAAAATAATCAGTGAAAAGTCTAACAACATATACCAACAAATTAATATACACATTAAACGTACATTCAATTCATAACAACAACAAAAACACACTGCTTGCATAATCCAGAAATACAGTTTATGCAACTATTGCTGCAATTTCACAAAACGTGCACTTGTTGTGTGCCATTCATTTACATAGTGCTTTTCAAGCGTATTATTACACACGTTAATTTTATAATTTGCTTTTATTTCATGATTTGTCAACTTAGATATGTTTGACATGCAGCGTTTGAAGGCAGCATGACTTTTTGCAGTGCACTTCCGTATGTGCTCTGGGCGTGCCAGCGTTTAACCAATGGCCTTCGCGGGAGGAGGGCGCGTGTACCTCAGTCTATAAATTCAACAAGCTGCGGCCTCTCCCCCGCTCTCTCGCCACAGACAAGAAGGACCCTGGTGGTGGTTATTGAAGGTTACGGCTCCTTTCATTTCTTATTTCTAAGCAAAAAATCGTCCTTGCGTCCACAACCATGAGCAGGAAATTCTTCGTCGGTGGAAACTGGAAGATGAACGGCGATAAGAAAAGCCTTGGGGATCTCATTCAGACCATGAACGGAGCCAAAGTGGACCCCAATGTCGGTACGTGAATCCTACACAGGCAGAACCATTTTATATCACGCTGTATTACGCAATCCAATGCCGCTGCAGTCCAGTGTGTCATACGGGTAAATGCAAGAGTATCCGCTCCTTATAGGCCTTCCTCTCTTTGTATATTCCCGGTTTGCTTTTAGTAGGAAATATGCAGAAATATTCTGCGTATGACATGGCGGTGTAGTCCTAGTTTTGTCCTGGTTTCAAATGTAATAAATCGATATGAATCTGGCCTGAGGACTACGCCATTGCATAATTTTAAGTGCTCAAAGGTGCATCCAATGACCCACACCTCACGAATTAAGTTAACTGGGTTATGGAGCATCACTGCCCGATTGAAAGGTCTGGATCATGTCGTCTCTGTGGTGGGCGTGTGTTCGTTTTCAGCAGCACGTACTCAATCCACAACACTGTCAGCGCTGCCCATAGTGGTGCGTTCAGGGGCCTCTGTCGTCTATTCTCATCATACTGTCTGTTGATTCCGCTGATTATAAACAAAAATATGTTCTAGTGCATGCAGGCCTATCAAACATGTTTAAAGAACAAAATTGCTTATTAGTTATAAATCTATATTGAGATTGATATTTTCAAAGCTGATTTATATTTGGGGATACAATACAGTATAATAATGAATATAATCGAGGTCCATTGCACTTTGGTGTTATTCAACTGCCTGCAGACCTTCCTCTATTTTATGAGTGCATATTAATTAGCTTAGTGAAGCTCTATAGTTTCCTTGTCTCTATTTGGGGCTTTAAACACTAAGTGGAAATGGAACACTCATTGGATGGTTTTCACAAAGTACCTGATAAGATTGAACGCTAAATATCAAGGTTCTCACGTAAAAGTCGAAAGCTTGGATTTTCACATTTGTGAACAGTTTAGTTCCATCGTTATGAAAAAGCTTGAAGGACCATGTTCCTGTCCCAAATTTACACATTTCATGCAGTGTTTCATGCATTATAAAATATAAAACTATGCAAAGGGTCCTTTTCAACCTTTTTTGACCCCTGTCCTCTTCAGTATGCAGGCCTGACATTTGCCAGATGAACTTAGACCTTTAACTCACCCACATAAATGACCTTAACTAAAGCCAACTCGCAGGTTTTATATAGACTTGTGTCCAGTCGCTTTACACACTGTGAAATGGCAGGGAAAACTGATGAATATTTGTTCCAAAATGGGGCTAGTGCTTTATTTTATTAATAAATTAACTTTGCAATAACTTTTTAACACCCTGAATGAATGAATGCATTCCAGATTCAGAAACTCCTTTCAAACGTATTTCTTTATTATTAAATCCGTCTTCAGAGTGGTGGTTGCACCAGGCAGAGACGTGTATGTGTAAACACGTGCTGGAATTGTTTACACATACACAATTCCAGCACTTCCAGCACCCCCGACCCAGAAATGGACTAATAAAGGGGTTGATAATGAATGAATGAATGAATGAATGAAGAAATTGACCAATACTCCAGAATAAGATTTGCCAGTGAAACAATATTGCCTTGTTTAAAAAGAAATGTTATTAAGATTAAAATATCCTTTATTCATCCCATAGTGAAAAATTCTGAAAATTGGCAAATTTGCCTGGAATATTCCAGTTTGGCAGAATCAAAATTATTTTATTGTCAAGTCACAAACTAGGAAATGGCTTTGGCTCTCAAATCTCTCAAAGTCAAAGTAGAATAGAATAGGCATGCATAAATAAACTGGTATCTTGCAAGTAATTAACTACAATATGTTTGTGTTAAAGGGGAAAAAGTTTATTTCAAGAATTTATTGATGCCCTTGCTCTTCCAGAGGTGGTGTGTGGCGCTCCTTCAATTTACCTGGACTTTGTCAGGTCAAAGCTCGATGCCAAATTTGGTGTTGCTGCGCAAAACTGCTACAAGGTTCCCAAGGGTGCCTTCACTGGGGAGATCAGGTAAAAAAAAGTATCATCTTTTATGTACTTTATTGTTAAATTAACATTTCCAACTTTGTGTTTGTTAAATCATTTTGAATAATCTATTGGTTTTTGTTAGCGTAATCTTTTAAGGTGCATTTATTTGACCAACCCTAAATGTAAATCTGTTTCTAGCCCTGCAATGATCAAGGACTGTGGGATCAACTGGGTGATCCTGGGACACTCTGAGAGACGCCATGTTTTTGGAGAGAGCGATGAGGTAAGCAAACTATTTTACATGATTAATGTTTCTGAAGGGACTAACTTGTTTTTTGTCTGTGCAGCTGATTGGACAGAAGACCGCGCACGCGCTGGAGAATGGCCTGGGAGTGATCGCCTGCATTGGGGAGAAGCTGGACGAGAGGGAGGGAGGAATCACTGAGAAGGTTGTGTTTGCCCAGACCAAAGTCATTGCAGGTGTGTAGAACCTACTGTACAAAGTGTAGAAATCCACCGCTTGTGCAATACTGAAGAACATTGCATTTTTTTTCTTTTTCAGACAATGTAAAAGACTGGAGCAAAGTGGTGCTTGCTTATGAACCAGTGTGGGCCATTGGCACAGGAAAGACTGCCTCACCACAGCAGGTAAGATTAGAAAAGTATTTCAATTGTTGCATTATCTTTCCCCAGAGTTTATTGTGTGCTTTTCGACATATCTTTAGGCCCAGGAAGTCCATGACAAACTGAGGGCATGGCTCAAAACTAATGTTTCAGAGGACGTGGCCAACTCTGTGAGGATCATCTATGGAGGTTGGCGACTTAGTTTAATTTAACCTGCATGATTGACGGTAGCATAAGTTTTTCCTCACAAGTCCCTTTTACAGGTTCTGTGACTGGAGGCACCTGCAAAGAGCTTGCATCACAGAAGGATGTGGATGGTTTCCTTGTGGGAGGAGCCTCACTGAAGCCAGAGTTCATCGAAATCATCAATGCAAAGGCATAAAGTGTGCAAAGGTTTCATGATAATGTTAGAGGTGTAGATGTTTAGATTGTTCAACCCATATTCAGCACTGCCCTTTTATTGGAAGATTTGTGCAATGTTGTCATTCCCTGCTTTACCTTTAATTTGCTCTTTTTGTTAAAAAGGGACAGATTGGCACATGAAACTGCACTGAGTTAAGTCCACTTAGGTCTAGTCTGTGCTACTAACTTCCACAGCAGCAAGTGGTGGAGCTGCAAGTGCAGCCTACACTTCAATGGACCAGCAGTCCACAACTGTACTTGAACAAGTTTACAAAGTATTGTGTAAACGTGTCAGAGCTCTTGTCAATCAAATTTGTTTTAATGTTTGTGTCTGTAATTCATTGCCTCTTTGGTCTGTTCTTCACATGTCGAGTTGTGTGACTGATTTGATCACAAGGAACATTTCTTGACTCAAACATTGTAATAAACTGATGCTTTCAGTGTTTTTGCATCATGGTCTTTTTAATTATTTGTATATGTAACTGTTGCCCCTTTTTGTTTGCACTAATGACCAGAGTATGTGTATAGTGACTAAATGCTATAATGCTTATACTCTTACAGAACATAACCAAAACCTATGTTAATTTCCCATGGGCTATAAAATACTGTAGAATGTATATGGAGATGAGTATTTGAAGTAATGGGGTTTCCAGCAGAGGGCAGTGTGCAGCTAGCCTTATCAGCCTCCTGGATAACAAGTGATTTTTATATTTATTTGTTTGGAGACAATTTTTGGCAGGAAATGCGACTTATTTTCCTTGAGCAGCTGTGAAAGTGAAATTGTGTAAAACCAACAGTTTACTCTATTTTAGACCCTAAGCCCAAACCCCAGCTATACCTCCATTTATATTTACAAAAGAACATTTCTATGGTGGCTTTTAGGTTAGCACTCTTGCTGCTTAGCAAGAATCCTGAATTTGTTTCCTCCTCCAGACAGGTCCTTTCTAAGTGAAGTTTGCATGTTCTCTCTCTGCTTGTTTGCTCTACCAGTGCTCCGGTAGTCCTGACCAGAGTATCAACATCTGGAGATGGGTCCAGGGAGCTGTACTTGGCAATCTTCGGTCCTGACAGAAGCCCTATTGGAATTGCAGGATGGGACAAATGCAGAGGACTAATTGCCTTGTGGGGATCATGTGTTCCCCTTATAAAGGGAGGAAATGAGCCATTCGAGGCCAAACTACAGGGCCCCATTAGCACAAAGTTCCCAGACATTTGTTTTTACTTCAAAGGGTCCTAAACTCGATTCAGTTTTAATGTTGATATTGTTCCAGTTGGAGAGGGATACTGTCCTGGCCCTGTGTTCTCAGTGCATGTTGGTGTCCCCCAGGGCTGCCCTTTGTCTCCAGTTCTGATCACTGGTGACAGAACAGGGACCCAGTGGGTTCTGGTTCTGTCTCCACAGTGACACTAAAAGGTCGATCTCAAGAGGGTATGTTTTAGCAGCTTGAAGGTAGTGGCATTTGAATGTTTAGTCGACCTCCTAAATGGTTGGTCCAGAGGAGCCACCCCCAGGGCCAGCACCACCACTGTTCACTCTGATCACAGAACAGGGACCCAATGGGTTCCGGTTTGGGGACCATGAAAAACTCCTTTGGATGAGCTGGAGGTGGAGGACGGGCTGGGCTTATTTTTCATTTGATCTGATTTCAGATGAAAAGCATTATCAAGGAAGTCTCTCAGAAACATGTTACATCCAGTAACATGCTGAGTGGAGAATACTGCTGCATGTAACATCCTTCTATCAGGGTCAGAGTGAAGGATCTGGAATGAAAAGGTGTTCAAGTATGTGTCGCCTTTGTGCTCCGTCTCCTGATTAAGAGACTGCACTCATTCATTCAAGTGCCTCTGCCACAGGTACTTCACATGGAGACTGAGGGCAAACCACTTGTCTTTGAGAGAGACATGACAAATTACATAACCCTTTGTAACGATGTAAAACCAACAGGAAAAAGATCTAGACAATTAGATGTGAACCACCTTAATCATTAACAGACATTCACTACCCCACAAAGTTACTATATTTACAATAGATGGCAATCAAATAACTGGGTAATTCAAAGCATAATGCAAACATTAATTATTAAGTCTTCATCTGATGAAAAGATGTTCCATTGAGATTTTCACAAGAGGGAAATCAAAGAACCCCCAACATAAGGCTTCCATGGTTTTTGGGGACAGTGTTTTTAATCATAATCCTTATGACACCTTTCCACAAACTATGAACCTATATTTTTTACTTTATTAGTAGTACCATTATGTTTTGCCTTTTTTTCTCTTTTATTGTCTGCATATGATATTTATTTAGCAAAGTCTTCAATCATGATTGTATGATGTCATAGATCACATACATTTAGCTCAGGTCTCCACAACGAGATGAACACAGGCCCAGGGACACGTTACATTTGGTCGCCGACACAAATTTCCAAGGTGACTTTTACAGTCGTTCACATCTTCATGTAAAGCATTTCTGAATGCAGCTACTTCCTTTTGAAATGTTTTATGTTTTTAAAAACACATTCTGCGACTGATATGTGATATATGTCTACTGTACACAATACGTTATATAAAACTATATGTATGTGTGTATATATACATATATATATATATTTTTGGGCTTGGGTCCAAAGCCCTGTTCCTAGCACTGCAGTATATTATATTTTGGGAAAATACATTTATAGTCTTTCTTGATGCGATTGAAAACATATGTATAAGAAGGTCAACAATCTGATGTTTATATTTATTTTTATTGTAAGAATTCTATTTTCATTAGTTTTTTAGAGGTTTTTACCATATCCACACAGTTAAGTCTGACATTCTCTATATTTACATGCTATTTATCATCACTGTTGTTCAGCACTTCTTCTCTTGTTTGAAAAGAATAGCTTCACCTATGTCAGTACAATGAAGTTTGTGTTTAAGCCGATCTCTTTTTCTTATAGCTTGATTTGTTTGTTCTAATAATCTTTATGTGTGTGTGTCTGTGGAATGCTGGCTCTCAGAGGTGGCTGCTCTTCACTGCAGCAGCTCCTATGTCTCGCACTCATCCCATGTGTCTTCTATTAGCCACACTGAGCCAGAGAGAAAAGAGGAGGTAGAAGTGGATACGGAAAAGGCAGATCCAGAGCCATGTACAGAGAACAAAAATGACAAAGAAGGAAAAGAGAAAAAGAAGGAAGGGGTGCTATGGGGGGAGGGGTAGGAGGAATTTGATATGCTTTGTGCACAAGTGACTTGAATAAAACAAAGCCAGTTTGAATGTAGTCGAAACCAAAAACAGTAAATGCATGAATTCAATAAAACACAATGTTTATATAGCAAAAAAGGTTATAATTTATTTCCTTTTTTTTGCTTTCAATTGCGTCTTGTTTCACAAGGTAAATTTAAAATAAAAACTGACCGTCATACCATAAATGTAAAAAAATAATACAATAATATGTACTGTATATATAATTATGTCATTATCAACAAACAGACAACATTTATAAGAACATTACTATTGCAAAACATAACACTAAATTGCTGGTCTCATGCATTTAGAACACCCTCAAAGAGCAAAGAGGGGTAAAAAGTGAACTCAAAGTGTCACCAGGTCAGGATAAGCGCCTACACTGCAAAAAGGAACTATCTACGCACATTTAAACAGCTTGAATTCATCTGATACAATCTTTATTTCTAAGTAGTTTTACTGCATTTACTTTTTTTTTTCATTTGTTGCAAGATCCTGTTCTAGTTCTGATCTGAAGTCCTAATCCTGACATGATGTTGATGTGTGCAACTTTATATTACTACATCACGAGATCTGAAGAAACACTGAACAGACCTTTTCTGGGTTTCGACCACACCTTACCAAAAAGCGTGTTTAAAGAAGAGAATCCATAGACTAGTAGATAATGAACAGTGGATAAAACAATTAGCATTTTCACACAGACCATAAACCAGGGCTTTTCGACCAAAATTCCTGGGGCTTCTGTTCCTTTCAGACTGAGCGACACAATTGACCCTCCTTGGACTCTTCACTTTTTTCTGGGTCGTGCTCACTGTGAACAGAAGTGCTGTATTTCCACAGCAAAAACACCAAACTGTTTTATAGCCCGTTGCTGTTAGGTCAGGTGAGGAAGGTTATAAATCTACACACAAGTCATACGAGGGAGAATAGTTGGTACAGTGTAACAAACCACATAACACTCTTTTTGTCTATGTCAGCCCGTTTTGTAATACATTAAAATGCAATCCTCTCTGATCCAGGGTATTCTCATCTTGCCTTAAGAAGAATTATTTTGAAGGTCAAAAGTTTATTTTGCTGTTTGGTTTTGGGCTTAAAAACTTGGTCTGCAGAATGAAAACGCCTAATAATGTACATTTTTGTGTTTAATTGAAAATCTTCTAATGGAAATGTTGATTATAATAGGAATTGTCAGAATCCCTAATAAAATCCTTGAAATTAAGCAGAGAAAGTAAGAAACAACTTCTTCTCTTAAATTCAAGCTATTTAAAGTCCTGTAGATACTTATTTTTAACCGCTACATGCAAAAAACATAAAATTACACGTTCCTTCTGGCATCAAATATTTTACAAAGTCTTTACAAAGTCTCCCCTGTGTTTTCTCGAACTGTACAGGGCTCATTACAAAACACTGGGAAGCGCTTGAGTCCAAATCTTTCAAACAGTGACTGTGCAACATCATTTGTCCCATTTGACTTGTCGATCCTTCGAAACTTATCAAAAACAGTCTCGTAGCTTTAGTCCTTAAAGTCTGTTTGGTCTCTGTCCATTTTAGTGCTTTTCGTTCTGTTCTCTGAAACATTCTTCTGACGCCTCGTCGGTTCACCCTCCCTCACAGGGTCTTGTCGCTCTCCTTCTTCAGGTGACTAAAACAGATCAAAAGATGGAAATTAATCAGCCGTTCTTTCAGGGAAGAGATAATATTGTAATAATAATCTTATTACCATGGAACAGAAAACAAAATTTGAGAGGTCATTCACTGAACTTATATACTGTCTAATGTCTATTAATAAAATATTTTTCATTGGGCTAAATCACTCATTCACAGAGCACTTTACATGAACCAGGTGTTTTACTTTGATATTCTAGTTTGCATATCTAGATATGATTATGTTAACTAACTAATCAATCAAGTGCCTTCTTCCTCCATATTAAGTTTTGGCTAGAAAACGACACAAGAGGGAACGGACCAGCCTCACTCCTGATTGGATCTTTGGTTTCCGTATTGTGGTGGCTATTACAGAAATCGGCACAAGCTCACTGTCTATGGTAAGCTAACCAACTTCTTTCTACAGTCCATGGGATGGTTAATCCCATTCACATCAAACACAACCCCAGGACAACAGCCATATGTATAACATCTGTTACTCCGTGAGAGTCAGTAGTTGTGCTACATGAGTGAGAGTACCTGTAGTACTCTTCCTGGGAGAGTGAGTGGTGGTGGTGGATCCACTGCTGTTCCAAAGCCAGTCTCTGGATCTGCAGCTCTGCGCTCTGGGCCTGCTGCATGGCCTGCAGCTGATGAGCCGCGGACATAGGCCCTGAGAGGGAGGACGACTGGGGCAGCTCACGAAATGGAGCACCTATAAAGTTACACAAAACAACAGATAATCAACAGTGTTCAATGGCACCTCAGTGTTGAATTCTTATAAAGGGAAATAAAACTGAGTGAGTACATGGACGAGGAGCCTTCTCCTCACCAAACAGCTGTTGGCGGAGCACCTCGCTGTCAGTGAGGGGGTGTGCCAGGATCGGGGTTCCAAGAGTTGCTCCGGGATAAGGGAGGCGCGCCAAAGGAGAGCCTGACGCCAACGGGTCCATCAGGGGGTGAACCCCGCCCGCCGCTGGATGCCAATGATGTAATAGAAAAGACAGGAAATATTCAATAGAGGTCAAAGGAGTGTCTAAGTAAAGGGCATGAAGTCATTTCTGCAGACTCCATTGTATTACTGTACATTTACATGCAACTCAGTTCATAATATCTGCACACAGAGCATTACATTCAGAATAGCCTTGTTATAGCAGTTGTACCTGTGTCTTGCTGGTGCAGGTGCAGATGTGAGTGGATGTGTGAATGCTGATGATGATGCGGCGTCACGTTCATCATCTGAAGCCGTCCCAGGTTTTCTCCTCCCGCTCCTCCCCCTGTGCCTGCAGCGCCTCCTGTGGTCCCAGTGCTGCCTCCTCTCTCTCTCTCCCTCTCTCTCTCCCTCTCCCTGTCTCTGTCCCTGTCCCTATCCCGCTCTCTGTCCCTGTCCCTCTCTCTTTCCCTCTCAGAAAAGGCAGGCGCTCTGTCCCGGTCCCGGTCTGCACTCCGGTCTCTCTCGTAGGACGCAGGGGAGCGACTCTGCGGGGGGTAGTTCTCAGGGGCGGGTGCGGGAGGCAGGTGAGGTCCGGTGAATGAGGAATGTGGGGAGGTCTGGTGGAGGGAGGAGGCTGTGGAGGTGGGCGGAGGGGCAGGTGCTGGGGCTGGAGGTGCTGTGGGAGGCGGGGCGGCTGGAGCGGGTGGAGGGGGTGCGGGGGGCAGAGTGGGCGGCAGGAGAGACGATGGAGGCGGGTTGGGCAGTGGTGGTGGTGGGGCAGGTGCGACTGGGGGTCGCGTCACCGGAGCCAGAGCTGGATTTTGGATATGTGGAGGATGGGGTCCAGGAGGTGGGGGTGTTCCATAAATGGAGACCTCTGGGCCTCCCCCACCAGCTCCCAGCAGCAGAGGGTGGCCATGTGCACTGGCATGAGCGTGGGAGTGCGCGTGAGCGTGCGAGTGGGCTAGCGCCAAAGCAGTGGGGTCGCCCATGTGGCCTGGCGGGTAAACACGGTCATCACTCTTGAACTCGTACCTAAGAATCAGAACCAGAATCCAAATCAGAATTATTTGTGTTTTCATTGCAACAGGAAACAACTGAAACAACACAAACTCATACCCAAAAAAATTGTAATAATGAACATCCACATTTATAAATTCTACATTTAAATATGAATACTTGGGCCAATATACAGCGCTTGACACTTGCAATGCTCCGAGCGGGGCTGCCCTCTTGAAATACCGCCCATGTAACTTTCGAGCAGACGGACCGTCTGCCACCAGGTCACGTGACTTGGAAGAAAGACTTGCTTTACGGCTACAGGCGCTGATATACTCATGGAGCTAAGGCTTTTGCTACTCATTTTTCACCTGCTCGACTCCTGGTCATGGCTGAGGCAAGGAAAAAGTTTTAAACCTTCGGAGGAGGCTAAAAAGAGGAAACGCGAAAGGGATCGTGCTGTAAGCTGCATGTCTGTATGAGCGCTGCTGTTCACCTGGTTCCTGGATGTCATCGACCGCGGCAACGATGTCATTCCACGCAGCACGAGCTAGACGCAGAACTCCCTCATCCAGGATATAGAGTCCATGTGTGGTAGATTACTAATTGCAGCGGTCTGGAGGCTGACCACAGCAGAGTCTCTCAATATCTGTAGGCATGTCTCTACAGTTTGAACACACACACCAGTGCCTGCTGTCTGAATACACACTCAAAAGACACCGGCTGACTGTTTGACTTTTGCGACAGTGCTGAGTTGCTTGTGGCCACTAGGGGCGCTAAACGTGAAAGTTGCAGGTCTAGCGCCCCTAGTGGCCAAGAGTTACACGGTGTGCCTTTAATCATTGTAGATTTGTTATCATCATTTTCATTATGTAGGTTATAATAATGACTAAACGTACCCTGGCTTTAGTCGATCCCGATGCGTCGGTATACCGTGAGGGAAGCCCACTCCGCCCAAACCCGCTCCGCCAAGTCCCCCTGGTACATGTCCTCCATGCATACCCGGGTGTCCGACTGTGGGACCCCCCTCCAGACTGCCACCGTACAAGAAGCCCAGAATGGCGGCGGCAGTGGCGGCGTCAGCTGGGAGGTGGTGCGGGTGAGCCATGGCAGCGTGGTTCTGAAACTGGGGCAGGAAGAAGGACGGGTGCATGTGCGGATGTCCGTGGTGCATTTGCGCGTGGTGCACCGCCGCGCGGCTCGCTGCCCCCAGAGGAGACATGGCGTGAGGGCGGGCGTACTCACTCAGAGTCCTCAGAGCTGGTGTGTCAGGGCCCAAGTACGGCCCCCCAATCCCGATGCCCAGACTCCCCTGTGGCCCCACAACTGCGGGGGCCCCACCCATAGAGGGCAGCAGGAGCGAGTGGGGTATGGAGTGGGATAGGGAGGGGTGCAGGTGGTGTGCTGGGGTCAGGTGTGCATGTGGGTGGGACGGGTGGTGCTGAGGGTGAGGAGGGGGTGGGTGCGGGTTCACCGAAGAGGCGGAAGAAGAGGACGGGTCCAGGATGATGGAAGAAGACGAAGGAAAGAAGAGAGAAGAGCCTCCACGAGCAGGGCCTGCTGCGTTCACCTCCTTCTGCTGAAAATGTTAAATAATTGCGGTTAATAATAATAATAATATTAATAATTGAGTTAATAAGATACAATTAATTCCCCAATATTTCTTTAGAACAATAAATCTATCATCATCATTCATGGCACAAATATTTTTCATTTTGAAATATAAGATTAAACGTGTAAAGTGTGGGATGTGTTGACTTCATTCAAATAAGCCAAATTCTATGGATATTGAGCCGTACCTATTGAGGAACAAATAGTATTCAGATTACATTATTCCTCAAAGTAAACCCATTTAATCTAGCACAATGTGGAAACTTACTTTGAATTATAAAGTACACCTTAACTCTTGAGGATCTGAATTGCTACACTTTTTATATAGCAACCAGGTGTGGGGGGCTAGATGCAGCTAATGGGGTCCACACTAATAAACAAACAATCCCACAAACATTCTCTAATTTTGTATTACCGGTAATTAATTTCTGAACCACCCTGGCACATAAAGGAATGTTGTAATTGACAATATCAAATAAACCATTTGACAAGTGTGTATTAGGTTGTGACTCACCTGCAGATGCCGGTCCAGTTCCCGCTCTCTCTCTCTCTCCCTCTCTCTCTCTTTCTCTCTCAGGTCTCTCGCTCTTTGCTCGACCTCTCTTCTCGCCCGTTCAATCATCTCGTTTCTTTTCTTCCACAGTTTGGAACCATCCAGAGGCACAAACAAGACGTCACTGCGGGCACAAGAGTTTCCGCTGCCCCGATCCAGCACCTTATGAAACCTGAGATGCAAAAAGGTTTTGCAAAAAATCTAAATATTAATTACATCAAAATGTAATTAATATTTAGTTATTAGCTATTCTGTCACCTTTATTTATTATCTGAGACCATGCAATTATGAAAAGTGCCACGAGGAAATGAAAGATCCAAACAAATGCTAGGATCCTTTTGTCCTGGGTTAAACCTGGTTAGGTCCGGGTTAACAATACTTTATGATAGTGTGAGTACTGGTATACTGGGAAAGATACTGGCATAGAATATCTGTACCAACTGGGTACGATTTGCTGGATCAATGCTATTGGTTCTATGATATTGGTTCAGTTGATATCGTTACTCAAATGATTAGCCCAGTCCAGCCTACAGGTTGAAACAACAATGATACAAGTCAACTAAACACACACATGTATTAGTCAACAGTACAACAGTGTGTTAGCAGCTGTTGTGTTATGTCCCTAAATAAAGCATTTCCTGATTAGTTTGGACTTGGAGTGGTTTATTAACTTAAATAACAACTTTTTCCCAGTTTGAACCCAGCTAGAACCTGGTATAATATTTTAAGTGTGTGTGCGACGCCTTTGTGACCCTGATCTGCTGTGTGCTTATCCTCTGAGGGCAGCAAAACTAGTCCTCATGTCGGCAGCAAACGGCAGAACTTATGGTAAGTAAGTAAGTAAAGTTTATTTGTTTAGCGCATTTCACAGACCAGGGTCACAAAGCGCTTCACACATTAAAACACATAAAATACACATACAAGTCAGATTTAAAAACATAAACACAGTTCACAGAGGCCTATGAACAGTGAGGCAAGAAAGCCTGTCTAAACAAATAGGTCTTAAGTTGGGACTTAAAATCATCAACAGTATTATCTTAAACTTAATATGCATCAGCAACATAACGTTTCTGTGTGAAGGTGAACACTGACCTCTTCATTTGTCTGTGTGAGCATTTTTAAGAGATACTTTTCATCCCGGTTTGGCCTTTGCCTTGCCTCTGTGAGCGGAAGGGCGCAGGCAGCAGTTTCACGTTTATGCTCATTTTTTGCACATACACAAACCTTAGTCTAGGCCTGACTAAATCCTGAAAAACAAACCACCTCTGCTCACCACCATGGTCCTTACCTTGCAGACTGACTTGCATGAATGGGTATATCCACAGGTTTGGGCTCTGGAGACGGACTTCTCAGAACTGGGGGCGGGCTATCTCCTTCTTCTCTTTCTTCCATTGGCTCTTCTTTGATCACAGGCGTGGCACTGGGACCTGACTCTGATTGGCCGTCTGCAGCAGCAACCGTCGTGTTTACGCCAGCAGATGAAGTATTATTGGCGGAATTATTTAGAGGTGGAGGTCCTTTTGAAACACTTTGAGGCGAAAGTGATTGCGAATTGCTGCTGTTATTAGCTGTAGTGGCATTGCTGGTACCCACATTGGTGCCGCCATTTGAATGATAATTTCCACCAAAAGCAGCAGGAGGAGCGTGGTTATTAAGCGGACCATGGAAGGGGGCCGGCCGACAACCAGGTGAGCAACTTGATGCAGGTAGTGACCCGGATGAAGAGCCGGGGGGATAGGAAGAGAACTGGTTAGCTGATGGACTTGGTAAGGGGGATAGGGGTGTGGGAGGGGTCTGTGCAGAGGACTGGTAATGAGCAGGTCGGGGGTTTGGGGGAGCTGGCTGGTTATGAGAGCTCTGTGATGGTGGATAGGGAGAATTTGGCGGAAAATGTGCAGAGGAAGAGGGAGACAAAGCAGGGGGCTGATTTGACCCGCTACGATTTTGGTACAAAGTTGAATCCCTGGAATCCCTTTCTCTATCCCTGGGCACTGCTTGGTAGTGAGCGTGGGACGGGTGTTGCACTCCACCCGGGTAATCTCTCACCAAATTTGTACTACCAGAGGGGCTGTGGTACTCCCGATTTGCACTGGTAGAAGCAGGCACACCAGGAGGAAAATCCCGGTCTCTATGAAAATGCTCTGGCGTAGAAGGAGGCGCATGTGCAGGGTCTATTGGTAAATCCCGACTGCTTGAGCCGGGAGGATGGGGTGGCAGAGAAGCATGGTTGCTGTTGTTTTGGGGCGACGCAGGCGGGTCTCGACTCAACATAGCATTGACCGGCACCCCATTGGAGGAATTTGTGCTGTTAGTTTGACTACCATCTTTCGGCTGACCTGCAAACTCACCCCACCTACTGCCATCTTTATCTCTTGGATGGCCAACTCCTGGGCCATTGGGTCCGAATTCTCTCGATTGGTTTGGGTTTGAGGGCGGACCTTCCCTCCCTCCCTCTCTGTCCCTATCCCGCTCGCGGTCTCGAAAAGCTGGACCAAAGTCTCTCCTTTCTCCCATGTTTGCTCCTTCCCTTCCCGAATTTTGAAAATCACGGTTTTGACCAGGCAGCCCCCCAAAATCTCTACCCCCAGTTCCGCTACTATTGCTCGTATTATTGCTGGTGATTGACTCCCCTCTTGCCACCCTCTCTCTGTCCCGCTCAGCCCCTGTATATCTGGGCATGTATTCACGATGGTGATGGGGCAAGTAAGAGGCGTGAGAGGAGACATGGCGTGAAGACGGTGGGTTGTAGACTGACGGAAGTTGTTGCTGCTGCACGGGAGGCTGATGGTGATTGTTCGGGTAACGGTTATACCCCCAACTACCGTGGCAGCTGGTCGGCGTGGGCCCATGCCAGGTGGGGGCGCTGTAGTGATGTGGATGAGAGGGCTGACCCTGAGGTTGCGGACTGTTTTGAGGAAGAAGGGAGGGTGGAGTGGACTGCGGTTTCTCTAAAACCTTATCTTTGTCGGATTTCTCCCTCTCAGTTTTAACCTCTGTGGACATGCTTTGCGCAGTGACATCCAGGGGCTTCAAGGCAGGTGGAGGGGGAAGAGGCGGAGGCAACGAGTGGGGAATATTTGGACAATCCCCTCCAGGTATTGCAGACTTAGTCACACTTTGAGGACTCACTTTTTGGTTTACTCTGTTGGCGTCACCGCTTGCACCGTACTCAACTTTACACACTAACTTTGAGTCCATGGAAAAATAAGACTTCCTTCCACTGCTGCTGTCATTAGACGAGTCCCCAGCTCCGCGCAGGGAAGGAGAAGGACCAGAGGAGGAGCATGGGGTACTCGGGGGCTTGAGTGATGGGAAGTCCTCCCCGGTTGTATCGGCTTCGATTTTCTCCCCATCTCTACCTGCTTCCTCTCCTCTCAAATCTCTCAATGCTCTCCGTTCCTCTGCTGTCACTTTCAAAGAGCCGCTTTCCTTGCTTTTTTCGGTCTCTTTTTGCTTTGGTGAATCAGGACCGTCCGAATCTGAGTCTAAACTACCCAAAGGAGAGGCAGACAGACTGGGAGATGAGGAACGATTGTCTTGGTCTATGTCCCGCCCACTGCTCAAACTGCTGCTGCTGTTGGCCAGACTCCCGACAACAGAACTCCTGCTTCCTTGCGATTGGCCATCTTCATTGTCACTCTCACGAGATTGGTTGGCAGTCGATGTCGGAGGTGGGGCATTGGAAGGAGTTGAGCTGTCTGTGGCGTGTGAGGATGTTGGAGGATTCGGGTTAGAAGGTGTCTCCTAGAGAAAATAAAAATAATTAATAGAGTTAGCTGAATATATGTCTGCATTCAACGATAGCTATTGTTGTTCATCTAATTACAATATGGGCGGTATTTTTAACAAATTATTATTTCCTTAAATTGGGCTTGGACATTATCTTTTAGTTATTTTCTTCTGAACAAAATGAGTACAGTGTAGCTTGGTTGGAAAAAACTGGAACAAAGATACAGATGTACCTGATAGAATCACATTTTGAGGTCCATATTTTTTTTTGTCAAATAAATGTGTTTTCTATTTCCATATAGTAGTGACCACAGAAACCACTCAAATGAGCCAAATAAATATTTTCCATCCAATAAGATGCCCCTTAACAGCTGTGACAGTTTAAAATCTTTTGTGTTTTGCAGTTCTTGTAAATTGAAATTAAAATAAATAATTTGAAAATAGAAACACGTTTATTAGACAATCACACAACCACCAATAATTAGTGGAAAAAATAAGTGAATGTGTTATCTTGAATCTCCAAATACAAAAAAATAAGATGGATGGGATGTAAACTGTAGATTCATGTTTTTGATGAATTACTACTTATTCTATTTTGATTGAATTGTTTAGAGCAACATACATTATGTGGTTGTTTTAATCTTGCACATCTACAAAATAACATGTCATAATAGTCATGTATCACGACACTGCCACTTCTACTTCTACTTCTATGACTCTGTGGTGGCATCAGCCATCTTGTACGGTGTGGTCTGTTGGAACAGCAGCATCACAGAGAGGGACAAGAAGAAGCTGGACAAGGTCATCAGGAAGTCCAGCTCAGTCCTGGGCTGTTCCCTGGACACAGTGCAGCAGGTGGGGGACAGGAGGGTCCTGAGCAAACTAACATCTATGCTGGACCATGACTGTCGCCCCCTGCAGGACACTCTCTCTGCTCTGGAGAGCAGTTTCAGTGACAGACTAATTCACCCTCGCTGTGTGAAGGAGAGGATCCGTAGGTCTTTCCTTCCTGCTGCTGTCAGACTGTACAATAAGAACTGCTGAGCCTGTAAATTTCATTCATCTGTAATTAAGTAAATTCTTAAATCATGTGCAATGTGCAATACTGCAACCGCACAGAACAATGTCACTTTACTTTATCTACTTATTATCCTGCACTATTTAACTGTACAGTATATAACTGCACTACTACATATATATATTTTGACTGGTATTGAAGCTTTTTCAGCATCTACAGCTAGTTATGTTAGCTAAGAAACATAGCTACTACTTATTTGTATATATTGTGTGTGCTCCCTGTGTGCTCTTACTACTGTCCTATATGTGCGATGCAACATTGAAATTTCCCCACTGTGGGACGAATAAAGGAGGAATTCTTATCTTATCTTATCTTAACAGGTTGATGACAAACACAATACAAACCTGAACTTTCTGTCTTTTTGGAGGAGAGACAAGTTCCTCCCCCTCACTCTCGGATGAATCGTGGCCTTGTGATCTGCGACTGAAGCGGTTTGCAGCCAGTTCCTCCGCAGCGACTCTTTGCTAGAACAACATTAGAGCCTTAATTCTGTGTTGAAGCTTCAGAATGCCTAATAGGGGCATGTCTGTTTTTAGAACAAAGGCTCACGCTGCACACACGATCACTGTCAAACCTGCAACCCTAATTATTTTATATATAGTATTAAAAGTCCCCAATCTGAAGAGCACCTGGGAGAAACATTTTCACTACACAATAGACTCGTGTGGCAATCCAGTAACCTCGCTTTTCAGTATTAAAAGTATAGTTAGACGCATTGGTATTTTATATACTACTTCCCCATGCAGATTATACAAAATAGTGGCTGTGTTTACATGCGCAGGAAAAAATATGTTATAATAAGTCTTTGTTCAAATTTTGTCATGAGCCCTGAGCCAATCTTAGGATGAGGACCAATAATGGAAGTACATCTTCAGATCAAATTGTATTCGGTATTTTAATAACAAAACTGCTCCAATGGGCATGTAAATCTGGATACATGCAGTGATTTTTTTTTTTAAAGAAACAAGAGATATAGATTGATATTTATAATGAGTGCATAAAAGCAATTTTGACACAATTTATAATAAACTGTGTGATTCTGTTGACAATTTTCGCTCCACATTTTTTATTAGACTGAGTTAAATGTCACTTTGTCCAAACACAAACTACTTTTTATTTCTACTTGATTCATTACTTTTATCTAGTGCCTCCACTACAAGTCATGTGTTTTGCTCATCTCTTGTCCCGGCCCAAACACAAACACACACAAACACACACACACACACACATCAACTTGATATGGCCCCCTTTATATGCATAAGTCTGACACCAGCGCAGATTTATATGGACTTAAGGCAAATTGAAAAAGCCCAAAGGAGAAATGTGTGCACCCTCACCGTTTGTCTGTCGCTGCGGTCGTTCCTCGATGGGCTGGTGTGCGGCCTCCTGCCCCGCCTCTCCTCACTCGCCCCCCGCCTCCGCCCACTGCGCATGGGCGCCTACCGACAAATACATCCATCAAATATAAAAGCAGGAGCGAGCGATATATGGCTGCAACTAATGATTGATTTTACCTAAATTGGTCAGCTGATTATGATGAGGTACTAGGATGGTGCCTTTGATTTTATCTCTATTCAATTCTTTATAGATATTCATATTAGGCTGCGATGTCTCGTTCACAACTTTCGAATGGAGTTAGACCCTAGACTAACTAAATATAACAAAGACAGTGGTAGTATGAAAATTTCACATTTTCATCACAACAATGTATTTGTATTTGCATTTTATCTTTCTAGTAAAATAATGTAATTTTTAATCATTAAAAGTTCTTATAATCATTACTAAAACTACTTTACTAGTAAAGTGAACCAATGTTTTTTAATAATAATTGTTAGCCTTTGATGTGATTATGAACAAATTCCAGCCTGGTAAGAGTAAACATTGTAAAATTAAATAAAGGAGTATTTATAACTTTCCGTTATTTTAATAGAAAGTTATAAATAGTTAAAAACACTCTTTATGTGTTGTGTCTGGCGTGAAAATGTTGCTTGCTTTGAATACCTCTGTTAGAATCCCTATAATGGCCCAGATAATAATCATGGTTCATTGGCTCAGTTACTTACAAATAATCCAATCAGCAGTTGCAGTCATAAATCTAAAATGAACGTACAAATGAAAGGATTATTCAAACCGCTCGTACCGATTCTTTGTGTGTCCTTGTTTTCATATTGTCTTCCTTATATCATCCATTTTACAACACAAACCATATTGAGCCGCTTGAATGGGTCGCTACACCATGAACGCTACAAAACCTGGAAAATATTAATAAAAATACAGAATTAGCTTACTAAGGATGTGATTTTCATTACTCAAACTAATACAAGACAGAGATAATGATGGTGGTGTGATGGCTACTATAAAGAAGAATGTTTATTTAAGTCACATACACATGCATTAAGACGTGGGCAATAAAGCCTTGTTAGTAAGTAAGTAAGTATACTGTTAATGAAGTGAATCAAATTTGCAATCAGATTTCATCACAAAAATTACAATATTTTGGTACAATCTCATTGCTGCAATTTTTTCTGATAATTTTCATGTGGACTTTGATTCATGTGAAACTGTAGCTCACACAATGCAAGGTAATGGTTGTGTTTCACCCAGAGCCAAATTATGAATCATTCCAAAAACATACATTGTTTTTGGTTAGTTTCATGTTTAAGGTGCATGTGATTTTATTGTATTGATATCAATTCCATAAAAAAAAAAAATCAAATAACCATTGTTGGCAATCGCCCACCTCTGCATTATAACAGAACAAAAACCGTTTTACAAACAAGATAATTGTCAATGAGCATTAAAGTCCACTAAATCAGAGGTCCCCAAAATAGGCATGAAATCTCCATGACTAATGCAGTAACAATGTCAAAATGCTCAATTGCAACAAAAGAAAACCAACCTTCTTCAGTTGAGACATTTGCATTATGGGTATTCTAATTCATTGGTTCCCAAACTGGGGGTCCAGTGGGATTGTTTTGCCAATCAGCGATTGCAAACAGAGTTGGTTGATAATTGTAATATATATCTTTTTTCAAAATGCGTAATTGATTTTGTAGAGAAACCTGGCTCATAAAACGGCAAAAATAACACAGCAATGTATGAAACTGTCCACATACTAATTCATAAAAAAGATATATAATTTAAAAATGTATTTTAATTTTTTTTTTCAAATCTTTATTGGCCTAAGCATAGAGATCTCCTAGTCTCTTAGTCTAAAAAATACATATTGAGCTCAAATCCAAGGATTGTGACGTCACACATAATCAAAATGTAAGATTTTAAATGCATTCAAAACTATTAATTGTAAAGAAGGGTGTCCAAGCATCTAGTTTCTTTTTACATAAAGACTTTTTGACAATATACTAATACAAAGCAATTCATTTTACAGAAGGGCTAATTAATCCTCATTCCTGTAGGGATTGGGATTCTGTCACGTCTCAGTCTATGTATCGAAACTAAAGCATAAAAACAGTCATGTCATATTGTCTACGGCTCAGAGGAACCAAGCTCAGACATTAGAGAAATAATAAAAGGCTCTATTGTTGATGTTTTGGAAATGTAGGAATTTAAAGTATTTAATCCAATGATAATGAAGAATGATCAATTAAGTGAAATGATCATAACCCTGATATGATAATGAATGCCATTCATCTGAAGCCAAAGGCAGAGCTATTGTGTTCGTGGGCAGTGCAGAGTTGACAGAAGACACATGTCAGTCTGCCCCCCTCCTCTGCACCTTTGCCACAACAGCCAAACCTCACACTTGTGGTTAACCCCGCTGTCCTGGTTATGGCTTAGTCACCACCACCGACAAATCAGAGAAATGTGACCCACAAGCAAAGCAGCTTCATGTTTGCATTAGTTTGCAGTTAACTTCACTCCATTGACAACCCATTCATTCACAAGCAAAGCAGCTTCATGTTTGCATTAGTTTGCAGTTAACTTCACTCCATTGACAACCCATTCACAGTGATGAAAAAGTGTCTCATGCATTTTCGATGAGGTTATAAATAGAGCACAACACAAGAAGAAACATATTAGGAGGGAGTTCAGGTCCTGTAGGAGAGAACATTGTTTTTGTGCCTTGTTTCTTAAACAGAAATGAGGCTCTTCAACACTGGCTGTGCATGAATTATTAGTGCCTGCTGCAGTGAATGATGTGGTGCTGTTAAGAATAGGAATGGCCTATTGTTCTTATAAAACACACAAGACATATTATTGTTCATGCATTACAACTATTTGATGTGACTGGTGAGTACATGTTCTGACCACAATAGAAAAGCATTGGACACCAGTGCAGTGCATAGCCTGCATGGCTATCAGTTACAGGTGGTATCCAGCCATCAGTCCAGCAGCGGTTCTTTGGGTAGAGGGGACGCACGGTACCAGTAAAACCATAGGCCTATATGCTCCATACATGTGGCGAAATTCATTCTGAACTATTCGAGCACTGCGTGTAATGCAAAGCAGCATGCAGTACCTCTGCTTACATCACCAGCAAACAGCCACTGCAACGAGCCTGGTTCTTTATGCTGCGAATGTTATTGATACACATGCAGAGGAGCAGAGCAGAGACACAGCCCTCGGAGCCCAGTCCGTATGCCCGACACAACGGCATGTGCATAGTTTCAAGGCGCTGCCGCTGCATATCTTAACAGAAAGATAACATGCAATCGCCTCTATAACAGACTCTTGCAGATCTTTCTCACCGTAAATGTACGTCTGTATAGTAAATCCTGATAAATAAAACGGCTAGAGCAGAGCCAAAGGATGAAAATAAAGCACAAAGGCATTTTTAAGAGAGTGCACCAAAGCGGCCAGCAGGGACAGTACCAAACACGGAGCGCTATACGCATCCATTTTCCTTTTTCTTACCTATAATATCCAGCGATGCGTGCCCCACTCTCACTGCCCCTGTCCTTTCTCTGTTTTGCCGTTTTATGTTGCACGCTGACACGCACACCTCCGGGACCAGGCGACTCTCAGCAGAGGCTGGCGCGGGCTCATGTTGCAGCGGGCTCCAATCATAACAATAATGCAGAAGAATCCTTCGCTGGTCGTTGCAGTGAAACCAGGGGTGCCAAGTGAACACTGTACAAATTGATGCGTACCCTGGCTTCGGCTCTTCCTCCTCCCCACCCCCTTTCGCCCCTTTTTTCTATTTGCCCCCCTAGCTCTCCCACCTCCCTGGTTACTCCCCACCTTTTTTCTCAGAGACGACTTGCACTTTTTCCCCCTATACCTCTCCACGGTCACAATTTTTGGCGAAGGGGTGAGCCAAGCCAGAGTGAGGGATTCATGTTGGGTGAGAGAAAGGGAGAGAGGATAGGGCGTGATTTGCATAAAGGGGGAGGGGGAGGAGGGGAAGGGGCGCACAGCTCTAGAGACAGGGCCAAAACTCTGAAGAGGGAGGGTCCGTCTCTGCTGCTCCCTCTTGAGTCACCTTTACTGTATGGAGAAGGTCTGTTGGGTTCACCGAGCCCCAGTCCAGTCCGTGAGAGGCCCGTGAACAGCGACAAGAATGTGTGCAATGTTGGGAAGCGCGCGCAAAACAAAGAGCGATAACTTTACGCGTTAATACAATCATTTGGGTTATTTCACATTTCTGTAATATTTGTTTGTGGGAAGAAACCCCGCTTCAAAGATTCAAACCAATGCATGATATTTTGGGGGTTGGTTTGTAGTGAGCACAGTGTCTATAAGTCCAGGGTCAAAAGCACCCTTAACCAGGTAAGCCGGATATTAACCAGTCTACACCGGGACCAGATGGGAGCTAGTTCTAGATCAGGTCCACACAAGGGTTAAACCGTGACCAGACTGAGCTCAATATTTCAGCCGATATTCTCAATACGCCCTTTTAAATCTCTGCTTCTGTGTCTGGGGGAAGCGTGTGTCCACTGAAGCGGCTCTGCAGACCATGGACCTCCTCCTCTCCCCTTGCGCCCCCCGCGCGCCCCCCGTCCCGTCTCCTATTGTGTGGTTTCCATGGCGACGCACGGAGACGGAGGCTGTCTGTGCACAACGCGCATGCGCAGCTCTGAGTCTTTCCTTCATCATCAGCAGCGGCACAAGCAGAGCTGCCAGATCTGAGTCATGTTCAGTCAGAGACTGTTCGTGAAATAGCTATAGACTTACAGACCTGTTTAGACCTACAGACCTGTTTCAGACCTACAGACCTGTTTCAGACCTACAGACCTGTTTAGACCTACAGACCTATTTCAGACCTACAGACCTGTTTAGACCTACAGACCTGTTTAGACCTACAGACCTATTTCAGACCTACAGACCTGTTTAGACCTACAGACCTGTTTAGACCTTCAGACCTATTTCAGACCTACAGACCTGTTTAGACCTACAGACCTGTTTCAGACCTACAGACCTGTTTAGACCTACAGACCTGTTTAGACCTACGGACCTGTTTCAGACCTACAGACCTGCTTTAGAACTGACCAATGCATCACTGGTTTGCAGTGAAGAGTTTTATTAAAATAATGCATGCATTTTTTCTTTACCATTCCAAAAACATTCCATATTGGTAGTGGTAAGACACTATTGTAGCTACAGCTGCCCTGGGGCAGACCCTGTTTTAATAATTTAAAGGTACGCTCTGTAAAAGTGTTTAGTGATCCAGAGGGAAACACATTGACCTTTGTGGTCCAATTCTGTGCATGCCCTTTCAGCCTGGATCCTTTACCCATCCATCCATTTTCTTCCCCTTAATCCATTTCTGGGTCGGGTGACTGCACCAGTACACTTAGCACTAGCCCCTCACTGATCCTCCTGCAGGTGCTGAGTCCACAGGAGCCTTGATTATTCAGCAGGGGCTTCAGACAAAGTGGGGTTAAGTGTCTTGCCCAAGGACACAACGACAGCAATCATCAGTGAAGTAGGTCTTGTGGTGGGCTCGACCCACAACCTTCAGGCTCTAAGGCCAATGCTCTACCAACTGAGCCACTGTCGCACTGCATTTTGGAATTATGCTATCCACACATATGAACAATATGTTGCAATAGAATAGTTATGGGCACTATCAAAATCACAAAATTTTCAAGTAATCTTTTATTGCACCAACCATTTTTGACACATCTTGCACACCACTGAAAATCACGTCCGGTTAGACAACAAGAAAGACACAGTGCTACACAGGGAAAAGATTTGGGGCACATTTAGGGAACTCTAAAATCATTCTTCACTTGAAAAGATAATTGGTTAAATCCACCTGTGGCTCCCTCCGAGCTCCACCAATAGGATGTGAGAGGCCTGGGTGCGGGTGCAGTTATGATGGAGTTGAAACAAAAAAACCTCTGAATCTCCAAATAGGCAAAAACAGGGTTCAATCTATTGCACACTGCTGCAATCACAATCAAACTATAATTACGTAACAACAATGCATGTATCAGCCAATAGCCAATACAAACATGGCTTCACTTAAAGCTGTGCAGATCAACTATAATGCAAAGTGTTTTCCGTGCTCATCATGTGTGGTGTGACAGAGAGGACCCCGCTCTCAGATGGCACTGGGGTTGCGGAAGTTGTGCCCAGCAAAGCGAGCTTGATCACCCAACTCTTCCTCAATTCTGCAACAGATGAGACAAAGGCAATTAGGCCACAAACAAAAGTAACATTAGGAATGGCTGTAGAAAAAGGTATTGTTTATTTGGTAGTGAATGAACAAACTTCTCCCAATAGCACAACAGAACTAACACTTACCTCATCAATTGATTGTATTTAGCCAGACGCTCGGATCGACACGGCGCTCCAGTTTTAATCTGTAGAAATCCAACAGTGTAAAGAATTTGAAACTCAGTTGTGAAAACACCAGGTTTAAAGTTTCTTGATTAAAAAGATCATTTAAAATGTAGTGTAGAGGCCAAAGCGACGTCACGATAATTACCATACCGACTAATCAATACTTACATTTTGATGGATGGACAATACATTTCAGGGGTCAGTATTTATTGTATGTATATTTTCTGTGCAATAAAGACTGAATGAGAGGTAATAAATCTTTTGCCCCTTGTAGTATTGCTCAACAATACTGTAAGCCAAGTTCTAGCTCAGGGACTACAGGTGTAAATTAGCACTGCTGCTGCAACCTGGTACAATGCATCTCTCCTTTTGGCTAATGTTGACTGTACACTGTCCCTGCAAAAATAATTATAAACCATACCATGATTCTGTCCCCTGTGACGTGCATTGTGTCAGGATTTTGTTTTTATGTGCAAAAAAATTCAATATCTGTTTTTATAATAAATATATATTTGTATTATTGCTTAGTTCATTTGTTTTCTCTTATTTTATTTTATTTATTTATTTATTTATTTGATAGGGACAATGCACATTAATGAACATCAGTATAAAACAAACGTAAATATGCCGGATTATAGCTACAAAGCTAGTTTTCATCCGTAGTCCCTAGGCAGGAAAATACATAACGAAATACAATACAATAAAATACAAAATAACACTATAATACAACTAGCACAGAGAATAGTTCAGAATCTAGTGGTCACATGACTGATTTCTCTTAATCCATTGTTTGATTTGAGTTTTAAAGGTGACCAGTGTAGGACTCTCCCGTAAGTGCAGAGGGAGACTGTTCCAGATGTTCATGGCCCTCACAGAGAGAGTGTTCTGTCCAAATGTAGTTTTTCTGAAGGGGACCTCACAGTCTCCTCTGGAGGAGGCCCTAGTCCTCAGGCCACTTGAAGTCCTAGGTTTGAATAGGGCCGATACAGGAGGTGGGGCTAGTCCATGTAGCGCTTTGTAGATGAAGCATACATACTTAAAGTTGATAAAACTTTCAAAATTTAAAAGATTGTGCTTGTTTAAAATATTGCATGTATGAAATGAATTGGGTTTTCTGTCAAAAACTTTAAGAGATTTCTTATACAGAGATTCAATTATTTTCAAATTGGTTACAGAGGTGAGAGACCAACTTGTGATGCAATATTCAACATGGGATAAAATCATTGAATGGAGAAACATTCTGGCTGCATTAAGTGTTAAAAAAGACCTGATTTGTTTAAAAATTTTAAGGTTGAATTTAATGGTGTTGGCCAGTTTTTTTTATATGATCTTTAAAAGATAGAGTGGAATCGAGTGTCGGACCCAGATACTTGAATTCTGTGACAAGTTGTAGTTCTTCCCCTCTCAAGAAAACTTATGCTATATTGCAGTTGTATAAGTGGCACAATATGATCATTTATCACAGCTCCCTTGTTGGAAAGTTTTAAGTGTCGTCTTTAGACCCACTTTTATTCTCCGGCTTTTAACACAGCATGAGTTGCGTGGTCCTCTGTGTTTTTTTAATCTATGTGTGTGCATTCATTTATCTGTTGCCATTTTTGCTTGTTGTACAGCACTTTGGAAACTGTTTGTTTATGTGCTATATAATTAAAGTGGATTGGATTGAGGAAAAATAAAACATTTGCAGAAACAATGTATCATTCACAGTGTCACATTGATTTTTCCCAATGTCACAACTACATTATTGACAACTCAAGATGGGATCGAACTATCCTCCCAGATACAAGACATCATAATGATACCCCTGTCTCTATCAAAGTACGTAGTTTCAATATTATTTCAGGATCGCAATCTAAGTATTAAATCACCCAATCACCCGTTCATGCCCATGTACTGGTATTTAATATTGTTTTTTTTCGTGCCACACTGTTTACCTGTCCAGTGCAGAGGCCCACCACCAGGTCGGCAATGAAGGTGTCTTCAGTCTCACCAGAGCGGTGACTGACCATCACTCCCCAGCCGTTCTCCTGCGCCATTTTACACCTGCACACAAGTCACGAAACAGTATTTTTGGTTTGTTATTATCTTTTGAGTATGATAACACACAAAACATGTTTAATAAATTCTATTCCTTTATGAGACTGGCTGTACAGAAGACATTACACACTTTTGTCATAGCAATAATTTATGACACTGTGGTTCATTATTTTATATTCAATACTATTTGAAAACTCTGTACTGATCAAAAACAATGTTATGAAAGAAGCATATCTGCGCTTTCCCATATTCTCTCCCAGTGTAGACTACAGATCAGTCTTTTGCTTTTACCCTTTGTAAACATTCAGGATAATTTCAGGAGGGTCTGTTAGAGCCTTGTGAGGGTCTAACTAAAAGAACAGTGGTGATGATCCCGGACACTCAACATTCAACAAAATGTATGGACATTTATCAACATTTATGGACAATGGTCATCTGCCCCTTATGGACCAATACAATTATGTTTTGATTCTCTGATCTGTGTTGGCGAATTCAACGGAGAAAAACTACTGTTGCGATCTAAGGCCATACAAAAATAAATTGAATTGAACTTATTTTCACTCATATCTAGGCAATAAAATCTGAGTGAAATATCATTTTAAGAACAGTTTAAACCAAACCGAGAGACCATCAGAACAGTGGAACAGTGCACCTTGAACCTGCGGCCATCTTTAATCGATGTAGCCTGACTGTGTGCATTTCTCATGATTTTATCGAACATATTATTGAACTGTGATGGTGAATAAATCTTCTTAATCCAGCACCATTCTGAACGCATTAATAAACATTGAAACTCACGCTTTGATGGCCTCAGTCACGGAGCCGATCTGATTGACTTTGAGCAGTAAACAGTTGCAGGCCTTGTCCTCCACAGCCTTCTCTATCCTGCGTGGGTTGGTCACAGTGAGGTCGTCCCCCACCACCTGCACAGGCGTAAACAAGCGCAACAATCTATCTTATAATCAATCCACTATAATTGAGCCGATTGCGACACACAAGGCAAAGTGATTTCCAATGATAAATAAAAAAAATTCTATATATCAGTGCCTTAATACTCAAGGACGCTTCACAGGGGATTTACATAGAAGAAATCACTATTAAATACTATTAACGATATGCCAGGCTGACCAATTATATACAGTTCACGCTACGTTACAGATTTGTTATCATGCATGAGCTTTCTGATGGCCCACAGTGTCTTGTTCTTGATTAACGGCAGGACATGTGCAGCTCTTTTCACTTGCGGATGTATTTTTTAGTGCAGAGCCGCATGTACATGTACAGTAGTTCAATCTGTACATGTACAGTGTATTACAGATCATCTGCAGATCTATACATACAAGTATACATTTTCTTTCACTAGAGTATACTGTATTTTACACTTTGCATCTTTATTAAGCTAAAGCTAAAGTTGAAATTTGATCTTATTTTCAAAGTACAGGGTTGTACCAAACTTTATAACCACTTATCTTGTGTTGTATGCTCCTCATTCCTACTGTTCTGTAACTTGTGATGCAACAATAAAATGTCCCCACTTTGGAACAAATAAAGGATCTCTTAATCTTGATCTGAATCTTATTTTCACAATCAATACTAAGATAATTTGAATAAGATTACATTATTTGTCTCACCTGAATGCCTACAGAAGAAGTGAATTTTGACCAAGCTTCCCAGTCGTCTTGGTCAAATGGATCTTCAATGGAAACCACTGAGGAAAAGTAAAGAAATATCAGTAAACAAAGTATGAAATATTTCAAAAAGCAATGCAGACACAAACTCGTGAATGCATACCACTGGGGTTTTATTGCCTGAAGTGTTCATTAATCTTTATCAACAGGAAAGTATCATGCAGAAATACTGAGATTAGCTTCTTTCTATTCCCATTCCCACAGATTGGACCTTGACACATACTGTAGATATGCCACCCAGACACATCCATCTGTATTGTCTGCTCCATGTAACTCTGGCTCTATATGATGTAAAATATTCCAACGCCGAAAAAAATATTCAACAATACAATCCCTTATCATTAGAAAATCTGTCATCATCCATTGTCATGACTCCAAACCAGTGGTTAGGGTTACTTTGTGGACAAACAAAGACAGATCCTTTTGCAGATAAGCCTTATTTGACAAGCTGTCTGATATTGATTTTTAGGCTTTTAATAAAAATATGATAGTGTTAAAATTACCTGGGTAGTTGTTGATGAATCCCTGGTAGATACTGGCCAGTTCATCTGCGCTGATGTTACGAGCAGCATTAGGAGGAGATTTGAAGTCCAGATCGTATTTTCCCTCCATGAAGAATTCTGACGCTGCAACATCCATTCCGATCACCACTTTATCTGTGAATCCTGCCTTTTCTATGGCAGTTTTTATCAGCTCCAGAGCTAAAAAAGAAAAGAAAAGATACAAGCAAATATTAGCAAGAGATGATATAGCATTTACAGTCTCAAGGTGAGATATACAGTATTGAATTGAAAGTCACAAATTACAGAAATGAAAGTCACAAATAACAGGCTGGTGAACCTCAAATACAATCAAACCCATGTAACATCCGAGCACCAATAATAAGGTTTGCTGGAGGAGAATAGTTGGGTCAATGACAAGGACCTCGTCTCTATATCAAGAATTGTAATTTATTTTGTCCAATCAGAAAACAGCAGGGTGAGAGTGGTATGCTTTACATAGTAATTGACATTGACGTTAGGCAGACAGAGTGTACCTTACATGTGCCTTCATACCTTCACTATTCTCTTGTATATTGGGGGCAAACCCGCCCTCGTCTCCCACATTAGTCGCGTCTTGTCCATATTTCTCTTTGATGACGCCCCTCAGAGTCTGGTACAGCTCTGCTCCCATTCGGAGAGCATCTCTGAAGGACTCTGCTCCCACGGGAAGCACCATGAACTCCTGCATGGCCAGCCTGTTCCCAGCATGTGACCCGCCATTGATCACGTTAAAAGCCTGAAAAGCAGAGTTACTCTGTGTTAAAGGGGACAAAACATAAAAAATCTACTGTTTACAGTACTACAGCATTGAGCAGCCATTTTGTTGACATTTGTTTTTGACTTCTCATATATATTCGGCTAATGTAGTTGTGGTGTGATAGTAAGCTAGTAAATGTATGTCAAATGTGAATCTATTTGGAATTCCTCATTTTAAAGCTCATAACAACCTGATCCAATCAAACATGTTTACTATCTGTGATGTCGGACAAGTCAGGTCAACTGCAGTGGCCCTATTACTAAAAGGTTTGCCCCCCTGACAATAAACATCAGATAATTTCAATATAACAAAGGGAATTGTAACTGACATCATTCATTAAAAATAATATAACCACACTCAAAACCTTTTATCATGTTCTAAACATGTTTTACAATATTTGATGTATCTAAAATTCAATTATTACAAAAATGTACTTAACAGTTGGAATAATGTGTCAACAATCTTGCACACACGTGTCGTGAAACTATGAAAAACTCTCACGTACAGGGACGGGAAGGACGAGCTCTCCATTTCCCGCCAGATCAGCAATGTGCCGATATAACGGGACGCCCTTCTCTGCGGCCCCGGCTTTACATATGGCCAGAGACACTCCCAGAATAGCATTGGCTCCAAACTTGGCTGGAAAACCACATTAGTGCAGTGAAGGATGCTGAGAAAAACAACGGCCTGTGGTTTGAATGCAGAGGAGCTTGTCTTACATTTGTTCTCTGTTCCGTCCAGTTCGATCATCAAGTTGTCCAATGTCTCCTGCTCCAGTACGCTCACGCCCTGCAAGAGACAAGTGTTTATCTAAAGCATATATATATTATCCAGAATAGCGTCGTGGCCGTGTCTCTGTGTGGGTTTGTATGTGTGTGTCTGTGTGTGCCTGTTGTATGCTTTATCTGTCTTAATATCAACCTGCCATGGGACTACGGATGAAAATTAGCCTACATGGCTAACTCTGGCACATTTACATGTTAAAAACACATGTTGATGAATGTGCACTGTTCCAATTCAAATAAAGATTAAAAAATAAAAAATAAAAAAATGAATGAAAAGGAGCGAAAAACAACAATATCTAGAAAAGATTGCATAATACATTCCATTGACCGCTTCCTGATCTGCGAAAGAAGATGATTTTTGTTTTTGTATAGCTCTAAGTCGAAACAGCATTCGTCTCGCTGTACTTCACAAAGTTGTCGATTCACAAGCACCAGATCGGAGAATCAAACTGTTCGAAGCCAGAAAATGCAATATTAACAAACAGATAGTCGTTGGTCCAGAGGGAGTGAGTGACCAATGTCTCTAAATGTCCATAAATGTCCCGGATCATCGCTGCCTGCATCAGTAAGGAAAAAATGTCTGGATGCTGGGGTACCTGCTGATCCAGGACACTCGACATTCAACAACATTTGTGGATATTGATCATCCGCTTATGAACCAATACTTTATGTGTTTTTATGTGTTTTTTACTTTATGACTCTTTAGGTTGAAAACTGATTGGTCCTTTCTTTTATCACTTTTCTGTCAGTAAAATTGGATATCAGAATCATTTTTATTGCCAGGTAAGTAACAAGTAACAGGAAGTCACAAACTAGAAAATTATATACAGTATGTAACAGAGGCCAAAAATATGTAAATGTAAACTTGTGACGATTATCATTTGACATAGAGGTTTTCTATTGTTGTGTTTTGAAAGTTACATACCCCAGCTTTAAGTTAAGATCCTTATACTTCAAACATAATAAATATAATAAAAGCAAAAGGCTCATTACAGTAAATTACAAAAAAGCAAAGCGTTCCATTTGCTTTTCTATCCAATTTCTATATTATTTTTCCCCCCAAAAGTTTTTGTCTTTCCTTTTCAGATGTCAAAGTAAGATGAATATAATAAAAGTACTGATTTTGTTAATGGTTATGTCATTTCACAGTCCAGGTGAGAATCATGAAATGCTGCTTTGAGAATAAATCGGCAAAATCAAACTTGTATCAAGACTCACACCAGGGAAACACACAGAAACAGACTAACTGTGATGTCACATACTCACTGATTCAATAAGAGCTGGTGCGAGTGAGTCGTTTATGTGACCCACTGCCTTTGTGACACCTGAGGAAAAAACATCAGTTACTGCGGGAGCTTCATGGTTTTCACTGTTTCAGATGATATTTAATAGAAATACTACAGTTTAAAGTCAAATATAAAATCCCACATTGTCAAACCATGTGAACAACAATATTAACCATTGGTCCGCTCTGATTACAAAATGTGCCACATCCAAATACTGAAATAACAAAATATCAGGTAATTTAACTTTTATTTAAGCCGTGTGAGGAGAAATCATTCTTTCACGATATTTTTGTGCAAAAGCGGATTGACCACAACAATATACAACTTATCTGTTTATGCCAAATAGATTGTGTTTGGAAAGTTTGCAAATATGATGATGCCTTGTATTCAGATGAATGGACTGATTGTTTTGGAAAGAAATAACAAATCAGAACAAAAAATGTAATTATTTTGTGGTTTTTTTGTAAATCAAAAGCTGCAAACAGTGCCATGTTACGTTTGTGTGTTTGAGTGTTTTTTCAGGACTGTAACTTCAAAAATCCCATATTTCACAAGAATATTTGAGAATAACATTTGCTTTGGATAATGGTGCAAACAAGCTATGAAAAAAGATATAAAGGCATACATAAGAATATTCATAACATTTCTGCTACATACAAGTATACACAAAGTACACATAATATACAGCTCATTTCGCATTTACATTTTTAGCATTTATGGACATGGACAAGAGAAATTGCAATGTCTGTCAGAAAACATTTAGACCGCATCATCCCTGTTCTTTCTAGCAGAATCTAATGACATCACATGAAGCAAAACTATAGTAAACCTCTAAAGTGGCAAGTTATTTTTAGCCGTCACCTTTGCCCTTGTAGCGGGTCTTGTCTCCATCTCTGAGCTCCAAGGCCTCGTAGATGCCCGTCGAGGCTCCACTGGGCACAGCAGCTCTGAATAAACCTGCAGGACCATTGTACAATCCCACATAAGTTCATTACGATACTGACAGTAAAACAGTGAAAGAGAAAAGCTTGGCACCTTTGCTTGTATTCAGGTCAACCTCCACAGTCGGATTCCCTCGGGAGTCCAAGATCTCCCTGGCAACGATGCTGACAATGGACATTCTGCGTATTCAGATTAACCTGAACAGCAAAGCAAATATTATGTCTTCTCTGTGCATTAATGTGGGGCCTTGGAAGTGGGATTGAAAATATTGTCATGTTTTAGAATGTGTGAAAAATGTCTTTGTCGAAAATATATGGTTAAATATGACAGATGGAACTATAGACGACTAGAATGTGCCAATGCTTCCGTCCAGGGGTCAAAGTGGGAGATGCTATATTATGATCTAAATCTTACTAGGCACAAGCTTTTTTTTAAAGTTCATTTGACAAAAGAAATTTACAAAAATAAACTTAGTGAAAACATCTTTGTTGCATGACATCAAAGTCTGGGAATCCATCTTAGTAAACCAAATTTGAAAAAGAAGCATTTAGACAGAAAGGGAGGGGTTAGTAACAATTGGATGGAGGTCAAAACAATATTTTATTTTAATAAGGGAAGAACGTTTTTTTATAAAACTAGCTAAAAAAAAGACACATTTGCACATACTCCTTGAAATGTTCTTCAAATGACTTTTCTTGCATTCTTTAATTTAGTTGTTTTTATTCATAACAACTAAAACTTGGTATCAAATACAAAAGCATTTGGACTCTTCAACCAGAACCATAGCAAGATGTTGAAGAGGGAAATGAAAATATGTGAAATTTGGCTAATAACATATTTTAAGCTTTACATTCAATTGGCTAAGATGCAGCTTCAGGAATACTCAAATACATTCATATTCTACAAGTTTGTGTTAAAACAAGTAAGTCCTCTTCACAACATGCCTGGTCTCAAAGGCTAAAGTAAAACATATCTTCATTTGACCCATCTCGAGATCTTAAAATGACGTTGCGGTTTTAGATGGGGGAAACCATCTATAAAACATGACAATGCATTTTCAAGGCAAAGTGAGCCAGTTTGAAGCAGTCTCTAGGAAAAAACATGCATTTTCAATCTTGACAATACGGACTTAAAGCAGTACATTGCTCTTATAGGCAGGCAAGCAAACATTAGAGTAAATAAGCACCAGTTATTACCAACTAATGTTGCTTCTAAAGAATCAGATGCTGTCAACCTGATTTAGCTTGAATCGAGCAGCGGCTGAAAGAGCAATGAAGAGGAGACACAATATGGAGGAGGAGAGAATGGGCAGGATGAGGAGGGAGGAAATAAATAAATGGATTAATCCTTTTCAACATTACCTGCAGCGGATTTAAAGCGCAGTGAGCGGAGCAAGTGCAAATCTGTGCAAACAGTGTAGATGTGATGGAGGAGAGTGGGAGAGTGAGAGGGGAGAGAGGGGGAGGGAGCAAGTGAGGAGTGTGGGGGCTGGTGCTGAGGAGAGGCCACACGACGGTCTCCATGGTGTTCAGTGTAAACCATTTATTTTGGTTTGTTGCCCAAATCCAATCCCTCAGTCGAATCAAAAAGCATATAACCTAATGACAGCCTGTTTTTAATTTCCTTGCAGTTTGAAATGATAGCATTATTATAATTGTGATATTTTTTCATGCTACTGTTAGCCTAGGAGTCTCTCTGCTGCTGTATGCCCTCAGACTGCAACATCCGTATCACAAACACAACATTAGTTTAAACCAGACAAGTAAAGCTATTGATAATTAAAGCCGCAAGCAGCGTCGAACGGCCCTCGCCGCACCGCGAGACTCCCCACACCGTACCACGCCGCACCGCACCATGCCACCCCGCAACACGCCGCCCCGCACCATGCCACCCCGCACCATGCCACCCCGCAACACGCCACCCTGCAACACGCCGCCCCGCACCACGCTGCCCCGCACCACGCTGCCCCGCACCACCCCGCCTCTTACCACGCCGCTTCTTACCAAGCCGCGCCGCACCAGGCCGCCACGCAACAGGCCGCACTGCGCCATAACGCCCCGCACCACGCTGCCTCACACAACGCCGCCCCGCTTATCGGAGGTGGCGCCGCCGCGCCATGATTTGGTCCCGTAGCCATAAAAGAATGTTGGTGTAATGAATATGATCAGTTGAGTTGGTTTGGCTCCCAATGTAAAACTTTGCCTCAGCCTGTAGGGGGCGCTAATGAGCCAATTTCAAATATTTCACTTTCACATGACCTAGACCCTGGAGTTGAACAATGTATTAAAGTTTTGTGCAAATCAGACTTTGTGCAATTGAAAGTTATTTTTCGATCGTAAAAAACTGCAAAAAAAAGGTCACGTTTTGCTGCTCCGCTGCTCATACATTGTTTCACCGATCAAAACTCTCTTTGGTCATTTTGAAGGTACATGTGTTGAGATGATGTGGAGCGATTTTGAGGCTGTTCATTTTTCCATTTTGCAGTGAAATTTATGGGCTTCCTGTTTGTCAGAGGGCGGGGCCATAATAAAAATTTTTTCTCCTGACTTGGGGAACATGTGTACCGAATTTCATGGCTCTACGACAAACTTGACCTCCGAGAACTCTCATAGGGGTATTATTTTGGCTGTTGTAGGTGGCGCTGTTCTGGCATTTTTTGAGTCCCATAAAAATAAACACCAAAATATCAAATTTTTTGCCAGGTCTGATTTTTGGGCAAAATGTAACAACTTTTCATGCATGTTCAGGGGGTCAAATTAAGGCTCAAAGTGCAGAAGAAAAAAGAAATAAACCAGGGAATTTTTTTTGGCGTCTCGAGCAAAAACTATATAGGTTTCAATGGAACGTTATACATCATTTTAAAGCGTTTGAGTTTACGCACGCAACCGTCATGGTGTGGTGAGTGACGGGCGCATCACACACCGCCACCCCTTACATTCACCATTGTGAAAGCAACCATAAGATGTTTATTTAGTAGTATCTCTGTATCAAAATCTAAACTAAAACACAGGGCTCAAAAGTGAAAATATAGCGAGTAATTACATATAATAAAATATATTATCACCAAAGCAATCTATTCACTTCTCTTTTTTTTTAAATATTGACAGCAGGGACAAATAAGGCATTTTGGGTAGATCTGCTGGGATCAAATTGTTTAAAATATAATTATGAAATATAGAAAATAATTTAAGGGCAGGGTAACCTTTTGTCATAAATACCATAATACATATAGTCACAAAAGTCACCAGAACGTTCTGTACATCTTCTCTTTTGCAAACTTGTAAGTGCCCTGCAAGTCACTATTTGACGCTTTGGGCTTAGAACTGATTAGCTTATTCCACTTATGGCTAATTCCTGAGAAAGCTGATTGAAACGTTAGGCAAGAATGGGCAAAAAACTACATCCATGTGAAACTACCTAGAATCAAACTATTTTGAGAGAGGAAATAGACAGATTTCATCACATAGTTCAATGTTTTGTGGTTTGTAAGGTAGGTTTGTGTGTAGACTTTTAAGAGGAAAAAAAAAAAAATCACTATAAAGTATAAAACAGGCCAGCCCAACTTCAACACATTTATACCGCGCTTTTTGTATGTGAACCCTACAAATAATGACAGTAGATGTAGTAAGGGATGACTAAAGCGAGTATATCAAATTCCATTATTTCTTTTGTTGAAATATGTAATTCATGATGTATAATCGTTTATTTTTTTTCCCTCTTTTGTCTCTAATTTCCTTCTGGATCAATACATCTTATCTTGTTTTTTGCTGTTTTATACTTTACTATTATGATTTATTTTCTTTCATAGACGTTGGGGATTTTAAAAAAAAGAAAGTCTTACTATGTTATATGTGTAACCAGAACAAATTTAAACAAATGATAACAATGCTATGAAGTAAAGAAAAATGTATTATTTGGTTCTTCTATACCAGACAAATCATTTTCCTCCCTTTATTTCCATTTCTGGGTCAGGGGGGTGGCAGTCAGAGCTGCTACCCAATACACAATGCACCAGTCCCTCACTGATCCTCCTGCAGGTGGGGAGTCCACAGGATGATGGCTGTTTCTTCTGACAAATATATGTATATATATATCCAGACAATGTAAATGTTATTACATGTTATTACCTTGACATATTTGGACGGCAAACTTCTGCTTTGAAACACGTTCGCGTTATACCATTGCTATACAACTTTCGTCAAAGAACCAAATAACTTCATCTACTGAGAAGACAAAATTCACCTTCATAAACAATTATAAATAATACTTGTGGATAAACATGACCCATACATTGTAGACATGAAAGCGGATACATGACTCCAGTTGCAGAGCATTGAAGTGAAGGATCACATGACAAATATGAAAGGCGACAGGTAGACTGGCGACACTCAGCGCAGTGGGAGATGTTTAAAAATAGTCATGAATTGCCCAAAGAAGGAGAAAAGACGGTGAGGGCCCATCTCGGAGCCTTGAGCTGCAAGATATCATTTTATTAGCTGCTGTACTTTTGCACTCCATCCGATCATATAAGCCGTACAAGTGGTGTCACAGAGAAAGAAAAAAATCCATTTAAATGCTTCATGAAAATATGTGACCCATTTATTTCATGCAATACCACAGAAAAGTCTAACAATTAACATACAAAAACTAGTTCTTCACTCCATAAGGTCTCCTATCAAACGAGGTATCAAGTCAAGCCACCGGAACACATTTGCAATTATCTAAATGTTTAATGAATTATTAGTTTTACAATTTATTTCACAAACACACGCCTTCACGAACATCAAATGGGCTTTACAGCAGTTGCACTGTGTAGCTCTAATGTGCAGTGGCCGAAACGAGTCAAGTTTTTAACATGAGATTTATAAATAAAAAGTAGAAGAAGAAGAATGTGTACTCAAATTTTGCAGGTACAAGATTTGGAAGTAACGTCAAAGTGGCACGACTGCGAGGACGACTATTGCGCGTGTTGAGGGGAGGAGGGAGAGGGGGGCGGGGTTGTTCTCTGTGCAATGTGCTGTTAATGTAGAGCCAGTTCAGTCCGGTTCAAAATCAATGACAGACAGTTGAAAAGGACCGCCTGACCGTTCCGTCCAACGTCTCGTAAAACATCTCTCAGTTTTCCTTCTGTTCACATTGTAAGTATAGCTCCTGTGAAGTAAAGAAATGACATGCATTAAAACAGAGCAGTAATATCAATGAAGTAGTATCATCTCAGACTCATTAAATAATACAAGCAGGAACATCTCAAGAACAACATTAGCATACATTTTTTCACAAAAGAGTGGATTCAATGGGCGAGAAATTAGTTTTCAATGTCGCGTTTGATCTGTTGACGGCGGATCCACTCCTGGGCCACGTCTCAAAAAGTAAGTACGTAATCTTTATGTATATAGAGCTTTTCACAGAGCAAGGTCGTACAAAGCGCTTTACACTTTGGCATAATTTTTCATTCCATCCACAAACGTGACGACAGACGCGAAACAAGTGAATGCGCATTGAGCTTAATCCTTTTTGGCAGTGTCTGAGTTCAAATCAACTAAGGTCGATGATGTGTCTGTGTTACTTTTCGCCAGTGCTTACAGAAGAAAGTCTGAAGTGAGTCCAAAGAAAAGTAGCCCTGGGAATTTAGTAGTTTGTGTTTGTGTGTACGCACGTGTGTGTACTGTAAAATTTTGTCTGAGTGTAGGGTTCCAGACATAAAATTACTCATTCAAAAACCCCATAGGAGTTAAAAAAAATAAATAAAGAGTTTAAGGGTGTATTCAGACCTGCACATTTGCTCCACTTTAAACGGACCAGGATTCGTTTGGAACTCTGATCCGAAGCTTTTATGCAGGTCTGAATACACACAAACAAATCCTGGTCCGGACCAAAGAACCAATCCGAGACCCACATTTTTAGGTGGTCTCGTCCGCTTCCAAACGAATTCTGGTCCAAGTCGAATCAGGTCTGAATACATCCGGTGTCGTTCCGACACAATGCGCATTTTTTGGGCTTAACAAGCCGTAGACAGAAACTGAGGAATTAGCCACGCAGCTGCTAACTATGCTGCTAACGCTACACAACAACAATGAGCCGTGTGCAGACCTGGAGCAGTGAGGAGACGCTGTGCAACAGGCTTATGGAGTTAAAACTGTTCACAGTATACATTTATGTTAATGGCAGCATCTTCAAACCATTTGCATTATTAAAAGCCTGACACTGTTTGACGTCTCAAAAAGCAATATTCCGCATCATGTAGTGAATTGTGTTCTTTGGTTCCTACCTGATCCTCAGTGTATGTTTGTCCCGTGGTTATTATAGATCCATGGTTTAGCCACAATGCTGAACAGGGCCGTTATTATCATAGATCCATGTGTGGGACAGGGCACGGAGCGTACAGTCTCCTTCGGCTTTCTCCTCACGCATTCTCCGACGCTGTTCCAATATTTAAAACAACGTGTTTCGCCTGTGTCATATGAGCTGCTGCTGTTGATGCTCTAAAACAGCCATTCCCAAACTCAGTAACACCGAGGCCCCCTTAAAAATCTGACGGGTCTGCGTGGCCCCCCAAAATAATAACCAAGAAGACAACATTAAGAATAGGCTCTTCTGGTTATTTTATTTTGGGGAAATAGCCTCTGCTACAAACATTGTAATACAAAAATGATTACAGTGGATTATTCAAGTCAAATAATGAACACAAATATTTTAATATTACAAACAAAACATTATAAATTTAACATTAAATAATTATATTATTTTTTTTATTTTTTTTATGACCTCCCGCGGCCCCCCTGCAGTACCCTCGCGGCCCACCAGGGGCCCACTTTGGGAGACACTGCTCTAAAAAGAGCAAACATAGGCAGAGCATGCTGCACATACGAGCCCTCAATGTTTTCCACCGGTTCCGCGTCTATCCTCCGTGAGCTCTCGCTGTCTAATAGGAGCGCCGATCGTCACATGCGTCCATATATTTATATAAAAAAGTTCACTTGCAAAAAAGGACAGTCTGAATACGAACCGGAGCAAAAGAAAAAAAGTTTGGTCCGCTTTTGATTCGGATCAAGCAAGCGGAGCAAAGGACTTTTCAGGTCTGAATACACCCTAAGACACAAAGGCTACCAACAGCGCAATGGTAACAAGAAAATAAATACGTACAATTTTGCTAAAACTTTGAAAAAAATCTTAGTCATTACTCACCAGCTGATCAACCCAAACAAGATTTAAAAGTATTTATTTTTTTAATCCTTATGAGGACTTTGAATGGGGAATTTTTACTGGCCTGCCCACCTTGCAAGTCCATTCATCTACTTTTATAATAAATTGGGTAAAAAGGCAGTTCAAATTGTCAGAATGAGCACAAGTCCACCTCAAATCCACATTCGCAGCCATGTATTCAGGGTGGAATCACAAACCTGCATCTCTTCACCAGTCATAACGAGGGCGGGGCTGATGCTGGCGGTGTCTCGGAGACTCTTGTCGGAGGCTCGATGGGGAGTCGTCAGTCGGGGGGGCAGTGAGGGCCAGCTGTTGCCCGCCTGCGCGTCGCTCACGGTAGTCTAGGGATCGAGGGCTCGGGCCGTACCTTCCTGCCTCTCGCCTAAACTCTTCATCAAACGCCGCAGCATCAGCTAAGACGGACAAATGAAGGTTAGTTGTGATGTTTGGGAACGCCTAACGCTGGAATACTATAAACAAATCGAACTGTAAACATTTTAGATAACATGTGGACAGATTTGTTCACCCAACTTTAGTTTTGAAAGAGACAACAATCTGTTTGGACAAACGTTCATACAAAGAATAGTGAAACGTCACAAAGGTTTTGGCGCATCATTAGTATTAACTAGGGCTGTCAAACGATTAATTTTTTTAATCGAGTTAATTACAGCTTAAAAATTAATTATTGGTAATTAATCGCATTTCAAACTATTGGCAAAATTATGCCATATTTTTCTGTAAATGGTTGTTTGAATGGAAAGATAAATGACAGCTTAGTGAACATATGTACTGTATTTGTTTGTTATAACAATAAATCCATATAAAATGGAATTAACATTATTAACATTCTGTCTTTCTGTTTAGACTCAGACAAAAACCAGATGAGGGACATTTCAAAATAGTCTGAAATGCAGAATGTCATTAAATCTGTTTGATTTGCTCACACCATTACTTTTTTTGGCACAACTAACATGAACTGGTAGTCGAAAGGAAAATAGGTACCTCAGCTTTAATTTAGCGAGTGCGCTTCGGGAGAAGACACGGAGGAGACTGAGGCTCCGCAGTCCAGCTTCTGCACTGTACATATTGTGTGCATCGGGTACGCAAAGACACGTACGCACACTAGAGAATAGTTCTGTAAGAGTTCTGTGCGTGGTCTTGGATATGATCCCATTACGCAGCGCCGTTCGCCGTGATCACAGCCGCTGGAAGTGGGACCTGTCCAGAGCGCTGTGGCGCCCGCAGCTCATCATGCAGAGTTCATACAGGAAACAACAAGTGCCCCGCGGTCACGCGTGTATTCTTTCAAAACTTTAATTCCCAGAGGGCCTACCTGCTGTCCCCATCTTACACACGCGCATGTGTCCGCGGCATTCTGAGTGTTATTATGGGACGCATGGGCATGCGTCAAATGCGTTAATTTTTTTAACGCGATTAATGAAAAAAAATAATTAACGTGCGTTAACGCGATAATTTTGACAGCCCTAGTATTAACATGCATGAAAGTCCACCAAACTCAACCATAACACACAACGCTGAATCAGGGGGGACGCAGCAGCCAATCAGCTTTCAGCCCAAAGTGACAATATATTCTTGAGTATATAAAAAAACAACTTTTTAATAAAAAATAAAAAAACCAAACCTTCTATCACTCTTCTAAAATCTTTGTCACAATATGCACTTTAACAATCGTCCTAAATATTGAATACACCCACATACTCTGAACACATTCATATGATGATGTTTCCCTTTGGGTTAAAAAGGTTGCATACTGACTTTCATCCAGGTTGATATAGTCTTGTCGTTCCTCTCTGTCTCCGGTGCGGCGGTTTCGAGAGCGCTCCATTATATGTGCCCGTTCCCCGATGTGGTGCCCGATGGCGAGTCTCTCTAAACCGCTCTCACTGTCTCTCATCGACTGACGAGTTTCACGGAGCTGGACAAAAGGACGAAGTTCAGTTAAGACCATTTATGAATAATCTCACTATGACTTATCGTTCAATTGGTGGATATTGTGGGGCTCATCATTTATTGTCTGTAGCTTTTATTTGCAGTAGTGGAGACATTATTGGTATATATTTTTGTAGAAGAATTCCGATTTAGCGGAAGAGGGTTCAATAGGGCTTAGTATCGCTTAGTTCTGGTGCATTTTTTCTTAGCGGATGCTTTTTAAAATGGAAAAATTAAAAATTAAAAAAACCCTTCTGTGACATGAAGTAGAGTCCAATTATATTCATTGCAGCAAGTTTCAAAAGCATTATATTGTTCATCGCAATTGATTACGGTGTCAAACCCTGTAGTTTATTGACTGCTTCATAATGATTCATAATCAGAGCTCAACAGGAGTGATACAGACAGAGATAACATGACTGTATATAACTCAAACTATGATATCTGGATCAGTTCTTTCATTATAAGGGGGATACAGTTATGGAAGGAATTTCCCCTCAACCAGGAGCCTTCAGTATGGAGTTAGCAGAAGTGGAGATGGAAAGAAAGGAGGCTTTTGTTTAAAAAATGATCTACTCTACATCATGCTCTAAATGAGGAGACAAGTGATTTCTAATGGAATAAAATCCCCAAAAATATTTTGTAAACTTGACAAACCATATGAATCTACTCTCACTACATTCATTCAGTAAGATTCATATTCTCTACCCTTGATGAGGTGTCTGGCTTACCCCGCCTGGACCTGTCCGCGTTTGGCTGGTTTGTTGATACACTTGAGGAGCGCCACTATCTGTGGCTGAGTATGAAATCACAGTTGAAGAAGAAAATGTCTGGCAGTTTGGAGATCCTGTCATCCTTTCCTGCAAGCAAAGAAACACATTGGTTGGTTCAGACTTTCAGACAAAAGTACTTGACATGAACTTAAAATATCTCACTATATTTCCCATCATGTTTCCCATCATGTCGAACATATTCATGAAGCCTCCGCCCTGAAAAATAATGACGTATTAGTTTTCCAAATTTACTTATTCACTTATTTTTCAGACATTTTATTCATACAACAGCTAATTTGGAATTTTACTCACTAAATAAAATGTTTTTTACACAAACTTAAGAGAATCAGGAATGACACTCCTTCTAGAATCTGAAAACCATAAGAACAATGCCAGTCCAACTCACCATTCCCATCATGCCAAAGGGAGCCAGTGGGCCAGGCTAGGAAAACAATTGACAATTGTTTTAATGAAACTTAATTACATTTATTTCAAAAAGACACATCCTCTTACCGCAGTCACCGGTCTGCGTGCTGGACGCACCTGCATCTGTGGCACCGCAAGAGCAAAAGGATCCATCCCAAAAGGGTCAAACATGCTCCTCATATGCTGCCTGTGAGCGGCGAACGGATCCCTGAGAAGGAGAGGGAGACATTCAGTGACTAAACAAATAGGGCATTTCAACATATTATTGAAATACTTAGGTCAAATGTATGATTTAGACCTACTTTTATTGTTTCACTATAGGAAAAACCATGTGTCCTTTCAGAAGAATTCAATAACATTTGGTTTTTAAAAATGATCTATATAACATAAACACAAACTCGTATGTTTTCATTATGTATTTAAAACCAATTTGGTAATAATTATATATTACAGATTCATTCTTTGTTACATATAATGCAAAAAAATCTTATTATATGAATTTATGTTTTCGGTTTCACTGATCCAATCAGAATGAGCCAGTGTTTGCCAAACTTTGCCAAAGGGTGAAATCCACCTGCAGCCAATCAATCAGTGCTGGTGCATTCTCAACAGCACCAATCTGTGCCACAAACACTGAACTGCCAGATCAGTCTGATGTCGCTGTGGGGTCTTAATACAACTGGTGCCTCTTAACAGGATTCACATATAGACACGATTTCTGTGCATTGTACTTGATGTTGTGTTGTTATTGCTCTGGTCCAGTACAGTGTGCTAGCCTGTCACAGTAGGCCCTGCAGCTGGTTTTGTAATCTTCACTTTAGCTTGGTTTAAACACCACGGCATGCCAACATGTAGTCTTTGTGCCTTATAACATGCATAAACAACAGCAGTGTAAGATATGTTATTCTCGTACTCACATCATAAAGGGGTCTTCGTCCACGTCATTCAAGTATCGAAACATACTGGGATCAATCAGCTGGCTCCACCACCACTAGCCAGCTAGCGTTAGCCGCGCACTCGTGTTTTGAAAGCTGAAATAAGATGAGAAAATGAAACCCCACACCTCGATTAATGATTTTCCAACGAGATCTACGCGTCAGGCACACGCTGTCCACAGATTGTGACAGTGTCCCTTTGCAGTATCTCCTAGTTTCTAGAAATCTGTAGAAAACACTCAACCGGAAGTCAGCGTTTTGACAAAGAGAAGCCACTGATGATAGAAAAGTTCACAGTAAAATCTGCAAAACAAACTTCCGACATTTTGCCTTCAAAATAAAACGCACGCACACAAAATCTAAAATATGAATAATAAATGAGAATGGGAATCTACAATAGCTCCTCAATCAAAAATCAACAGTGTAAGACAAGTAGTGGAAGCTCCCAAAGTGTAACAAGAAATAAACTGAAGCTGCAGTACTGTATTCCCCTGAAACAATGCAATTTGTTTGTCCCAAATATTTAAGGGTGCATTTAGAGTAAAAGCTGCTTAATGTGTTTTTACTTACAGTCTATTATTTTTACTGCTTGAAAAATGCTTGCATTTTACTGCTTGAAAACTGCTTGCATTCATTAGGTCGGATAGCCGCCAAAAGGGCCAGATTGGAAGGAGGTATTTTGCTGAACTCCGATTCAGGTTTTCTCTGTTATCTGTCAGACGCAGCTCGTCCAGCAGATGGCGCTGATTCCGTGCATGAAACCCGCTGCCCCGTGCGCTTGCGCAGTGAGAAGCAGACCTCAAACCCGGATGTAACCAACGCCTAACCTGTCCAAGCGAAAACGGTGAGAAAAGTTATGATTTTACATCAGAATAATAATGATATTGTCATTCTGACAGTGGGACAGTATATGGAAAGTGTTTATGAAAAGTAAGGACACCTGTTTGACGTAGTTATTCGTAAAATGATTGATTGAATCCCAACTTCGCCGCTTCAGGTTTTAAAATGGTTCTTTTCTTCTTTTACGAGCAAAACCTTCATATAATCATCTGTATTTTGGCAAAGCTTACGTGTGTGAACGTCAACTTCAACTATTTTTTTGTCTCCTTATCATTTTCACACGTATATCGAAAGTGACTTATCCTCTAACGAGCTCTTCTTATCCAAAGGTTGAGTTGTGGTCACACATGATTGATTTAATATAGTTAATGTAAGATAATCAAAATTAGTATTTTGTTTTGTTTGACCGAATCAGTTTTGTCCTAACTGGCGTTAATTGTGAGATTGGTATGCGGAAGTGAGCCGCTGTCACCGATATTGTTGTAGTTCCACATGCAATAACAAGTCCACCACCAGTCAGGATATCATTAAAATGTATAACAGATGCAGGCGTATCCAGTACCAACATTTACCTTTTTATGTTATGTTTTAGTTATTTCAGATTAATTAAATACTGTATTCACACTCCAGTTGATTTGTTTATGTGGCAGGAAATGTGACACTTTTCTACTTCCTCCCTGTCTGACTGACAGTCTTATGATTTCCTATCTTGTCTTTTTTCTTTAGATGCAGACTATAAAATGTGTGGTGGTTGGGGATGGTGCAGTCGGAAAAACTTGCTTATTGATCTCCTACACGACAAACAAATTCCCCTCTGAATATGTGCCAACGGTAAGAGCATGTAGTGGACCTATCTGAAAGACTTGTTAGAAGTGTATTTTATTTCCTTAAAAAATACCACAGAAAGCGGGCATCTGACCTGCTTGTTCATTGTTGTTGTAAGCAGCATGGCAAACAAATTATATCTCCATGGAGATAAGGAGGTGGCAGTTCTATCCCATTTTACCTAGTTAAAAAATAGTTCCAACAAAAGCTAAAAGTTACTAACAAAAAATGTTAACGTATGTACACATATAAATAATATCCCTTGTCATTTTTTGATGCTTCTTTAGATCTTTTGTTTTTCATTTTAAAAAGTAACTGAGTGGATGTTTCACAAGTCTGATTTTCACTTGTCCTGGACAATGGCCCATTGTTTTTTTTTCATGTTTATAAAAAGGAATTGAGCAAATGAGAAATAAGATCAGATTTTAATCTTTTTATTCTAAAACCAACACTAAGATTACATGCATGTATCCACAAATACCATAAATTATATGTATCTGCCACAAATTAATCTTAGTTATTGTAAAATTCACATGTTGTAACAACAACAAAATCTGCGATATAACAAAGTAACGTCAATATACAATAAATTCATTTATAAACTGTTTATCAATTAAAATAAACATTGACCTTGAAACGGCTAATCTACACCCCTGATGGTACTCAAAATGCATGTGATTTTGAATTCTTGTTATTTTGCACTTGCTACTAAACCACCAAACACTTCCTGCATTGGTGTGAAAAGACATTATCACGGCAAAAACTTCAAATTACAAAAAAAACCAAACTTAGTCTTTTCTAGGACTCAGAAGAATTTAATCACTTTGATTTTCTCGTTCTTAAATGCTTGTATTAAAATGTATGTTCCCCACAGGTTTTTGACAACTATGCCGTGACGGTGATGATCGGAGGAGAGCCCTACACACTTGGGCTTTTCGACACAGCAGGTACAGTGATCATAATTCCCAATAGTCTGTTGTTGTTTTAGTTATTGGCATCACTAACTTTTACCATATGTAAAATCTCTACTTTTCAGGTCAAGAGGATTACGACAGACTGCGGCCTCTGAGTTATCCACAAACCGATGTGTTCCTAGTGTGCTTCTCTGTTGTTTCACCATCCTCTTTTGAAAATGTCAGAGAAAAGGTTTGTAAAGTAGTTTTTTCTCATATTAGGATTCCAGATGCATTTTCTTTGCCATTTGCAGTTTAAAACCACATTGGAATGCACTCAGACATGTGATCTGCATTCTCTGTGCCCTGTGTGTTTCGTAGAAGTAGCTTTTGGCTCAAAATTCTCAAAGACGACCAGTAAAAGCATGATATTGTTTTAAAGTTTATTTGTTTATTGTATATCTGCATTGTGTTTGATTGTTGCTCCAGTGGGTTCCAGAGATATCTCACCACTGCCCTCGGACACCGTTCCTTCTGGTGGGAACTCAAGTCGATCTCAGGGAAGACAGCAATACCATTGAGAAACTGGCCAAGAACAAACAGCGCCCCCTATATCTGGAGAGTGGCGAAAAGCTGTCTCGAGACCTGCGGGCCGTTAAGTATGTGGAATGCTCTGCTCTCACACAGGTAATGTTACAACTTCTACATCTACACACACTTCTACGTCTACATTTGTTGTCCAAGACCCTATACCTGATTTTAATGAAAAATAGTCAAACACTGAATGACCCATGACTCTCACTGAATTAGACTTTGGTTCAAGGTGTATTTAGATCATTTATATTATTCATACTATTTTGTTTACTCCCCTGTAAGGAACTATTTATTTAATTGGTGCTAACAAAGAGTACCGTACGTTTGAAATTGATTACAGTATTTCATCACTCATTTCATAACTACCAAGATCCATTTCTGTAACTTGTGAACACCTCACTATGTTCTGCTTTTGCATTCTGACCTGTCTTCTATTTCTATCTTAAACCATAGTTTTGATGAACCTGCCAGAATATTTTTCTTATGACTTTAATTTGTTTTTTTTCCCTTTCCTTCACCAGCGAGGGCTGAAGAATGTGTTTGACGAGGCCATTTTAGCCGCTTTGGAGCCACCTGAGACCAAACCCAAGAGGAAATGCGTCCTGTTGTAGATCAAGTGAAAAACCTCGCGCTGATGTCACTCAGACAAATCCATGACCCTTTAATAAGAGTGCACACACAGCAGAGAGGAGGACCCAAACCTTTGTCTTCTAATAATGTGCCTTCAACATGCACTGCAAAAATGTCATCTCCAACTTCTTTAGAACGCCAGGGTAAATGTTATGTCTGATTGAAAGTTGCAATAGTTAAACATAGAATTGATAGAAACTTAAGTTCATCAAGAAAGTATTAAACTTTTAATAAAAATATGATTGATCTAATAACGTTCTGTCTTTGCTTGAGCAGGCGATGAGTATAATTATTGACTTTTTTTTTACTTGAATTGATAAGAAACATCAATCTCGAGATGAAGCTGTTTTGACTGTTCTGGATGTTCATTTTTGCAGTGCAGGGTTGTTAAAGGAGCTGAGCCTTCGTAAGCAATAACATACACAGCAGTTCTTCTTGTGTTCAAGTGTTTTCATCAGAAAAACAAACCAGGGGCGGGACCCTGTCGCATATGCTCCAACCTTTTTATTTTTTTAAACATTTATTTAGTGGGATTAAAGTCTTACACTGCAAGAGGTTCAAATAGAATAATAATAGTTTTTGACTATTCATTATTTTTCATTGTTTAAGCTTTAAAACGATGTCACTGCTTTCGGAATATTCACATCTTGAAACTACATAAAAACAATTAAGGTCTTCACAGACGGTTATGGTCTTGGTGAATTTGACTAATTATTATTTTTGATATATTGTTTTACCAATCAAAAAGACTTCTGCAGTGTACCTCATGACTTGTATTATTTTTTTAAATAAATTGTTAAGGGGAAGCCTTATACAAAGTGGTACTTGATCAGCTTTCTTTTTCTATGTATTTTGAATTGAGAGTTGAATGAGATTAAGATCACTCCAAAGTGCAGTATATCGTAGCTTTAGCATCAGACCTCAGTGACTTTTGTGGAGGTGTTTTTGACTCTTGTCAAAGATTTTTCTTTTATGCATCATGTGTTAATCCAATTGAAAATGTTTCTCGGTTCATGCCGAAACTTGAACTTTTTATTGTTGTTTTTTAATAAATAAACAACAAACAAACTTGATCAAGACATAATGTTTGAGCAGATCATCTTCATAACAATGATGGTGACTAATTGTGGGTGTTTATAATCACTGAATGTTTGTAATAAAATGGTTTGAAGAAATTACTCTCCTTTTTCCTTGTTCAATTGTCTATTGCCAAATAGTTTTACATATTTTAGGCTAAAAGTACAGATGTATCTTTACACAATTTTAAGATGGGTGAAGAACGTGGTTGTGGCCTTTCAGCACCATGTCAGAATCCTGGCTTGACTGCAGTATATTGTGATCGAAAGTGAGATCCAAACTTTGGAACATAATGCTTTAAGAACGTCTCATGTAATGAAGACAGGGAAGGAGGCAATTTTATAATGGGCTCATGTTCGTTTCAGAAGATATAACCAAACAGAAAACTAATTGAAAATCATCACTGAGTCCACAGATGTATCCATCATTTAAAACTAGGATCCCAACAGATCTCCTCAGTCTTAAAACCTGTGTTTAACCAGGAATTCTTTTTCAGCACTGCTTTGGATATTTTTCATTATCTTGGCCACTCAAATATGAAGTTTCAGTAGCATTATCACATGTGTTGAGTTGCACTGGTATGAATGGGAATTACCTATATTGATCAAGAAAAATACAATTACAATTCTCACACAGAATTGTTACAAGCACTTTATCTTAAGCAGATCATGTGAACTGAAATTAATTTATGTTTAGTTGGTAAAAACGGCAGTAAGAAACACTAATTTAAGCGGCACTAGTGTTTATTATACGTAACAAGCACATCTACAGAAAATGTGCAAAAATGTACAATACGGAGCAAATCACAAGACAGACACTGATGTTAATAAAATAGTAAAGCTCAGACTACACTGGCACATTGCACAGAACAACAAATAAATAACCCAAAATAAAGTTGAAGACAATTTCATGTACAAATGATCTACTTTGAATACAATATGATAGTTGTAAAACATGTATTTATGGTTAGTTGTGGTTAAGTTCAGCTGTGGAAGCTTTGTCGGCTCTGTGTGGACTCTTGAGTGGATGCTTACAGTTCTGCGTGCCGGAGCTTGTCTGTATTTGTCTCAGTTTGTGTTTTGTTAATGAAAGAAGGTCAGAGCCAACACTGGAAAATTACATCTATAAGAATTGAATTGGAAGATGAATTCAGAATATTTGATTGGTCTTGGTGGACTCATTTCATTGTCAATATGAGAGTTTTGGTATTTGCCTGCGTTATGTGACTCCATCATGTATGATCTATGTCCAAATTGTGGAAAACAATTTAAAGTTACGCCACAATTTTATACAAACTAGAAGGACTAAACTAATGGTAACGGTGAAAGAATTGCGTGTAGATGATGTAACTGATGATGGTAGTAGAGTGATGGTCTCAGAATCAAAATATACAAGACAGATTGGTTTGAAAGAACCTTTTTCCTAAAATGCCAAAACTAATATCTTTACTCAAGTTGAAACGTATGTGTTATGACCAAATGTGTTACAATGGACGTAACACTATGTGCATTGGCTCACTGATTACAAATTTAAAGGCTTTGTCATTTCTAAATAATATAATTAGACTCAGTTCCTCTTAGTTGTTAAATTGGATGCTTTCTGGAATATTTGATTCATACAAGAAAGTGTGTTGAAATGACTACAAACTTGGGCCTAACTAATGCATTTTTATGGTAGTTATTTACAACGATTGCACTCAAGACAGTGGGGGCCAAACCTTTTTAAATAGTTTGAATTAGTTTAAAGATCCCATCCCACAGACTGATGGGATTTTTTTTTTTAAATGATCACCTCTTTGTTCAGTATTATAAAGTCAATCAACAGCAATTGTGTTGGTGTAAGACATTGGGGTCTGACCTAGAAGACATTACCCATTCATAAGACTGATTCATACATTCATTCATACATTTGAGCAGCTGTTGTCTATAAAGAAAAAAGTCATTGCAAAAACTAAAGCAACACGTGATGAATATTCTGAATTCAAATCCCGCTAACACCCACACTCATTCCCGTTTGGCGGAGTACAGTGGCCCGTGTCGTGTCTGTCTCGTGGTTTGTTGGATGTTAATTCCTGGGTGGTTTTGCTCTCGTGGGACTTCACACTCGGCACGTGTGAATGGTGACGGTGTTTTTGCACTGCTGACAGCGCACAGAGCAGCACCAGGAGAATTTGCAGGAGCAGCGCTGCACAACCTCTGCCCGGCCCGCCCTGTAGCCTGGACCGCAACACACCAGCTCACAGCCATCTGGAGCCAAACGGGAGGTCCCTGGAGGAAGAGGGGCCCGTGAACCACCAACAAATATCCATTTATTTTTTGTGTCTGCTCTTATGTGATGTTACACAATATATTCTGTTTGCTGTGCAGCATTTGGGAGACTACTTTCTTTATAAAAATGTGCTACATAGATAAATTGTGTCTGGATTTACAGTGAACAGCATTTGCATATGTTTGACTGAATTGAATGGCATGTGTGAATACATTGTTTCTCAAACTGTAGTACATGTACCACAGGTGGAATGCAAGTTGCTTCTGATGTACATTCCTTTGCCACTCAATTACACGTTTTAATTACTTTGGGCAGTACTGCAGCGGTTAGTACTTGTCCTTCAAAGCAAGAAGGGAACTTTTTGTGTGTAGTTTATTATGTTCTCTCTGTGTCTGCGTAGGTTTCCTCCAGGTGCTCTGGTTCTGCAAAATGCCACTTGCGTAGGAGTTGCATGTTGAACATAGTCATAATGTACAGTAACTAACTAACTAAGTCAGTGTGTAGGGATTTTGGCAGAAATAAAGCTGTTTTGTCTTTGTCTTCTCTAATGTTAAAAGCATCTTTGCTGTGGTCTAAAGCAAAAAGAAAAAAATATTGACAACAACGATAATGGCCAAAACGTAATCATTAGAATTTTTTGCTTTTTGACATTTGCTTTAGAATGTTACCATTGCATCTCCGACCAGCTGTCCCGGGAATCCCATTGTCAGGGTCCAGGTGGCAGAAGTCTGGGGAGGGGGCAAGGTACAGCAGGTCTCTGGCTGCTGGAGGTTTGACCTGGGGGTCCCGTGGCAACAGGGCCGGCCGCGAGCCAATACGAGTCAGCCGAACCTAAAGAGAAGAATTTAGTGATACAACAAAAATAATAAATACACCATAATCACACATGAGATGATATATCCACAGTCTAGAAATGAGTGTGGCAGTTTGGTTAGTATCCAATATGTAAAGCTCACAACAGACCCCTTCACATGGGTGGGAGTGCTGTGAGACCTGAAACACCCTATGACCCCAAGCCACAACACTGATAATGTGTCCCAGTGCTTCCTTTAAAACCTTAGTTAGTGGTCATGGTAAAGCTCACATCTGGATCACACCTGGATAATAGCCATTGCTTTTTTAACAATACTGTACTTGGGAAAAATGCCTATTTTTCTAAATGATAAGAAGATTTAGCAGAGTTTTATAAAAGTGCTTAATGTTATGTTGCTGTACCTCTGTTGCTCCGTCGAAACGCTCTTTAAGCACAACTCCGACCCTCCTGAACGGGGGCATGACCTTCCAACAGGTTCTGAGCTCACAGGAGCCGGAGACGCCATGACACTTACACTCCACTTGCATGTTGTGGAGGATGGCCTGAAACACACACAGTTAAAAATAATGCTACACAATCTGAATGACTAGCCTATGTGGAGTCTAAGCACTGGGAAAGAATGCAAAGACTATAAACATTTCTGAATAGTTGTAAGTCTGCATCCAAATTCAGAAAAGAACAATCTTCTTCAGCCTTCCTCTAAAATTTGACAACAGGGCTGCTTCAGGTTTCAAATGTAAGAATTGTTTAAGCAGCTTTAAAATGTGATGTCATCAAGATTATTGTAAAGAAAAGGACGTTTTTAATTTTCTTCGAGATTCATAGTAATATTAAGTTTTACCCAATTTTCCAGAAAGGGCTTATATGTTTGTGCAATTCATATACAACTAGTCCAACTTAAAGGGCCCTGGTCACCAATTTATAAATGGGGGAAGCTTGCCTCAATCTAAATGTGTAAAAGAGCTGAAAGTGTCTAGTAAAGTTAAGGAGCTCCAAGTCTCTAGGGAGTCAAACTGGATCCAGAACAGGCGAGTGTGGCTGCAGGTTTTCCTTCCAACCAAGCAGGAGCACACCAGACTCCAGAAGAAATGGGTGGAGTCTGGTGTGCTCTTTCATGGTTGGAATGAAAACCACAACCACACTGACCCTTTGAGACTGGTTAACCCTAACTCTAACCCTAACCCTAACCCCTGCTCTAGACGAATCTTATACAAATACTAAACATCAATGCAAAGTATATATAGCAAGAGGCAAGCAGGTGGAAGATCCCCCACCAGAGTTAAGTTCAAGTGTTTCTAATTAAAGTTATTTAAACAGACGTTGGAGAATATTTGCTTGTATGTTTTAAGACCTTCAGACCTTTCTGCCGGCCTCGTTGTTGTGGAGGTTCATGAGCGGTCGGCCTGCAGACAGCCCCTTGGCTCGCTCAGGTTCATCCACAAACGTTTGGGAGAAAGCCACCCCATAAGAGAGGTTATCACTGCACCCTGACCACTGGAACCCTGTGTGAGGCAAATATGAGAAATTATGAACTGGATGTATTGCCATGAAGTTTTTGCCTTTGCTTCTTTTGTTGCTAAAGCCTGGGAGAGGAGACAACAGATTCTGTACCCTGGATAATGCACCAAATTGTAAATCTTTTTCTGTTTTTCATGTCTGTATATGGTCTGTATATGGTCTGTAGCCATCAGATGTTGTTGTTCAGTGTCATATAAGCCCATGTGGGCTGGGCACTTTTGTGCATGACACTTAAATAAATAAACTCAAACTCAAACAAACAAACTACAATGTTTCATAATATCACATAAGAAGATCAAACCAGTACCAATGCTGATCAAACCTGAATTATCTAATAAACTTGAAGATGATATGAACAGTTGGATGTTCTGCAATTGTGCCTAGACTATAGTTGGCTTGATTTTCTATGTTTTTCGATGTGTGAAGTATGTGTGACATATGTGTGACGTAAATGTTGACTATATAAACTATATCCTGAAAAAAACCTGAAAAACTGAGAGAAACTGAATACATTTCCAGGTGGCTTTGGTGAGTAAAGATCCCGTCTCTGTGAGGTTGATTCTCCACAAGGGGAGATGAAGATCATGGCTAAATACTAAACCCTGACTGTGTAGCAATTTAAAAAGATACTTTTACAAAGCCTGACCTGTCAGTGTTTCTATTACAACGACAAAGTCTAGACACATTTTAGAATGATTTGTATATTCCCTATCCTGATTCTTTCATGTTTACGTTCAGGCTGCAACAGTGGACACAGCAGGACCAGGCTCACCCTCTGGGCTGACCCCTCTGACCTTCCTGTCGCAGCCGCAGCGCTCCAGCTCTCCCCGGGTGCAGGCGCGCGTCACGGCCACCGCCACCGCTGCGGAGGATAGCGCATGCACAAAGGCCGCCTCACGAGTGCCTGGACCAGAGGACAGAGAACTTATTTCATGCTATTTTCTATACGTGCGGAAAAGTTTGGTTTGAACTTCACCTTGGTTCATGACTCGTCCAAACACATTGATTCCTCGTGGAGTCGTGGAGCAGTTCCATCGACGGTTTCTGAACTGGTGCTGGCACTGAGACACGGGAGAATATTACATCCACCACTTGCACTTTGCAACGCTGTTTGGGCCCTTCTCCACCTCTTTCTTTCTATAGAGATGATATTGCTTTGATTGAAATGTACCTCACTATTATCCAATATTTAATTACAGGTGTTTCACTTCTCAAATAGGCCTAACTGAAAACAGACACCCCTGGTGAGTGTCTGAATCCAAATTCTGGCATAGCAACTACCTAGCAACCAAGGAGCCAATCTGGAGCAGCTCTGGTCTATGCTCTCTCACGCTACTGAATTGCCGAATAGATAGAAGGCAGACTATTATTATATTAACAAAAATATCACAATAAAAACACAATGATCAGGTAGAGCATTACCCACAAATGTTTAAGCCCAAATTGGTGAGTCTGACATAAGGCTACAGAGTAAGAGGCGTTCAATGAAAGCCACAGAGCAAAACTTCACCCACGTAAGCACTTCCCTATTAGGCTTTTTTAAGGTAGTGGGTGGGCACACTCCATCCCTATAAACAGGCTATGCACTGCAGAGATGGGGCGTCACACAGCCTGGTGATGTCATATCTCTGTCTCTAATGTAGAGGGATAAGTTCAATGCAAAACTGAAGAACAACCCAGACACAGCAATAACATTTACAAAAACAAATGAGTGGCATGCCCAACACCTTTGATCTTACCTCTTCTATGACCATCTCGGCTGCTTTGCGCACTGACTCCATGACCTCCCCCCGCGCCCTGCACACTCCCACCTGCCCCGGGGTCAGCCCCCTCAGCCGCGCACACGGAGCAGCACCCGACACAGGCCTGGAGTGGGCCAGCCTCGCCAGGGAGCTGGGACAAATAGGAGGGAATTGTTGTAGTGACTTTTAGAGGAATGGATGAGCAGAGGGCAAAAGAGGAGGGTGCATAATTAGGCAGAAGGGAACGAGAAACTAACAAAGTTTTAAAGCAGAGAAAAAACAGTACACGAGGCAACAGCGAGGCGCATGAAGAAAAGAGAAAAGGTCACAAGGACAGAGACAAAGGCAGCAAAGGCAGTGCACAGGGAGATTTAGAGACATGTCAGTGTGTTTTAAAGTTATAGCATGACAAACAAACTCCCTCTTTCTCTGCACACTAGACTTACAGCCAGTTGGTTGCCATGGAAGGGCAGATCACCCATAGCAGCAGGAGGAGCAGTGGTGCCGTTCGATTGACAGTGAAGACAGTTGGCATCAGGGTCAGGGTGTCTGTGTGTCTGTGCTCTGTGTGCGTCAGCCGTGTACAGGACCAGTGCCTGTTCTCCACACTCTGTCCTCTCCTGCAGCTTAAATCTGCAGTCCCACTTCAGGGGACGAGCCCCACAAATCTGCACACACAAAAACATGTTAGTGTAAACTTTATTAATCCCTTTGTGGATCAATAAAGTTTAGGACTAAATCCAAGTAGTCCCTCATCATGAATAACAAATGGAACCATTAGTTATAGTTGTGTTCTCACCCATTTATGAAGTCGCGATATCAGTCTTCTCCGTCAAAGTGTCTCCAGCGTCCATCCAAACACTCATGCTCTCAGTAAAGTCTCTCACGCGGCGCACAATCACGATCCAGGAATCCAGATTAGTTGACAAAAAGAAAGAAAACGCCCATTATTGTTGGAGCGAAATAGTGTTAGCTTCTCTGATGGCTGTAGAACATGGCTGCTGTATTCCAAGTGATCATGTAAAATAGTCCGATCTGGGTTCAGGGGTTGAGGGGAATGAGTGAGCGGCGTGTGATGGGGCAGACGGTTATAAAGGAGCAGTGAGAGAGAGCACAGGCGTGATCTTGGGTGTGGGGAGATGCAGAGGGAGGGTTCAGCTTGGGCACAACTTTGGAGAGATGTTTAGTCTTAAGATTTCATTTTATTTTGGCTTGATATGCTCAACATGTTCACTCCTCTCGATCAAAGGTTGAAATACGGGTCCTTCTGGTTTGGTCAATTTGTTTTTTGTGTGTGTGATTTAGGCTACAGTTAGTTTCCATGTTTGATATGGAAACACAGCCACAGCATAATGAATTGCTGAGTAAAATAAACAGAAATAGATCTTCTAATGTGACTGATTAGCAGGTTGTAGGAAATCAAATCTATAACAATATGATCATAAATAGACTTATCTGATTCTATGTGCAATATTCTAATCCTATGTAATAACAGAATCTGGGAGAAAACTCATCCAATCGTTCCTAGTGTGACTCAGCATGCACCTGTTCGGTTATGCATGTGAAAAAACCCACCTCCGCTAATGTTTAATTTTCCCAAACTTTGTTGCTCATTTTACGAGTTTCCCCCTCCTTCCTTTGCCAGTGTCGCCTGCAGTTGCCCCCGGGTTCCTCCTCGCTCCCTCTTCCTATATTGTCCAAGAAGAAGGGGTGACATTTAGACAAGGGGAAGAAAACACAGCACCGTCAAATATTGGAACTGAGGCAAATAAATCACCACGTAAGGAGGAAAAGGAGGGTTCTTGAAAGACAAGCCCACTTAAATGGGCCGAGGAAATGCATTGAATAATGAGGAAGTTCCTAGTGAAGTTTAAATAAATATTGAGTTGTTTGCTTTGATTTACTTCATCTTATCTGAGACAGCCTCCCTGATGTTGCATTTTTACAAGCTTATAATAGAACATTGCAAAATGTAATATAATATAGGAGAAACTTTATTCATCCCATAGTTGAGACAGTGTTGCAACACACAGTACAGGACCATGGGAACATAGAGGCACTCAAAACAAGAAAAAAAACATTAATGAATTTTGTAACTCGTTACACCAGGGGTTCCCAAAGTTCCCTGCTCCAAGATAGGCATGAAACGTTCTGGCAACCCCCACTGATGTACACAAATGAATATATTACTAATCTGAAGAATCAAAACAAGCTTGATTCATGTTGATTTATTTGAGTCACTTATTGTGCTATCAGACAGTTTTGCCCGGTCGCGGGGGCAGCAGTCTCAGCAGAGACGCCCAGTCTTCCCTATCCACACACACTTCCTCCAGCTCAAGCGGGGGAATCCCAGGGCATTCCCAGGCCAGCTGAGAGACAGTCCCTCCAACGTGTCCTGGGTCTTCCCTGGGGTCTCTTCCTGGTGGGACCTGCCCGGGACAATATCATGTCCCATTCAAATGAATACAAAATAGACAAGATGCAAGTTTTCTCAAAAACACCTTGAAAAAAGCGTTCAGGTTCACCACTCCGTGGATCTGACCTGGTCCCGGTTTCTTCCAATAAGATTATATTCACTATTAAAACAAAGCAATGGTGTTCCAGTTTAAAGCTGGGGTGCCCAACATGCCATGTTTTGGCCTCTGTCACATATTTAGATCAGTTTTTTTAAACAGAAAAGTTAAAACGAGAGGACCACTGTTAATCAGCCCAAAACGTCAAATTGCGGCTCACAGGGCTCCTTCTTTCGAGTTTACCAATGATAAAAACAATTGATAAGTTGAAGACTTCATGTTTAATGAAAGGAATCATGCCAACTGTAAGTTCTATTCTATGAATCCATTTTAGTGCAGGCAGTATAGTACTCAATGTAATAGTTACGAGTGTGTTTTATATATATATATTAAAGTTTAGAGTTGACTCAGATGACTCAGAGTTGTATTGGCCGTTTACCTGAACCCTGTGACTCGCGGTGCCCCATCTGCAAAGACAGGTTCTTGTTAGGCCCCTCTCCTTCTGTTTGGGCCGATTCTCGTGTCGTTTTGCGCCTTTGTGTCCCCTGTTTCTCCAAATGACGTCTTCCACAGTCTCCCACGGTGACTCCATGACGACGAGGTGGTCACTGTCATGTCTGGCGCCTCTGTTATGCACATCCTTTCACCTCTCGCTCGTAAATAACTTCCATTCTTATTTTATCTATCTTTTCCCCATTTGAGAACGTTTTATCATGCTGAAATGGCCAATAGATTGTGCTCGCCAAGTCCCAATATTTAACGTCATCATTTCAGCAAGAGGGGAGCAGCCTGTAAACCCTTCAAGATAATCTTAAAATCTAAACTTATGTCTTCTTATCATCAATGTGAGAAAAAACAATTAACGAATTTTGGTTTAATTTTTTGTGTAACTCATGTGAAACTTTTGTGTAATGGGAGAATAACTTTTTTCTGAGGAAAATCTTGAGCTATGTCTCATGCTATGTCTTCTTTGTTAAATGATAAAAAATAAATGTGTGGGTGTTTTATTTCATGATCTATTAAGTGAATCTAGGTTTAGAAGTACACACACACCATAAATAACCAAAAGAAAGTCAAAAATAAAATGTTAAAAGTTATCTGCTTTTACATGTTGTTGGCTTTAAAACAATATTTGCCATTGGGTTAAGTAAAAATGTATGGATTGTTGAGATTACCATTGTTGTGATTTAAGGCTATACAAGACTAAGTTTAAATGAATTTATTTGATTACTCGACTGAAGATTGTTTTCACTCTTGAAATAAAATACTTTTTGCTTGTTTTGCTATTTGTGAGTATTGTTATATGACAGTCATGTTTTTTTGTTTTTACAATGTGTTATCAGTTGTAGGAAGTGTAAGATATTCCATTAACCCATTTGTGATTTCCTTGAGGCCTGATTGAAGGCCTCTTTGTGAGAGGATGACTTCATGACTTCATTATTCGCTTCAAGGTCATAATGAGAATGTGTGTGATCACCTGGTGTCTACTGGCCTGAGTGTCATCATGGGGACGGCTGTGGGGGGGGGCACCTGTCGGAACCTGGAGAGAAATCTTCACTTCGACGCCTGTGTTCACGCTCCTGCATCTGTGCCAACAAAGAAGAGAGCAGTGAGAGCATGGATGTGTGCGGCGCGTGCTTATGAATATTATGGGATGGCAGCAGTGTTGTCAGGCAGGGAGTGGGGGGGCTGCAGGACAGGAGGGCGATGGGGGGTTTCATAGGGGGGAGGGTGCAGGGGAATGAAAGGACCATCTATGAATATGATGGAACAATGAAGATGGTGCAGTAGTTTGTGAGGTGAGAGCAGGCGGTGCATATGCAAGTGAAGGGCTTTTGAGCAAAAGTAAGAGACATGAACCAGACGGTTTTGTTGCTATGCAATGTGCATGTAAGTGTACACCGTACAGTGTACAGTAGAGCAGCAGCATTCCCAGTGGAGACACAGGACCAAAGGCCTCGCAATCTGAGTGAGAGAGGTCAATGTACACACAACACACAGGCACTACATCTCCACTGTAAATCGTCTGTTTAAGTTACTCCTCCAAAAGTAAAATTACTTCCTATCAATGGACCAACATGACGTTGATGAATTTTTCGTACCTGGTGTGTGTTTTAGGCCCAGGCCCTGAATATCACAGAGAAAGCCAAACAAAGGTGTGTTTTGAAAGCTGTATAGTTGGGCCTGGTGTGTCATGAAGGACAGAATAAGGCCTGTTAAATGTGACATATCTCACAGGGTCACATGATGTGCTCAGTCTACAACACTCTCTGGCTCCACACGTGCTCCTGTTGTTCACAACACACCTGTTGGACAGATGCATGTGGGACAGGACACTCACACTGCCAGGGTCCTTGTACAACCTCACTGCTTCACGGTCCCTGTGCTCCTCACAGAAACAGGGACCTTGTACACTCTCACAGTGACATGGCCCCTGTGCTCCTCACAGTGACGCAGCCCCTGTGCTCCTCACAGTGACATGGCCCCTGTGCTCCTCACAGTGACATGGCCTCTGTGCTCCTCACAGTGACAGGGTTCCTGTGCTCCTCACAGTGACATGGCCCCTGTGCTCCTCACAGTGACATGGCCCCTGTGCTCCTCACAGTGACAGGGTTCCTGTGCTCCTCACAGTGACAGGGTTCCTGTGCTCCTCACCGTAACATGGCCCCTGTGCTCCTCACAGTGACATGGCCCCTGTGCTCCTCACAGTGACATGGCCCCTGTGCTCCTCACAGTGACATGACCCCTGTGCTCCTCACAGTGACATGGCCCCTGTGCTCCTCACCGTAACACGGTCCCTGTGCTCCTCACAGTGACGCGGCCCCTGTGCTCCTCACAGTGACATGGCCCCTGTGCTCCTCACAGTGACAGGGTTCCTGTGCTCCTCACCGTAACATGGCCCCTGTGCTTCTCACAGTGACAGGGTTCCTGTGCTCCTCACCGTAACATGGCCCCTGTGCTCCTCACAGTGACAGGGTTCCTGTGCTCCTCACAGTGACATGGCCCCTGTGCTCCTCACAGTGACAGGGTTCCTGTGCTCCTCACAGTGACATGGCCCCTGTGCTCCTCACAGTGACATGGCCCCTGTGCTCCTCACAGTGACAGGGTTCCTGTGCTCCTCACAGTGACATGGCCCCTGTGCTCCTCACAGTGACATGGCCCCTGTGCTCCTCACAGTGACATGGCCCCTGTGCTCCTCACAGTGACAGGGTTCCTGTGCTCCTCACCGTAACATGGTCCCTGTGCTCTTCACAGTTGTACAGTTTCTCCAGGGTCCAGAGGTGCCATGTGTCCTCAGGGTGTTTTTTCTTGTGTTTTTTGGAGTTGTATATTATGGGATGCATTCTGCTGCTGGAATATTATGGTCTGTCGAGAGGGAGGGGGCGTCACCATGACAACGTGGTTGCTATGGGCTGGGACAGGAAAGAAGCGCGTGCGTGAAGTGCACTGATCTTGTGCACGAGCGCGGCATGTACGCACGTGTCAGTGTACACGCGCGTGCGTGCAGAGGGGGTGGGGGCAGCAGAGTATTATGGTCTGTCCGTTGCGAGGTAACTATGCAGAGTCCTGTGCGCGTGTGGGAGGGAGGGGGATTATTATGGGATGTCTGCCCCCTTTGTGTGAGTGAGGATGAGGATGTTAGCTAAGCTCTTCCTCTGAGGCGCTGAGAAGTGGGCTCAGAGCGGTGTGTCGTGGGTCACTGACAGTTCTCTGTAGATTCCACCTCAACTGATGAAAACGTCTTCAAACAGTCAACCGCCGCGCGCACGAGACTAGTGTGTCAGCCCGGCCTGGGACCGTGGGACCTGGGACCGCACACAGGTCACTGCACCCAGGTACTGTACCGTGTTCAGGCCCATATGCAGTTTGGGCCACATTTAACTTCACTCATGCGCTCTTCTTATTGTACTGACTGTGTTGTTGTTGTTTAGTAATTACTCTGTCACACTTTGACATAAATGTCACACCAAAAGTGCACCTGAAAAGTATTTATATTATTATTAATATTATTATCATATTCTCATTATCACAGAACGTTCGTGGCAATCACTTGAAACGACACCTTACCTTAACATTACCTGCTGATGCACCTGAACAACACACAACTTTACAGTTATCACTAAGCAGAAGTTATGACACCTTAGTATCATGATAGTAAATGGTAACAGCAGACACATGTTTAAAAAGGACAGTGCTTTTGTCCGTGCTTTCGCAGCTGAGAGGCCCCCTCCTGCTGAACTCCCCCACGTCACTGTGCCTCCTCCCTCAGAAGGCTTTAGGAGGGACGGTTCTCCAGCAGCAGAGAGCCGCAGACTGAAGCAGGCTCCGGGACCATGTCTGGCAGCGACGATGACAGAGAGGACTTCGGGGGCGCGGAGGAGCTGTCACTTGTCCACGGTAAACATGATTCCTCTTGCCCGGTCGCTCGGTGGCTGCATGTAAAGGGCTAATGTGCACGTTAGCTCGAGCTAGCCGTCACTCGCCATGATGATTGTTTAGTTGCTGAACTTGGCCACGCGCTGTTTACGTTTTTTGCCGCTAAATTTTCGCCAAATCCCCGCGTGTGACGACCACGTGTGTTTTGGTGACTGAGGGCGCGAGTAGTCAAAGTTTTTAGGGCCAAAGTTTGAACCAGGATTATTCTGGCGTTTAGTGTGTACGCTCGCGCACGCTCCTCACGCGCACGTCCCAGGCTTGCGCGTGCACATGATTTCGCGTGCACTCCGCTCGCGTGCACGGTGTTTGTTAAGTCGTGCCAGTGTGCGGTCAGCTCCTCTCTCTCTCTCTCTGTTTACGTGCAATAGTGATGATGATGATGTTGTGTCACGGCAGATGAGGAGGAGCTGGAGGATGCTGCCTGTGATGCAGAAGAGGTGTCCAAGTCCAAAAAGAAGAAAAAGGCCAAAAAGAGCCGGGAGAGCCGCAGCAGCAAGAGGCAGAGACCTGTGAGAGAGGTACATGCTCATCATCATCATCTCTGTGCTGCCACACAACACACTTTATCTCTCATGGTGATCAGTATGATGACTCTGGTCTAGTTGAAGGCCGTGAAGGCACCTTCCAAGGCCTTCAAGACCTTGGAGGATGGGATTGTCTCTGGATCAGCATACTATTGGAAGACATTGTGATATTGTGTGTAATTTTAACCACACACAACATAATCCATTACATGTTTTTCGGTAAAAAATAAATGTATACAATTGCACTTGTGTGAACAATCTTGTAGGAAATTAATCTTAGGGGATCTTGTGGCTGAAGGTATTGTCCCTACTCTTTGTCAGATTCCAAATGATCTGACAAATCTTGACAATCCCTGCATTTCTGACCCTTATCCTGGGGACTGCATAATATAATAGTAATATAGCGCTGCATGGCAAGATGGCGCCTCGTACGGTCGACATGGCTCTTTGCTGCTCTCTTTTTCTTTTGTTTTTACTTTTTAACTGTGCATCTGGCTGTTCCTACACCCGTGAGGAACTTATGAACATCCGACCCACCGTTCCCATGGACCTATTGCCTGTTTTCTTGGCATCTGCGGCTGATTTAGTTCATGTTCTAGCCAAAAAAGTGTGGGCCCGTAAAAGGGGAAAGCGAGGAGGCCTGCTCGTGCGTCTTAGGAGGAGAGGAGCGCGCACGGCTCTCCCCGGCATTTTTCTCTCTCCAACGTACGCTCACTGGGCAATAAGATGGACGAACTCAGCCTGCTCATGAGAAGAAACAAGGACTTCGCCACATCCTGTGTCCTCTGCTTCACTGAGACCTGGCTAAATGAGCGGATCCCGGACTGCGCTCTGGAGCTGCAGGGCTTTGGGCTGTTTCGCGCGGATCGCCATTGTGCGCTCTCAGGGAAGAGCAGAGGCGGTGGGCTGTGTTTCTACGTCAATACAAACTGGTGTAACGATGTGACAGTGATCTCCAAGCACTGCTCTCCTGCTCTGGAATATCTTTTCATTCATTGTAAACCATATTACTCCCCGCGGGAAATTGTTTCATTCATTCTTGCCTCTGTTTACATACCGCCATGCGCGGACGCGCGCGAGGCTCAGCGCGCACTCGCAGAGCAAGTACTGTGTATGGAACGCTTATACCCGGACTCTCTGATTATTATCCTGGGGGATTTTAATAAGGGAAACTTGAGCCAGGAATTACCCAAATACAGACAGTTTATCAAATGCCCGACCAGAGAGGAGAACACTCTGGATCACTGTTACACCACCGTGCACGGAGCTTTTCGCGCTGTTCCCAAGCCAGCCCTCGGCTTCTCAGATCACTCCATGATACATCTGGTTCCTGCTTACAGACAGAGACTAAAGCTCTCGAAACCTGCAGTGAGGAGCTCCAAAGTGTGGTCTGATGAAGCTGTGGAAGAGCTGCGCGCATGCATGGAATCTACAGACTGGGACCTTTTCAGAGCTGCCACAGACAGCTTGGATGAATATACGGACACTGTGACGTCATACATCCACTTCTGTGAGGATAGCATCATTCCAACAAGGACCAGGGTCATCTATAACAACGACAAACCCTGGTTCACTGCTAAACTCCGGCAGCTCAGGAAAGCAAAGGAGTCTGCTTTCAGGGAGGGGGACCGCAGCGGCTACAAAGCAGCTAAATATCAGTTCAGGAAAGAACTGAAAGCAGCCAAGTCCCGGCACAGAGAACGACTACAGGAGCAGTTTGGTAACAACGATACTGCTTCTGTCTGGAGGGGCCTACGGGAGATCACCAACTACAAACCCAAAGCCCCCCCCTGTGCTGATGACCACAAGCTAGCTGACGATCTGAACTTATTTTTCAGTCGCTTTGATGCTGCCCCTGACACCTCTCCCTCCCCCACCCCCCACTACTCTAACGACCCACCCATCAGCCCTGCCCCCAGCCTAACAATAGCCCCTAAAGAGATTAAACAACTCTTCCTGAGGCTGCACCCCCGCAAAGCTCCTGGCCCGGACCACGTGTCTCCGGCCACTCTGAGACACTGCGCCAGTGAGCTTACTCCTGTGTTCACGGACATTTTCAACTCCTCTCTGCAGTCCTGCCATGTCCCGGCCTGCTTCAAATCCTCCATCATTGTCCCCGTCCCGAAGAAGCCCAGGATCACAGGACTCAATGACTACAGACCTGTAGCACTTACGTCTGTCGTCATGAAGTCATTTGAACGCCTGGTTCTCTCCCATCTCAAGTCCCTCACCTCCCCCCTCCTTGACCCCCTGCAGTTCGCCTACAGAGCCAACAGATCTGTAGACGACGCCATTAACCTGGCCCTCCACCACATCCTACAGCACCTGGACTCCCCGGGGACCTACGCCAGGGTCCTGTTCGTGGACTTCAGCTCTGCCTTCAACACAATCCTGCCATCCCTGCTCCAGGACAAGCTCTCCCAGCTCAACGTGCCAGATTCCACCTGCAGGTGGATCACTGACTTCCTGACGGACAGGAAGCAGCGAGTGCGTCTGGGGAAGAATGTCTCGGACTCTCGGATTATAAATACAGGAGCCCCACAGGGCTGTGTTCTTTCTCCCCTGCTCTTCTCCCTGTACACCAACCACTGCACCTCCAGCCACGACTCCGTGAAGCTGATCAAGTTCGCGGACGACACCACCCTCATTGGACTCATCTCCAACAACGATGAGTCCGCCTACAGGAGGGAGGTGGACCGGCTGGTGTCCTGGTGCAGTGGTAACAACCTGGAGCTGAACGCCCAGAAGACAGTGGAGATGATTGTGGACTTCAGGAAGAGCACTGTCCCCCCGCCCCCACCCTCCGTGATGGACTCCCCCATCACCTCTGTGGAGTCCTTCCGTTTCCTGGGCACCACCATCACCCAGGACCTCAAGTGGGAGCCGACCATCAGCTCCCTCATCAAGAAGGCCCAGCAGAGGATGTACTTCCTGCGGCAGCTCAGGAAAGCCAAGCTGCCTGCACAGATGTTGGTGCAGTTCTACACGGCCATCATCGAGTCCATCCTCACCTCCTCCATCACCGTGTGGTTCGCTGGAGCCACAGTCAGGGACAAACAGAGACTACAGCGCATTGTGCGCTCTGCAGAGGAAGTGATCGGCCGCAGCCTTCCATCGCTGCAGGACCTGTACGTCGCCCGAGCTCGAGGCCGGGCTGGTCGTATCACAGCCGACCCCTCTCACCCTGCACATGGACTATTCCAACCACTCCCCTCAGGCAGGAGGCTGCGGTCCATCAGGACTAGAACCTCCCGCCACAAGAACAGTTTCTTCCCCTCTGCTGTTGGACTCTTGAACACTTCTTAACCTGTCCCCCCGCCCTTTATAAAGTCACTTTACTGCCCATCATACGTCACTTTACTTCACTGTACTGCTGTCACCTTACATTGTGTGCACCATGTGCACTTGTATATTGTAAATAGTAACTGTAACTCTATTTTAAATTTAAATTTAATCTTTAGAAGTGTTTTTTATTCTTATTTTTATTATCTCTTTTTGACTGTTGCACTGAGCCAAAGCAATTTCCAAGTCTGTGACCTCCCGTTACTTACGTTGGCAATAAAAATGATTCTGATTCTGATAATATTATCTGCATATCTTATTCATAAGTGCCTCCATGGGCCGCCTTACAAACTGTACTAAAAACAAGGATTAACAAAGAAAAGTTCCAAGCAGAAAACAGTTTTACAGTACGTGTGTTCACAATAAATACAATACAATGAAACATGTCATTATATGATATGTACATGTACATTAAAATAAGACTCAAATGCAAAAAGTCTCAACAGAAACCCAGGAATTTGACTCCGTACCTTCAGTTGTAAATACACAGAATTATGAATGTATAGAATAATCACCCACTTTAAATGATCCTACATTTTTCCATTGGTGTACTACCTCCAACTAGGAGTGTGACGATATAACGATATATCGTGATACTTTCTCCCGCAATGGATTATTTTTTCTAAAAAAAAATTCAATTTGTATCAATACTTTATATATGACTACATTACGCATCTCCATTCCATTTATCATGAAATAAAGTGTATTTTTCACTTACATTTTTTCTTTTATTCATGCCATAAATTGGCATATGGTATATTTCTGACCAATATATCGTGATATAATCGTTATCGTGATATAATAGTTATCGTGATATAATAGTTATCGTGATATAATAGTTATCGTGATATAATCGTTATCGTGAGCTTTGTATTGCGTATCGTATCGTGGGGTTCCCACCCCTACCTCCAACCATGTTATTTGTGATAGGAAACTGCTTCAGAAAAGATGGATTGTACTACATTTTCATGTTCGCAGTTTACTTTTCTGGTCATAAACAAAACAAAAATGAATCATAATACAATATCTGAAGATGACCCAATGATTGTTTTTGTGACGAATGAAAGTTGAATTCTCTAATGTAGTATAATGTAATAATCTGATACTACCGGAGATAGCGCTATGGTTTTGTTATGGTTTGGCCAGATGTGTTCAGAGTATGAACATTGTTCCTGTGCTCTGCAGGAGTTGCCCGTCAGCTCTCCGGAGCCTCTGATGGAGGTGGAGGCGGTAGACCAAAGCGTTGCACGGTCGGAAAGTGAAGGCAGTGATTATGCTCCGGGAAAAAAGAAAAAGAAGCGAACAAGCGCCGCTAAAGAGAAGAAGAAGGGCGCTGCTGCAGAGAAAAGCAAAAGTAAACGCAAAGAACCCGAGCCGGAAGAGGATGATGACGATGATGACGACTGCCAGGTATGAAGATCATGTGTCAGTAACCGGCGACTTCACAACGTGAGCGTAACATTATATAGTGTTTTTGGTCCAATATTTACTCTTTGGCTGATATTCAGCACCAATATTAACTCAGCCAAACTTGCTCTGAAAAACCATCATAAATTATAACTTTTATAAAGAGCTTTTTTTTTCAAACTGAATTTGAATTTGTCATGATTTCAGATTGAGGGCAGTAGTGGCATATCCTCTAAATAGAGCGATTGAAAACAACTTGGTTGGCTGACTCATGGAACATTTTTAAAGAAATCACATTGTGATACACAGATTTTCTGCAGCTCAAACAGACATGTTTGCAAGTATTTAACCAATGGCAGTGAATACTTGACGTAAAACATCCCCATGTAAAGATACGTTATTTTTCAATTGCTCCCACACATTTTTAATAGCATTCAGGATCAATCGCTTCATACAGTAACTGTTTCAAAGCTTACTTTCTTATTGACTCAATACCTCCAACAGATAAATGTAGGCTTTACCCTTTTTCAATTAATCTCAAAACAATTTAATGTGCAGCCTAAAAGCTCCTCGCAGCTGCTGGAGGCCTGGGGCATGAAGGATATCGACCACGTCTTCACACAGGAAGACTACAGCTCCATCACCAACTACAAAGTCTTCAGCCAGTTTGTCAGGTTTGTCTTCCTCTGCTGTTTCCAATGTTCATCATGTTCTTTATATGTAGCATTTAAAACTTGAATTGCTTTTTTGTTCAGACCCTTAATTGCAGCTAAAAACCCCAAAATTGCTGTGTCAAAAATGATGACTTTGATGATGGCCAAGTGGAGAGAGTTCAGCACAAACAACCCCCTGAAGGTATTTATACATTGTCATTTTTTCATTTATTTTTCCTGTGGCTTGATGCCCTGTCTAGCACCTCTAATTATGTCAGTATAATGCAATAATAATAAAGTTTTCTAGAATCCTAAAAGCAGCATTTGGAATCAATTTGTAAAATGATTTAAAAAAATCTTGCATAGGGCTTTACAATTTTTTCAAAATAAATATATTTTCAGTTTTTCAGATTTTTCTGAATACATGAATTTACATTATGTCAGATTAAAGCCAAAATGCTAGTTTTCCTGTTTTGAATACTTCATGATGCATGGTTCTTTTCTAGGGTTGTGCCACCGCCAACGCTGCCCTGGCCACGGCTAACGTGGCTGCAGCTGTGGAGAACATGGTGGCCACAGACGCCCCACCTGAGGACAGCTCCTCCCCCGCCCCCCCACCTGTGCCTCCTCCCCCCCCTCCTCTGCGCAAAGCCAAGACCAAAGAGGGAAAAGGTACATGAGAAAATAGCTGCTATGCTTCTTAGCTAGCTGTAAATGCTTGAATATCAATGTATATATATGAGTGTAAAGGCATATACATACCTGGCACATGATTGCAGTATTTATTATTTACAGAGGAGATTACATGTTCAGGCTCAGCAGTTTTGTTGACGTTTTCCACTTAGCAACTACCCGCCCGCCGGCGGGCCGTTTTTATGTTTTTAAATGTTCTGCTGGCAATAGCAGATGTATTTTGAACACCAAACCCCAAAAGCTGTATATCATTTTAAAGCTTATTTTCTTATCTACATTTATATACATCAGACTTTGCATTCAAAAAATATAACACATAATGTGGGCACAAAATAAATCAATTCCGAAATAGCTTTTTACCTTTGGGCTTGTGCTGTACAAATAAATCAGCTCTCCTCCCAGCTTGCAATACATCATTCTCTCTGGAACAGTCCAAAGGAAAATTATATCCACTTGTATTTCCCAAAGTAAAATCCATTCTGCAGAAATAATCCAAAAATGTGCATTTATCTTTAGCGAAAAAAACGAAAAAAAAGAGCACAGATGTTACTCTTTCACTTTTAACGGACTTTTAGCTTTGTTTTTCACCCAAACATCTGGTATCTACGTGTTCCTTAGCTCCTTATCTTTCAAATGAGACTACTCCCGAAAAGCTAGACCAATTTTTGGGTCTGCAAGAGCCGCTGCAAGTACAGCTTGCGCTGCTGTTTGCGCATGCTTCACTGATCTTTTGTGGGGTCCCAACTTGTTTACGTTTACTTCCGGGATTTACGATTGACATGTCCTTGTAGCCAATGAGGAAAGCTTTCGAACAAGGGGTGGGACAATGGTGTCCTGTCTTATGTTGTCCCTGGACAATTGTGCGTCATGGAAGCCAAAAGACGCTCCCGAAGCTGCAATGAATTTACACTCATAAAAAAATAACTTTGACATTTAAAAAAGAAAAACACACATAGATTAGTAACTTATAAGTACCAATAATAAAAAATATTGTTTTTATGATGATTAAATGTAAGTAAAGATATTTGGCACAATTTGGCACACTTGTGCCAAATTGTGCCAAATTGTGCCAAATGTGCACTACTTGATGAAAAGGAGAAACTGCATAAAAACTATAAAACTTAGAAGTCTGAAACTTTAGACAGTTGTTGTCAACAACACAATGAACAGAGGGTTTGAATATTGTGAACTTACAATGAAGTCTGCCTTTTTTAGGGCCTTTAGAAATTGAAAATGTTAGGCGAGGCTAAAAAAATTGGGTTTTTTTCCCTAACTTCAAAGGATGCAGAGGAAAATAGGAATGACAAACATTATTTTAGTGTTTTTTTACATAAACTAGAAGGCTCTAGCTTTAAAATGATGCATCACACAAGCATGTGAGATGTAAGATGTGTTTTTAAATAAGCAAAGACATTTGGGTATGCCCAACCATTGTGCACGAGCCAAAATGAGGCGGATGTTAAGAGGTTAATAAAATATTGCTGTTTTTGTCTTTGCAACCCTACTTCGTTAATCCGGTTTATTTAAAATGACTAGAAATCACAATTTATTTCTTCATTTAATTTCTTTTATCTAGTTTAGCTCAATTGACTTGTTTGCTGACCATTTTCAACACACCTAACTTTTAAAATGTTTCAGGTCCGAATGCAAGAAAGAAGTCAAAGTCAAAGGCTCCCCTAAAACCCAAACCCAAGAAAGTGGCTCCGCTCAAAATCAAACTGGGAGGTCTCAAAAGAAAGCGCTCATCTGTAAGAACTTTCCACACAATAAAACAAATCCAATTTGTTTTTCGTTTTGTTTTGGATAATTTTGGACATGACAATTTTTTTTAATTGTTGACAATATATAGTTTAAGGGATTTTGAGATTATGTGTTTTTCATGTTTCAGTAATGGTATCGGGGTGATACCAGAGGTTTGTACTCGTACTCATACCTTAGGACCCAATGACGGGCAACTGATACCAACATTCAATTTACATTAGACAGCAAACAGCTGTAGGGCACGTGTTGCCATGGTGATCTCCGAAAGGTTGCAGCGAGAAAGCGCTTGGTGCTAGCTTAGTGGCAATTTAGCCACTAGCTTAGTGGCAAGCGGACAGGATCTCTGCTGTATGGCAGTTTTTTGTATAAGAGCAGCACCGGAGCACAAAATAAACAACTCTACAACATAAAATTTGTATAAGTGGAATATGACAGTGGCTCTTATTGACAATTGCTAAAATGTTAATTGTTAAAGCATTTTCTTATTGTGGAAATGAGAAATAAATCATTTTAAATTTCAGTTGTATTAGTTTTATGAATTTCCATGGATAACACAATGGCGATTACAGCCGTACTATTCTGTTTCTTAGAGCGACGAAGACGAGCCAGAGGCTGACAGTGACTTTGAAGACGGAACTTTCTCAGTTTCTGATGGTTCCGGTCGCAACAGTCGACTGAAAAAGTCAAAGTCCAAGAATGGAAAGAAAAAAAAGAAAGGTTTGAACTGCAATAAATCTTTACAAATAATGACTAATGACTTAAGTCAACTAATTTCATATTTGGAGTTTGCTACGTGTCAAGAAATCTGTTGCAGCCAAAGCTTAATAAATGAATCATTGGATCTAGTTAGTTTGATTGTCTTTGTGGTTTTGTCCCTCAGTAGATGCAGAAGAAGGCGATGGGTATGAGACGGACCACCAGGACTACTGTGAGGTGTGTCAGCAGGGGGGCGAGATCATCCTGTGCGACACCTGCCCCCGGGCCTATCACATGGTCTGCCTCGACCCCGACATGGAGAAGGCCCCAGAGGGAAAATGGAGCTGCCCACACTGCGTGAGTACTCACCAGCACCATTCAGTTTGAATATAGACATAGACTATGCAGAAAACAGAATATGAACACTACCTTTAGACACTTTATTTATTTCCGGAGAATTTATTTAAAGCTGCACTAACTGACTTTGGGATTTTGAAGCCGCAGACTCGCTGGCCTCTCTCTTTCTGCTCCCCTCCCCGCACCCACGAAGCTATCGCCCCCACACACACTCACTGTTGGGACGGAGCTAGTGTCTCCCAATATGGATAAATACATGGACATGGATTTGCACGTGGATGGCGTGACCATAGAACGATAGAACCGGGAAGCGCGGAGGAACGAGACTTTCTTTTGGATGGCTGTCTCGCTGTGTAAGCAGTAGCTCCTCGTCTTGTTGTGCTAACTCAGCCGTCTATGCTAACGGACCTGTAGATTTCTCACGAAAGTGGGGGCCAGTGGTCCGCTGTGATTGGTCACAATCTGCGACCCGAAACACATTCTCTTCCTTGTTTCATCAAAACTCGATCTAAAATATAATGTCAGGCCAGCACAAATCTGCGCTACTTTTTCTTCAAAAGGACGAATATCCCAATGCACTGCATGGACATGGATAGCTTTTTCGTAATGAATACAAAAATAAAGTCAGTTAGTGCAGCTTTAACATCCATTCAAAACTATACATTTGTGTTTGGAAAAACTACAACTGAATATTTCTGTTTACTTTGTGTGGCCCTAAGTGTAAACGATAGATTATGCGGTTATATGTGCGATTTGTTCTTCATGTGTTATTACAATATTGCACATCCCCTGGGACGTTCAGTCTTGCAATGTGACCTCTGCTGATCAGGTGGGAACATTGCATTTGCGTCGCTGACACCGGGAGAGAGACTTTGCTGATCCTGGGGCTCTCTAATCTTCCACAGACATTGGTCATCAACAAAAAAGAGCTTCACGTTTAACAATTTCAAAGTATTTAGGCTGCCGTTTATACAAATAACTCTCATAATCATATCAGTCTTATGAGATCTAAGATACTTCATAACTCTGAACTCAATCTTCAAATATAAACACGCTTATATAAGTTTATACATATTGTACAAACATATACACACACGCACAACTATCTAAATTGAGTACATAATTTCATAGTATTGTTTTTTGTGTATACCATTTACACTGTGTATAAAGGTGTAAACGGTGAGGCACATTGAATCAACAGCAGCCTCTTTTTATTTTAACCTCGCCCCCAGGAGAAGGAGGGGATCCAGTGGGAGGCCCGAGACGATCTGTCGGAGGCTGAAGCTGAGGATGATGATGATCGGCAGGAGGATGGAGCGGAGGAGGAAGACGACCTGCACATCGAGTACTGCCGCATGTGTAAAGACGGAGGAGAACTGCTGTGCTGCGACACCTGCACCTCCTCCTACCACATCCACTGCCTCAACCCCCCTCTGCCCGAGATCCCCAACGGAGAGTGGATCTGCCCCCGCTGCAAGGTCAGAGCCACGTAGCACCACTCATACATACGCTAATTATGATTTCAATTCATCTTTTATGTTGTGCTTGAGTGACAAAATCATTTTCAGTTTTCAAAAAAGGCATATACTTTTATGAGAAAACTCAGATGTGGAACTTGGTTTCATGTGGATTGGCCCAAACTATAACTTGAAGTCTGACTTTTGAAAAAGCTTTGTCATCTTCCCAATACCACAATTTTAAAGTATAAGTTCTTTTAAATATTTTGATGTCACATGAATGCAACCAAATATTCAAAAGCTTTTTCTGGTCACATCCTTTGGTATAAGATTACAAACAAATGTTGTCTTTCTTCTGAAGAGAGTCTCACTCTGTTCAGCAGTGCTTTTTCAATGCTAGTTTTACTGTTTTATTCACTCCCATACTAAATATCTTTAAAAAAAAAAATCTAATAGTATTGATATCTGTAGTTTTTATAATACATTTACAGTAAATGTGTTGTTTTTATTGTTGCAGCCAATTTTATACTGTAACTGTGCTGTAATAAAATAATACGTCTGTATTTCTAGTGCCTTCCTCTGAAAGGAAAAGTGCAGAAGGTGCTCACATGGCGCTGGGGGGAGCCTCCACCCCCCATCCCCGTTCCCCGCCCGGCAGACCTGCCCGCAGACGCCCCGGACCCCCCTCCTCTGGTGGGCCGCCGCGAAAGGGAATTCTATGTGAAGTGGTGCAACCTGTCGTACTGGCACTGCTCCTGGGTCCAAGAGCTGCAGGTGAGGCCCACAGATTTATTTCAGAATTGTCAGAGTAGAATTGAATCTGGCTATAGATCCCATAATAATCAATGATGCGGTGTAGTTTGAGGCATGCACAAACAAAGCAAAGTGAACCAGAGTCACTTAAGGCACATAGATACAAGATTCTGGTGCTCGGCTTGGTCAGAACCATAGCTGGAAACCAGAGTACGGAGGAAACTACATAGACACGGGGAGAACACGCAAATTCAACTCAGAAAGACCTTGTTTTGACTGGGATTTGCTCTCAGGACCTGGCCATTAAGCATTGGGTTGTTGCAATTTCTTCTCATTCCAAACACACCTTAGTTATAATCCTTCTAACACTAGAGCAAAACAGTAACAGTATTTATTTATTTTTTCAATGTTGATTTTATACAAATGTTGATCCAAAAACTGCTCTATATTAACACAACGTTACGCTTGTGCTTTCCTCTGCAGCTGGAGCTGAACTGTCAGGTGATGTTCCGAAACTACCAGAGGAAGACGGACATGGACGAGCCACCACCTGTGGACTTCGGAGGAGAAGGAGACGACGACAAAAGCACCAAGCGCAAGAACAAAGACCCTCTGTACGTGCGCATGGAGGAGGAATTCTACCGCTTTGGAGTGAAGATCGAGTGGCTGATGGTTCACCGCATCCTCAACCACAGGTAATGCACGCAGCAGAGGGAACGAGAGTTTTGGTATTCAGTTGTGCATCATTATGGTGGTATATCCGTCTTGTTTTCATTATGAGGAATCTCTGCTCTGAAGCTGGTTTTTTACACATCAAAACTTTTGACTTTTTAGATATTCCTAACACTACTTAAGTGACTGTTTTGCGTGAGCTGCTGTTATCAAGTATTTCCCTTGTGGATCAATAAAGCTGTCAAAGTCTAATTGTATGTGTGCTCAAGGTTAAAGGCTACTTTTAGTATTAAGTGTAATTCTGTGTGTTCAGTTATACATTTTCAATCATTTTCTAATGTATATCATGTTCAAACAGTCATCTCCCTGCCGTGCTAAAAGTTCCACCAGCGCATAGTGCCATTTTGTTCAATACCCCATGCTCCTTTTTGTCTTTGTGTATATGAATTTTGGGCTGTTGTGAGTATTTTCCAAAAGAACTTATGTGTTGTTTTCATGTGTGTAGCGTGGATAAGAAAAACAATGTGCACTACCTGATCAAATGGAGAGACTTGCCCTGTGACCAGTCGACCTGGGAGAGCGAGGACATGGACATCCCAGATTATGACACCTTCAAACAAACCTACTGGAACCACAGGTATGAAGCCGTTTTTTAAAAATGGTTGGACTCTGTTATTATTTGTCTATTGTCACGTCAAAATTTTGTTTTCCAGGGAACTCATGCTGGGTGAGGAGGGCCGACCGGGAAAGAAGCTGAAGAAGCAAATCAAAGTGAATAAAGCAGAGAGGCCACCAGAAAATCCAGTTGTAGATGTAAGTTTATTTTTTTATATCAAATTGTAATTAGTAGTTTCTTAGTATGTTGTCAATTTTAGAAAGTGTTTTTCTTTGGTCACACTAAACAGGACAATTAGAATATTACCAAAATAATGGAAAACAGAAACAACAAAAACATTATTTTGATGGACAACATTTCAAACTCTAATTTTCTAAACACCTTGCATCCCTTCAGCTCATGTCATAACCATTTTAAGTTCAAGGTGAATCTCATCTGAAAGCAAGTTACATCCAAGTATAACTTTTTTCTCTTAAGATACTTCTGCTGAATACGTTCTTTCTTTTATCAGCCCACCATTAAGTTTGACCGTCAGCCCGAGTACTTGGACACCACTGGGGGGACGCTGCACCCGTATCAGCTCGAGGGTCTGAACTGGCTGCGGTTTTCCTGGGCTCAAGCCACAGACACGATCCTCGCTGACGAGATGGGGCTCGGAAAAACCGTCCAGACCGCAGTGTTCCTCTACTCGCTGTACAAAGAGGTAAGATTTATGACATGCAAAACAGACTTCTCACAGCAGTTGGGATACATAGTCCATTCAGCCGACATATAAACATACAAACCCTGTAACAAGCGTAAATGTTATGTTGACATATTTCTGTTTTGTACAGGGTCACTCTAAAGGTCCGTTCTTGGTCAGTGCTCCTCTTTCGACCATCATAAACTGGGAGAGAGAGTTTGAGATGTGGGCTCCGGATATGTACGTGGTGACTTATGTTGGCGACAAAGACAGCAGAGCGGTTATCAGAGAAAACGAGTTCTCCTTTGAGGGCAATGCCATCAGAGGAGGAAAGAAAGCATCAAAAATGAAGGTGAAAAACACTGCTGCAATTTTTGAGAATGTATATATACAATTTTGTGTTTAATCATTTTAATTGTACTATCTTGTCACATAACAGAAAGACTCCCAGGTGAAGTTCCACGTCCTCCTGACGTCGTATGAGCTCATCACCATTGACCAGGCGGTTCTGGGTTCTATTGAATGGGCCTGTTTGGTGGTGGATGAGGCACATAGGCTGAAAAACAATCAATCCAAGGTATATAAATATGTCTTGTGTGTAAATGTTGCTTGAAATTATACAGCAAAAAATTTATGTCAAGCATGGAAAGAAATCAGAATTGTAATATGGCTGCAGATTGTTGATTAGATTTGATCTTTGTGGTAGAAATGAAATCAATTTAAAAGAGATTCCATTATTTTATCAATCCTGAGGGATAATGTTGAGATCAAATAGCTATGTTACTTTAGCCAGAGATACATTTGCCAGTTGCTGTACTGGTACGTAAATTAAGTTAAGTAATATTACAAGTTAAGAAAGTGACAAGTAATCTATATCTATCAATTGGATATATAATGTTAACATGTTACGTTCTGTCGCGGGTTCTACTGCGTGACTACGCGGGAGCGTGAGGGGGCCAGCTCTTCCTGGTGTGAGATGGCGGTTGAATAAAAATTGCTCTCTGCAACAAGAACCTTGTCTGTTGGAATTTACATGGTAGCAGAGGATGGTTTCCAACTATAGAGTACCGCCGAAGTTTGACGAAGCTCGGCCGTATGAGTGTTGGAAAAATGAAGTTAGTATTTGGAGACTTGTTACGGAGCTGGACAAGACAAAACAAGCGCTGGCAGTGGCGCTTGGGCTCGAAAGGAGAGCCAGAGAAACGGCGCTGGAAATATCCGCGGTGGATTTAAACAAAGATGACGGTATGGAGACGTTACTTGCAAAACTGGATGCGGTGTTTTTGAGAGAGGAAAAGGACCGCGCGTACGAAGCGTACTCTCATTTTGACTCGATCACTAAAGGCAGTGCTTTGTCCATGGCGGACTACATCATTGACTTTGAGCAGCGGTATAACCGGATGAAAAAGTACAACATGACCCTTCCTGACGCTGTACTGGCTTTCAAGCTCCTGGACACGGCATGTCTGGAGGAAAAAAGCAGACAGCTGGCATTGACTGCGTGTACGGAGCTGACTTTTGCATCAATGAAGTCCGCATTAAAACGCATATTCGGAGGAAAAACAGCATGTGGGACAAACGCCATAGAGGAGATTCAAGATGGTGCATTTTTCACGGAGCAACGGCCCAATGTGAAATTCAAACGTAGCAATGGCTCGTCTCAGAGCGGATATCAGCGGCAGCAGCAAGGAACGAATCCACTTGACAAGTACGGTAAGCGGACGAGATGCGCTGTGTGTCAGAGTACCTATCATTGGGTTAAAGACTGTCCCCATCGCAGAAATGACGTTAAGTTAATGGAAGATGAAAGTGTTGAAGAATGTAACATCACTCTGTTCACTAAAGCAGCTATGACAGAGTCAGAAATATTCCTAACTGAATCTTTAGGATCTGCTATTATTGACACTGCTTGTACACGTACCGTTTGTGGTCAGAAGTGGCTGGACAGTTATGCTAAGGGTCTTAACAAACGCCAAATCAACAAACTGCTAAAAACAGAACATCCTAGCAGCCGTCCGTTCAGATTTGGAGATGGTCAAGTTGTGTACTCTAGCAGAAGAGTGAAACTTCCTGCAAAGATTGGACAGACAAAGTGCCACATTGAAACTGAAGTTGTCCCAGCTGATATTCCCCTGTTGTTGAGCAAAACGTCCCTGAAAAGAGCAGGAACTATTTTAGACATGGAGAATGACAGAGTTGTCATGTTGGTCTGCCATTAGCTTCACAGTACAATGAGACAGTGGCTAAGGATCTTCATGAGCTGGAGCCTGGCGTATGGTACCTCCACATCATCGATCATTTTACACGTTTCAGCGCTGGAAACATTGTGAGAACCAAGAAACCTTCGGAGATAGTCAACTCGTTCATTCACTCGTGGATAAGTGTCCATGGCGCACCAAAACGGATCTACACAGACAACGGCGGGGAGTTTAACAATGCAGAGATACGAGACATGGCAGAAAACTTCAATATTGAGACTAAGACAACAGCAGGATACAGTCCCTGGAGCAACGGACTGTTGGAGAGACACAACATGACACTAACTGAAATCCTTCTAAAGGTGAAAAGGGAAAATGTGTGTGGGTGGCAAACGGCTTTAGATTGGGCTCTTATGGCCAAAAACAGTATGCTCAATGTGCATGGTTACAGCCCACACCAACTTGTGTTTGGTCAAAATCCCAATCTTCCTTCTGTTTTGATTGATAAACTACCCGCTCTAGAAGGTACTACTGTGAGCACCAGAGTAGGGCAGCACATAGCGGCATTGCATGCCTCTAGAAAAGCTTTCACAGAGGTTGAATGTTCAGAACGAATTAGGAGGGCAATCAGAAAGCAGCTTAGGCCTACAGATGAAAAATATGAGACCGGAGACAGAGTGTACTACAAAAGAGCTGACAGTACAGAATGGAAAGGCCCAGGTGTAGTTATTGGGCAGGATGGGTCTGTAGTATTTATCAGACATGGGGGAATCCTAGTACGTGTGCATCAATCTAGGTTGAGTAAGGTAAATACACCTGATGCAGATACAATAGAAAATGCTACCGAAAACATTACAGAAAATAAAAAAATAGTACATACTGGTGTGTCAGAAGCACAAAGTATACATGGAGTAGATCAAATTGTTGATTATAGTGAGAATGATGTAGATGAGAACCCTACAGAAACCAATGTAACTCCTCCTGATGCAGAAAGTAATGGAACTGCTGATTTAAAACTGAAAACTGGCCAAACAGTCACATTTACAGACCGAGAGGGTATTGAGCACACTGGCAAAGTTTTAGGGAGAGCAGGAAAATCAAAAGGACAATACAAAGACTGGTACAATGTACAATATCTTGAGCCTGATGGTAGTGAGGGACAAAAACTAGCATTAGATATGTCAGATGTTGATAACCTTCACATCAAGCCGGAAAATGAAGAGGCTGATGTTCTTATTGTCAAAGATATCTCTTTTGATAGTGCCAAACAGCTAGAGATAGAGAATTGGCAAAACAATGATGTTTTTGAGAAGGTAGCAGACAAAGGTCAAAAATGTGTGTCTACTAGATGGGTCTGTACACTCAAAGAAACACAGAGTGGTATTCTCCCTAAAGCACGGCTTGTAGCAAGGGGTTTTGAAGAGGTAAATAATAGTAGTTTACAGAAAGATTCCCCAACATGTGCATCAGAGTCTCTCAGAATGACATTAGCGGTTGCCAGTCAAAATAGGTGGAAAATTCACTCTATGGATATTAAGTCTGCCTTTTTACAGGGAATGGAACTCTCGAGAGATGTTTACATTCGGCCCCCACCTGAGGCGGAAGGAGACAATGTATTGTGGAAACTAAAGAAATGTGTATATGGACTTGCAGACGCTTCTCTTTACTGGTACAACAAGGTCAAAGAACTGATGCTGAACACAGGTGGAAAAATGTCTCAGGTGGATCCAGCTGTGTTTTTCTGGATGAATGAAAATTCTGAGGTCATTGGTGTACTGTCATGTCACGTAGATGACTTCCTTTGGGCTGATTCCTGTGGTAAAGTCTACCTTTCAAGTGGGGCGTGAAGAACATGAGAATTTTTCTTATGTAGGTATGGATATTGTCACAATTGGAGACAATATATTGGTACATCAGCACAGTTACATTGAAAATCTCCAACCAGTGTCTTTAAAGGCAGCTCGGGCAGTGCAGAGAGCTGCTCCTTTAAATGAGACAGAGAAAGAGCAGCTCAGGTCTAAAATAGGACAGATTCTGTGGGTTGCTAAACAAACAAGGCCAGATGTTATGTTTGACACATGTAGCCTAGCATCTAACATTACAAATGCAACTGTCCAATCCATACATGAAGTGAACAAGGTAATCCGTAAACTTAAGTCAGAGAAGGTCACACTTAAGTTTCAGCCTTTAGGAAACAAAGATGATCTGAGTCTTGTGGTCTTTAGTGATGCTTCACTTGGCAATCTCCCAGATGGTGCAACTCAAGGAGGGACTTTAATTGTGCTTATGGGTAAAGGAGGCACGTTTTCCCCTTTGTTTTGGCAGTCTAAGAAGATCAGGCGTGTGGTAAGAAGCACTTTGGCAGGAGAAACTCTCGCTATGGCAGATGGCATAGACAACGCTATGTTTCTGGCCACATTATTTTCAGAGCTTACTATTGGTAATGCTAACATGAATGCCCTTCCTCTTGTTTGTGTTACTGATAACCATTCACTGTTTGATGCTCTTAAGTCCACAAAGCAGGTCACAGAGAAGAGACTGAGACTAGAAATAAGTAGCATTAAAGAGCTACTACATGCAAATAAAATCAGACAGATCTGTTGGTCAGAGGCAAAGTCACAACTTGCTGATTGTTTAACCAAAAAGGGAGCTTCACCACTTATGCTTCTTAAAGCATTAGACGAGGGCTCATGGTCACTGTAATTTCTTTTTCTGTTTACACAGGCTCTTAGCACTGTTGTTGTTTTGTTGTGTACATTGTTCTGGATGTGTGTATGTCTCTCAAGCACACTTAAATGTTTTTTTATTTTTAAAGAAAGGGGGAGATTGTTAACATGTTACGTTCTGTCGCGGGTTCTACTGCGTGACTACGCGGGAGCGTGAGGGGGCCAGCTCTTCCTGGTGTGAGATGGCGGTTGAATAAAAATTGCTCTCTGCAACAAGAACCTTGTCTGTTGGAATTTACATATAACACTGTTTTGTTTTACATTATTCAAATAGCACTTTACTAATTATTTTAATGTTTTCACAGTTCTTTAGAGTGCTGAACAACTACCCTCTCCAACACAAGCTGCTGCTCACTGGAACACCTCTGCAGAACAATCTGGAGGAGCTTTTCCATTTGTTAAACTTTTTGACTCCAGAAAGATTTAAGTGAGTCGTGTTGCTCTCAGATGACTTTTTCATAATTCAACACAACCACAGTATGTATGTGATGTATTTATTATTGTTATATTACCACAGTAACCTGGAGGGGTTCCTGGAGGAGTTTGCGGATATCGCGAAAGAGGACCAGATTAAGAAGCTCCACGACATGTTGGGTCCACACATGTTGAGGAGGCTGAAGGCAGACGTCTTCAAACACATGCCATCCAAAACTGAGCTGATTGTCCGCGTCGAGCTCAGTCCCATGCAGAAGTAAGATTACAGGACAGCACTGTTTGCACTAAAAGATTTTGCATCACATGTAGAGATGTCACAACCTTTTTATTGTTAGAAAAATGTAATTATTAGCCATGATTATTGGTACTTAAACATCAGTAATCCACGCTGTTGTAATTCCTCTGCTACTACACACCCTTTTTTCTAAATATACCTCACTTGAAGGAGCTGTTTCCTTTATGTCAATTTTGCAGTAACAGCACCTGAATGGAAATTACTTGATTTTGCTTTTTAAATGGTCACTTTTAATATTTTGTAGTCCTTACAATTGTATTGTGTGACCTGCAAATCACAATTACCAATCATCTCAATAATCCTGACATCCTTTGTCACATACATAACTGCTTCCTCTGTCTGCTTAGAAAATACTACAAGTTCATTCTGACTCGAAACTTCGAGGCGCTGAACACTCGCGGAGGCGGAAACCAGGTGTCACTGCTCAATGTGGTGATGGACCTGAAGAAATGCTGCAATCATCCCTACCTCTTCCCCGCCGCCGCCACTGTGAGTGTGTCCACATTTCCACAACAGCAACAACAATAGTGTCTTTCATCATTTAAACTAAAGGGAAACCGTTTTAAAAATCATTATAACCTCTTCTGTCTAATTCATATTTATAGGTCTTTGTAGTTACTTTCAATACATTTCAGATAAATTTGATTTGATTATCATCATTGCTAATAGTTTATTCCACCTGTTCGCAGGAGGCCCCCAGACTCCCCAATGGCATGTATGAAGGGACTGCCCTCACTAAGGCGTCAGGAAAACTGCTGCTTCTTTGTAAAATGATGAGGAAATTAAAAGAGGGCGGTCACAGGGTGTTGGTTTTCTCTCAGATGACCAAAATGCTGGATCTGCTTGAAGACTTTCTAGAGAATGAGGGCTATAAATACGAACGCATTGATGGAGGAGTCAACGGAAACATGAGACAAGAAGCTATCGACCGCTTCAATGGTAAGAGAATGATATGGACACATTGTTTCACATTTGATTTCATTATTTTTGTTACAGTATATCCCTCCATCGATGTTATAGTACAGTTATTACTAATACACAGTGTATTAGTAATAACTGACAGAAATGTTAAATTATGAACAAAAGGCAAACTGAAGTCAAACATTGCTGATGTTGATTCAATATGTTTTCCCCTCATTGGCTTAAGTAAAATAATCAACTGTGTTTTGCAAATTAACTTGTAAGTCTAAACCTGTCTTTTCTATGTTCATTTTTACTTGTTACTTTGTGAGCATCTACTATTAATTATATGTAAATAAATAATGTGTGTGTAATTTAAGCCACAGTTTTAACTTTTATCACTGTCTTAGAGCACTCGTTTTGTGAACTAGTTTAAACAAACTAGTGCCCCATCTTTTAAATCTGTTCCTATAAAAAAGCGATAACAAAAGTAGGTACTACATTCCAGCACCAGCAGTTGTCTCTAAACTCTGTATCCTTTGCACAATTGGGTTAACAGCAGTGTTTGCCCTTCAGCTCCAGGGGCGGTGCAGTTTGCGTTCCTCCTCTCCACCCGAGCTGGAGGTTTGGGAATCAACTTGGCCTCCGCCGACACGGTCATCATCTATGACTCAGACTGGAACCCCCACAACGACATACAGGTTTGTAATAGTAGTTTTTAAACATTTATTTTGATGACTGTTTGTTTTGGGGGTCTACTGTACACCTTTATATCTGGTCACTGTATGTGTGTCACTGTGTAAACCTCATTTTCTTTATTTTAGTGACTTCAGGATTGTTGTCGCTATATTGCCCTAATGTGGCTGTGTACTGTATTTAGGACATGAATAATACATAAGATGAATCCTAAGGGAGAAATAGTCCAAACAGCCAAATGTTATACTGTGCTTCACAACACAATTAGACACAAACACACAGCATTTGTTGTGACTGACAATGATGTAATTTACGATTGTTGATTCCTGTGGTTTCACATGTTTTCCTCTAGGCCTTCAGCAGAGCTCACCGTATCGGTCAGAACAGGAAGGTCATGATCTATCGTTTTGTCACCAAAGCATCTGTGGAGGAGAGAATCACTCAGGTTTGACTTTTTTCATGATTTATTATTTATAACCACTCATTGTACAAACTCGAGGAACAACGGCACATATTTCAAATCGATACAGTAGGGGAACATAATCCATAGTAATTCCTGATGATGTGCTTGTTCTCAGGTGGCCAAAAAGAAGATGATGCTGACTCATCTGGTGGTCAGACCCGGGATGGGCACCAAAACAGGCTCCATGTCCAAACAGGAGCTGGACGACATCCTCAAGTTCGGCACCGAGGAGCTGTTCAAGGACGACGCTGCCGAAGGTGTTTACTTATTTTCTTCTGAATCTCTGATGCGCGGATAATTTGGCAATGTTGTGCTAGCAGCATTTGGGGGCACACATTATAGTCCTTCTAAACCTTTGAAGCACATCCCAATTTGTGGATGACAACATATTCTGATTGATAATTTTGACATTTGTCTCCATTCTCAACGTTAGTCACCCATCAATCAAAACAATACATATTTTGTTTTAGTTTTATTTATATTTATTTCTAAATATAAAATGTTAAATTGTACCTCAAAGTGGTCAAATTCAATACACCCAAAAAAAAAAAAGATACTACAAAATAAATGAACAGTACATCAAGTATCAAAAAGTAAAAAAGTTATTCAAAGGTTTTTTACCATATAACAATAACGAAAACACTAGATCAAATGTCTTGAAAAAGTATAGATAAATAGGTTGGTACGTTGAGGACCCCTATTATTGTTTTTATTCATGTGACGTCTATGATATGTGTTCAGCTCAAACACAAAAAGAACAATAGATGATGTGGTTTTCTTGTAGGAGACAACAAAGAGGATGACAGCAGTGTGATTCACTATGACGACCACGCCATCGACCGTCTGCTCGACCGGAACCAGGACGCCACGGACGACACAGAGCTGGCGAGCATGAACGAGTACCTGAGCTCCTTCAAAGTGGCTCAGTACGTGGTCAAAGACGAGGACGACGAGGTGGGCACCGAAGCATCTCTTCATTAACTGTTTAGACAACTAATTTATTTACTAAACCCCCATTGATTATATGTTTCTCACATTGAAAAACTATGCTTTCTGGCTTGTTAATAATGTATCATACTCTACGTTTATATTTGTATTTAATTTTTTTAACACCGGTGGTCAAAAGTAAGATACTATTGTGCTATTTTTTTTTTTCAGGAAATATGCTAAATTATGTATTTGTTAAAGCCAAAAAGCTAAGCACAAAGACACAAATTTAGTTTACCCTTTCGCCGCCTTTTTGAGTTCTTTCAGAAATGTAGTTTGAAACAGACAACAGCTGGAGCCCTGAAACGTCAGAGTTAGAAAAATATATAAATAAAAGAATAATATGTAAGTATACTGTATGTATCACAGTGTGGAAATTTTAGGAGGCCAGGTCACTTTAAAAGAAAGTGTCTCGGATGTTTAACTAAATATTTAAGCATATTCAGCTGCATTTGATAGTTTAACTGTCATTTAATAAAACATTACTCAATTTTAACAGTTTTACCCAGTCCACAAATATTCCTCATATCAGCAGCATTAAAAGAGTGGTGTCTGCTCATGTGACGTCTGGAAAAACACAATTAATTTATTTTCAGGAGGAGGAGGTTGAGCGTGAGGTGATAAAGCAGGAGGAAAGCGTGGACCCAGATTATTGGGAGAAACTTTTGCGGCATCACTACGAGCAACAGCAGGAGGATCTGGCCCGAAACCTGGGAAAAGGCAAAAGAACCCGAAAACCTGTGAACTACAACGACGGTTCGCAGGAGGACCGAGGTATACGACAGGGTACAGAACAACAAAACATTTACTATTCTATGTGTGTACGGTGGTGTGTGGCAGACGTGCACTGATACAGCTGTTGGAGCCCAGTCACAAACACTCAATTTGAGGATGTTGTTTTCTGTCTTTCAAAACAAAAGCATTGCCTCCATTTACGTTGTCAGTATTTCTACAAATTGGGTCCTTTACAACAGCGTGGATCTGTCACAAGGTGTAAAGGAGGACCCAAAAATGTAGGAATGTCAAAAAAGAAGATTAAGATAAAGATTTAATGATGATAATTAATAAAAGTCCAGGGAAAAATAAACAAAAAATCCAAAGGAACAAGGAACCAGGAACAGGACATACATTGATACTACAATGGACCAGCAACAAGGGGAGAGGAGCCATAGACTGTGAATATTAACGGACGTACTCACGCATATCTACGCGGTTGAAACTAATCACTTTTGGCTTCTATGGAGTTTTTTTTCAAAATGGCCGCGGGCAGCCCTTCCCACAGGAGAAAGGCATTTGCGCATGCGTCAGCTGGCACCAGCCCCATTCATTTAACAAGTGCCTTTTGAAGTCCACAGCGGCTAAACTAGAGTGGTCCAAAAAAATATACTCCCCTCAGCATTGATTCGCATCTGGAACGTAGCTTTGGGCCAAGAGCCAACCTTTGGACCATCCTGTAAAGCAGTTTTCTAGAGGAAAGAAGACGCCATACAAAAACTCTTTTCTCTAAACACTAGGATGCACAGGGTCTCTGCTTCGCAGCCACTGGCAGTCTAGTTAGAGGAGAGACCTGGCTGGGGCCCTGTCATGAAGCCACCTGTGCCATTCCCTTAGTGATAACACAAAGAATACATAACAGAAAAACATCTGAAGTTAATCAGTCTAATCAGGAAAATCTAATTCTTGTTCCGTGTAAGAATCAGCCGACCACAACCGCTGATCCTGAAACTTTGAAACTTGCTATGCTAAATGTCAGATCTCTTTGTAACAAGTCTTTTTTAATCAATAATTTTATTTGTTCTTATAATCTAGATCTTATGTTCATGGCTGAAACATGGCTTGACCAAAATACAGAAAATGCAGTTTTAATAGAAGCATCACCACAAAATTTCAAATTTGAATCTGAAATACGGGAAAACAAAAAAGGAGGAGGCTTAGCTGCCATTTTCAGAGACCACTTTGTCTCCCATAGAATGTCTCTTGGGAAGTTTCCGTCTTTTGAATATGTGTCTTTTAAAATACAACAAAAACAATCTCCTCCAATACATTTCGTTGTCCTATACAAGCCACCGCAGTCATGTCACAGTTTTATTGATAATTTTACGGAGTTGCTTTCAGTTGTATGCACAGATTTTGATAGTTTAGTTATTACAGGTGATTTTAATATTCATGTGGATAATGTTGATGACAGAAATGCTAAAGAGCTGAGTTCTGTTCTTGAATCTTTTGGTCTCACTCAGCATGTGAGTGGCCCCACCCACAGCAGAGGGCACACTCTAGACCTGTTAGTTACAAAGGGGGTGAACATTTCTAATGTAAATGTGGTCGATGTTGCTCTTTCGGATCATTTCTGTGTATTTTTTGACATGTGTTTCACAAACAAACCACCAGTGGACTCTGCAACTGTGCGAAGAAGACACATAAATGAAAATACGGGTGAACTATTTATGGGAATGATAAACTTTGAGAATGCATCGTATTCTACTGTAGATGAACTGTTTAACTCTGTCACCTCTAGTGTTTTGAAAGTTCTGGACACCATCGCTCCTGTGAAGGTTAAAATAGTGAAAAATAAGCAGAAGGCGCCGTGGGCTAAAGCAGACTCGGTCAGGGCACAAAAGAGAGAGTGCCGGAGGGCCGAGCGGAAGTGGCGCAAGTCCAACCTCCAGGTTGATTACAAGATCTTCAAAGATAAGTTGTGCGAGTTTAACCAGGTGCTACGTAGTACGAGAGAAAGGTATTTTTCTGAAATGATTGAAGGCTGCAGCAACAATCTGCGTGTTCTGTTTTCAACAGTTAATAGATTAACAAACCCCCCTGTTCAAATGCCATTAGAGCTAACTTCCAAACGTAAATGTAATGAGTTTGCACATTTTTTCAATGAAAGGTTCAAGGCATCAAAAACGCCATTGTCTCCAATCCACAGATAACAATCCAACAGCCAGAAAGGCTCTTTGAGCTAACTTACTTTGCACCTGTAAATGATCAAACTGTCCAAGAGATAATCTCCAGTTTGAGCTCCTCCACATGCAGCCTGGATGTACTACGCACTAGATTTCTAAAGTCTGTTCTGAGCAGTCTGTTACCTTCACTCACACAGATAGTAAACGCGTCCCTTCATTCTGGAATATTCCCAAAGGCCCTGAAAACTGCAGTCATCGGGCCCTTGCTAAAAAAGAGCAGTCTGGATGCTACGGTACTTAACAACTATCGTCCCATCTCAAATCTGCCATTTATGGGGAAAGTCCTTGAAAAAGTTGTCTACCTACAGCTTACTAGACTTCTTATAATCAAGAACTCATTTGATATGTTTCAGTCCGGCTTTAGACCCCACCACAGCACTGAGACTGCTCTCGTCAAGGTTACAAATGATATCCGGCTGAACACTGACGCAGGCAAAGTCTCAATCCTAATACTGTTAGATCTGAGTGCTGCCTTTGACACTGTCGACCATGAGATCCTCTTACAGAGACTAGAGGACTGGGTTGGCGTCGCTGGCACCGCCCTAAGTTGGTTTAGGTCTTACCTTGAAGACAGGAAGTACTTTGTGGAGATTGGAAACTGTGTCTCAGATCATATGGCCCTGACCTGTGGAGTCCCACAGGGGTCGATCCTGGGACCTCTTCTGTTCAATCTCTACATGCTGCCGTTAGGTCAGTTAATACGCAGAAACAAAGTGTCCTATCACAACTATGCAGACGACACTCAGATCTATGTCTCACTGACTGCAGGAGAACATGGACCAGTGGACTCACTCCTTCACTTTATCCAACAGATCAGTGAGTGGATGCAAAACAACTTCCTTCAGCTAAACGCAGACAAAACTGAAATGATTGTCTTTGGTCCCCAGAAACAAAGAGAGAGCGTCATCTGTCATCTACAGTCTCTCTCCCTAAAACTTTCAAACAAGGTCAGAAATCTAGGGGTAATACTGGACTCAGACTTAGATTTTAATAGCCACATCAAATCAGTAACATCAGCAGCTTTTTACCATCTAAAAAACATTGCCAGGATCAAAAACATAGTGTCTAAAGCAGACTTGGAGATTCTTATCCATGCATTTATCTCCAGTAGGTTAGACTACTGCAATGGCCTGCTCACAGGTCTGTCCAAACAGGCTGTAAAACAGCTGCAGTACATTCAAAATGCAGCAGCTCGAGTCCTGACTAGAACCAGGAAGTACGACCACATTAGTCCAGTCCTCAGGTCTCTGCACTGGCTTCCTGTGGCTCAGAGAATAGACTTTAAAACAGCTCTGCTTGTGTACAAGTCTCTCCATGGCCTCGCACCAAAATATATTAGTGACATGTTAGTCCCATATGAACCAGCCCGGACTCTGAGGAGCACAGGGACTGGACTCCTGTTAGTGCCCAGAGTCAGAACTAAACATGGGGAGGCTGCTTTTCAGATTCATGCTGCTAAAATCTGGAACAATCTTCCTGAAGATGTGAGACAGGCCTCCTCTCTGACAATGTTTAAAACCAAGTAAAAAACAGTGCTGTTCAGCTGTGCATACAACTGAGGGATTTTATATTTTTATCTTTCGTTTTAATGTTCTGTGATTATTTATGACTTTAATGCTATCTTGTTCAGCACTTTGAGTTGCCTTGTGTATGAATTGTGCTATACAAATAAACTTGCCTTGCCTACAAAAGCATTGGATAATTCTATTTCTGGGTCCACATTGGTGAAAAGGCCATTACATTGAAGGGATTAAAAGTATTAAAAAGCTTATTTGACTGGACCAGACATAGAGCTACTACTATGTAATGCATCAGGCAGTTTCATACTAAAAACCAATCCATAACTAGTCTCAAACATAATGCTACGATCGCACAGCAGTGTTTAACCATTGTGAGGGACATTGAACAGTGATTGGTGACAAAGCTGTATCAGTGTAATTCTGTTTTGTTTCTGAATGCAAACTATGTTATTAATGATGTTTTGTTTTCATGCAACCGTGCTAGTTATCGCAGGTAAACAATTTCTTCTTATATTGCATGTTTTTTATCTTATCATATATTTTATGAATTTATAAACTGTTCTTTGTCTGTATTATGTTTTTAATGTTAATGTGGATGAAATGATTACATTTAGTTTGAACAAAGTCTTGTCTTTGCTCACAACTGTTTTTTTTTTTTAGACTGGCAAGAGGATCAGTCTGACAATCAGTCTGATTACTCTGTGGCCTCGGAGGAGGGAGACGAAGACTTTGACGAACGCACTGAAGGTAATTACCTCTCTCTCTCTCTCTCTCTCTCTCTCTCTCTCTCTCTCTCTCTCTCTCTCTGATACACTCTGATACAAGGTGTAGAATGCACCTTGTATTTGACACTGACCCAGTAGGTGGAGCGAACCAAAACCAAATCAGTTGGCCTTAACCAACCTTATCCAAAAAGTATGAACACAGACATGTTTTCAATTGTGACATATTCAATATGAAAGACTATGGCTCCATCTATCGTTACTAAATCACTAACCCTTGGCCCCTTCTCAGAGACAGAGGACAGCTATGATATGCAGAGGGACATCCTCTTCGTGTCAGGGAAGAGCAACTGTTTGTGCGCCATATGTGTTGCACGCAGAGAGGAAGGAGGTAAAAGAAAAGAGGAGAAAAGAAAGAGACGAGAGATCTCGATAAAGGTGAAACAGAAGAGAAGAGAGAGGATCAAAGATCTGTTGAAAAAGAAAAAAGAGGAAAGAAAAATGTTACGGAAAATAAAGAAGGAAAAAGAAAGAGAGAAAGCTCAAGGAAAGAAAAACGAAAGAGAGGAGAGAGAAAAGGTACGTGAGATAAAGAAGGAAAAGAAAAGAGAGAAAGCTCAAAGAATGAAAAAAGAAAGAGAGGAGAGAGAAAAGGTACGGAAGATAAAGAAGGAAAAGAAAAGAGAGAAAGCTCAAAGAATGAAAAAAGAAAGAGAGGAGAGAGAAAAGGTACGGAAGATAAAGAAGGAAAAAAAGGCTCAAGAAAAGATAGCAAAGGAAAAAGAGAGAGAACAGGCACAAATGTTGAAGACAGAACTGGAGGAAAGAGAACTGTCTCAAGAAAGGATGACAAAGGAACAAATGGACAGAGAAAAGAGACTAATTATGAAGTCAACAGAGGAAAGAAAGAAGGCTAAAGCAATGAGGAAAAGGAAGGCAGAGAAGCTCAGTAAGCAGAGGCTGCTTCTAGAATGGGGTTGGGCGGTGAAAATGGGGAAAACTGAATGAGTGTTTCATCTGTGCATGTATTCACTTTCATTTTTATTTTTGTTTATTTATTTTATCTATTTTTATTCTTGTTATTATTATTTTCATGCAAATTGCTCAGGTCTGTTTATAAAGTTATTGTGTCAAAGGTTGCATTCAGTTGAACACGATGGTGAAGGGCAGGTATAAATCCTATCTTTTTATTTACTGGAATGTTCCAGAAAGTTATAGTTTAGCAATATTCAATCTTATTGACATCGCAAATGTCTGACCCCTGCCCTAAACCTAACAGTGTTGTATAATGAAACTCTTGAAGGTGAAAAAACTATTTCAATATTCCATATTTCTTTGCTGTTCTAAGGAAGTTGTTCTAAGTACTTTTCATTTGTTTTGTACTCCATATTAAATTATGTATTCTATATAATTAATAATGTATTCATTATTATATTTATATAATCGTTCAGTTGTGATTGTAATCACTTATTTCTCAAGAAATTAGACTAATTTAATTTGATGCTGTGAGAATTTGAGAAGAAGCAACAGTGGTAAGTCCATCCTCATCAAACACATCAGGACAACATGTGCAGTTTATGAGCTCATCTAAACACCTGCCTGTCTGCTTTCCCTCTTTATCTTAGCTAACGCTCGCAGACCGAGCCGCAAAGGGCTTCGGAATGACCGTGACAAACCTCTCCCTCCACTTTTGGCGAGAGTTGGAGGAAATATTGAAGTGAGTATGAGAATGTATGGACATCTTTTCCCCCTGATTGACTTTATTACATTTATCTGTTTTTATGTTCTCCAGGTACTGGGCTTCAATGCTCGTCAACGTAAGGCCTTCCTCAATGCAGTGATGAGATACGGGATGCCTCCTCAAGATGCTTTCACAAACCAGTGGCTTGTCCGAGATCTCCGGGGGAAGTCTGAGAAAGAATTCAAGTGAGTTTCCCTCTAAAGAGAATGATTCTGGTTTTATCTGGATTTTTAAACAGTATAACGATTATGAGAAACATTTGCTTTGTTTTCAAGGATGTTTTGGAATTGTGTTAATTTAGTGAAAACCAACCAGTGAACAAAAGAAGATATTGAGGGTGCGTTCCTCTAGTTGTTTAAATGAAGTCTGCTTCACATGGGACTAATTATGTTTATGGAGAGCACCATGCAAGTGTTTATGAGTCCATAGAAGTCTGTTCAGAAACTGTCAGATCTGGACTTGTTGAGGACTCTTGCATTTGATTCTGAAGTTAACTGAGTTGACCATTGAGTGTGAACGTGCCCTTGTTGACATTGGCTGGTATGGCGTAGACCTTGGCAGGAATATCACTTGACGTATGCAGGAACGAAGAGAGCTGTCCCACTGTGGAGGAGGTGATGAGAGGAGAGAAGGAAGAAGGAAAAAGCATGAGCTGAAGGCAGGAGAGATAGTGCCCACAGAGGAAACTGAGGATTCCAGTCTTTTCAGAGTTCATCCTGGCCTCCTGGTCTTCATCTATTAAAACCATAGTAGTTTCTGTTACTGAAACCTGTTCTTCTCCTTTGTGTAGGGCCTATGTGTCTCTATTCATGCGTCACCTGTGTGAGCCTGGGGCCGACGGAGCTGAGACCTTTGCAGATGGAGTCCCTCGTGAGGGTTTGTCCAGACAGCACGTGCTCACTCGCATCGGAGTCATGTCACTTATTAGGAAGAAGGTTTGTTTTGTTTTGTGGTTTAGTGCCATTAATTTGAAAGTAGTTGTAAGAGTAGTGTTCATGGTGAATGCGCAGGTGCAGGAGTTCGAGCACGTGAACGGACAGTGGTCCATGCCCTGGATGGCAGAGCTGGAGGAGAACAAGCGAGCAGCTGCTTTAGCTGCTGGAGAAGACCCCAAGACGCCCTCATCAGGGACCCCCGCGGACACACAGCCCAACACCCCCATCCCAGGTACTGCTTTGGATGCAAATCTACCTCACTTTCAAATCAAACATTAGCTTATAATGTATATTTTCAAGGGAGTACATAAACAGCATTGTACGAGTTTGCATTATTAATATTATATTTTGACACACAAGAATCCCTCTAAAATTACGATTAGAGTGTAATTTAATAGGTAGATAAAATGCACATATATATTTTTTTTTTTTTACAGAGGATTTGTCGAAAGCTGACGACAAGGACGACATTAAAAAGGAGGGAGAGGACGGAAAAGTGACAAAAAAGTCTGATGATACAGATGTAAGTCTAAGTTTTAAACTATAAATTATACATTATAATGGAATTGAATTGTCATTTTATTGATCATTTACAGATAATTGAAATCCCAGACGAGTCAGACAAATCCTCCTCTAGCGGCAGAAAAGAGAGTGAAGACGAGACGAGAGACGAGAAGGAAAAGGACAGTATAGAGTATGCGGAGAAAGAGATAGAGCAGAAGGAGGAGGAGACGCCAGAGCTGAAGACAGACGAGGCTAAAGCAGATCCAGCGAGCAAAGGTTTGTGACATCAACTCAAGTATTTTTTGTCTATGCCACATTTTTGCTGACTGAAACTAAATTAAAGTGATCATAAAGATGGGAATTTTTGGTAAAACGTGAAAAATAACCAAAAACTAGAATATGTGTTAGTTTGTTTAGGCTAAATCTAACTTTCACCAGAGTCTAAAACTAAAACTACTATGGCAAGGCAAGGCAAAGCAAGTTTATTTATATAGCACAATTCATACACAAGGCAATTCAAAGTGCTGAACAAAACAAAGCATTAAAATCATAAATTATCACAGAACATTAAAAAGAAAGATAAAAATATAAAATCCCTCAGTTGTATGCACAGTTAAACAGAACTGTCTTTAACCTGGTTTTAAACATTGTCAGAGAGGAGGCCTGTCTCACATCTTCAGGAAGACTGTTCCAGATTTTAGCAGCATGAATCTGAAAAGCAGCCTCCCCATGTTTAGTTCTGACTCTGGGCACTAACAGGAGTCCAGTCCCTGTGCTCCTCAGAGTCCGGGCTGGTTCATATGGGACTAACATGTCACTAATATATTTTGGTGCGAGGCCATGGAGAGACTTGTACACAAGCAGAGCTGTTTTAAAGTCTATTCTCTGAGCCACAGGAAGCCAGTGCATAGACCTGAGAACTGGACTAATATGGTCGTACTTCCTGGTTCTAGTCAGGACTCGAGCTGCTGCATTTTGAATGTACTGCAGCTGTTTTACAGCCTGTTTGGACAGACCTGTGAGCAGGCCATTGCAGTAGTCTAACCTACTGGAGACAAATGCATGGATAAGAATCTCCAAGTCTGCTTTAGACACTATGTTTTTGATCCTGGCAATGTTTTTTAGAAGGTAAAAAGCTGCTGATGTTACTGATTTGATGTGGCTATTAAAATTTAAGGCTGAGTCCAGTATTACCCCTAGATTTCTGACCTTGTTTGAAGGTTTTAGGGAGAGAGACTGTAGGTGACAGATGACGCTCTCTCTTTGTTTCTGGGGACCAAAGACAATCATTTCAGTTTTGTCTGCGTTTAGCTGAAGGAAGTTGTTTTGCATCCACTCACTGATCTGTTGGATACAGTGAAGGAGTGAGTCCACTGGTCCATGTTCTCCTGCAGTCAGTGAGACATAGATCTGAGTGTCGTCTGCATAGTTATGATAGGAAACTTCGTTTCTGCGTATTAACTGACCTAACGGCAGCATGTAGAGATTGAACAGAAGAGGTCCCAGGATCGACCCCTGTGGGACTCCACAGGTCAGGGCCATATGATCTGAGACACAGTTTCCAATCTCCACAAAGTACTTCCTGTCTTCAAGGTAAGACCCAAACCAACTTAAGCCTGGTTCACACGAGACGATTTTAAAATTGTCGGCCGATTTTTCTCCGTGTTAGACCCCACACGGGGAGATAAAAAATCCTGCGTCTAACCACTTTGGTCGTGCAGTGTGTGGTGCGTAGCCACACGGCAAGATCACGCAAGCCACAAACATCACACACAAACCGAGTTTGGAGGAGCTCAAACTGGAGATTATCTCTTGGACAGTTTTATCATTTACAGGTGCAAAGTGAGTTAGCTCAGAGAGCCTTTCTGGCTGTTGGATGGTTATCTGTGGATTGGAGACAATGGCGTTTTTGATGCCTTGAACCTTGTCATTGAAAAATTTAGCAAACTCATTGCATTTACGTTTGGAAGTAAGCTCTAATGGCATTTGAACAGGGGGGTTTGTTAATCTATTAACTGTTGAGAACAGAACACGCAGATTGTTGCTGCAGCCTTCAATCATTTCAGAAAAATACCTTTCTCTCGCACTACGTAGCACCCGGTTAAACTCGCACAACTTATCTTTGAAGATCTCGTAATCAACCTGGAGGTTGGACTTGCGCCACTTCCGCTCGGCCCTCCGGCACTTTCTCTTTTGTGCCCTGACCGAGTCTGCTTTAGCCCACGGCGCCTTCTGCTTATTTTTCACTATTTTAACCTTCACAGGGGCAACGGTATCCAGAACATTCAAAACACTAGAGGTGACAGAGTTAAACAGTTCATCTACAGTAGAATACGATGCATTCTCAAAGTTTATCATTCCCATAAATAGTTCACTCGTATTTTCATTTATGCGCCTTCTTCGAACAGTTGCAGAGTCCACTGGTGGTTTGTTAGTGAAACACATGTCAAAAAAAACACAGAAATGATCCGAAAGAGCAACATCGACCACGTTTACATTTGAAATATTCACCCCCTTTGTAACTAACAGATCTAGAGTGTGCCCTCTGCTGTGGGTGGGGCCACTTACGTGCTGAGTGAGATCAAAGGATTCAAGTACAGAACTCAGCTCATTTGCATTTCTGTCATCAACATTATCCACATGAATATTAAAATCACCTGAAATAACCAAACTATCAAAATCTGTGCATACAACTGAAAGCAACTCGGTAAAATTATCAATAAAACTGTGACATGACTGCGGTGGCTTGTATAGGACAATGAAGAGTATTGGAGGAGATTGTTTTTGTTGTATTTTAAAAGACACATATTCAAATGACGAAAACTTCCCAAGAGACATTCTATGGGAGACAAAGTGGTCTCTAAAAATGGCAGCTAAGCCTCCTCCTTTTTTGTTTTCCCGTATTTCAGATTCAAACTTGAAATTTGGTGGTGATGCTTCTATTAAAACTGCATTTTCTGAATTTTGGTCAAGCCAAGTTTCAGCCATGAACATAAGATCAAGATTATGAGAACAAATAAAATTATTGATTAAAAAAGACTTGTTACAAAGAGATCTGACATTAAGCGTAGCAAGTTTCAAAGTAGGGATGTAAAAAACTATGAATTTTCATGACCGACCACCGAGCCTCATTAACCGGTTGAGACCGGTTAACCGCGTAGTTTAAAATAGTCCACGTTCTTTGAAATAACAGCCATTTCGAGCCGCGTACTTTTCATAAGTGCAGCTCTGCGTTCTACTGGATCAGAGTTGAGACAGCGGCGCCAAAACCCACAACAGCTCCGGCACCTTTGCGCACAGAGAACTGCTTTTTTAATCTTCCCATTCTGCTGTGCTGCGGGTTAATACCAAAACTTTCTAGCAGCAAACGACGGCTCGTTCACATGGTCAGAGCAGCGAGTAACGAGCCGCGTCTCACAGGTCTTCACAAAAGTTTAAATACAAGTGATGTGTGTGGAGCTGATCCCGAGGACCATAAACACAAACATGTTCCATGTGGTTTGACTGGAGCCACGTATTTGAGGATCCTTTGGGCTGTGTGACACAGAGGAGCGCGACAGACCGGTATGTGTGTGTGTATGTGTGTATATGTGTATGTGTGTATGTATGTATATGTGTGTGTGTGTAAATGTAAGCTCCAATGTAGTTCTGACCCGCGCCAGTGTGCAACTTTGACGGTGACAGAGGGGAGAGATGATGCGTGTGGATGTTACGTATGGAGAGGGGGAAAGTGTGTGTGTGTGTGTATGTGTGTGTGCGCGTGTGTGTGTGTGTGTGTGAGGGCGTGTGTGCATATGTGGCTCGTGTGGCGTGAGAGTCGTCCCGGAGTTTATAATACATGGGCGCACACAGCCAGATATGGACCCGCTCGTCACACCGTGCAAATAGGGCTTAAAATAGCGTTATTAAGAGACCTCCCCTCTCCCCTTTTTCTCTTTTTTAACCGACAGCTTTGACCGGTTAACGCTGTGACGGTCAACCACCGGTTAACCGGTCGCCGATTTACATCCCTATTTCAAAGTTTCAGTATCAGCGGTTGCGGTCGGCTGATTCTTACACGGAACAAGAATTAGATTTTCCAGATTAGACTGATTAACTCCAGATGTTTTTCTGTAATGTATTCTTTGTGTTATCACTAAGGGAATGGCACAGGTGGCTTCATGACAGGGCCCCAGCCGGGTCTCTCCTCTAACTAGACTGCCAGTGGCTGCGAAGCAGAGACCCTGTGCATCCTAGTGTTTAGAGAAAAGAGGGGAAGGGGAAGGCAGGGGAGGAGGATGGAGAGGTGGGTGGCTTTTGGGTGTTGAACGAGGGGGGCAGGGAGGTGGAGGGGTTTTAGGTGATGGGTTAGGGCCGGGGTGGGCTGAGGCAGAGGTTTTGGATGTTGAACGAGGGGGAAGTGGGGGTGGAATGGTCATGAGGTTAGGGGAGGGACTCGCTGAGGTGGTTTTTGTAGGTGAATTGGAAACCCTAGGTGGTTTGAGGTACATATGGGGAGTGGTTTAGCATGTTGGACAGGACTCTAGATCGAGCTAATATAGGTGTGAGAGGAATAGTCTTCATGGCCGATTTTATTAGCCCTGCAGAGTGTTCAGGTAGCTCTAACAGTGAAGGCGGGGATGAAAAACAAAGGGAGGTGTCCCCATTCTCTCTTGATGGAGTGGACGTGGCAGGGGGGACCCAAGACAGGTCCATGGGAGGTGGCGAGGGAGTCTTTGATGGAGGGGCAGGTGGTTGAGGAAACCCCAGCACAGGCCTGTCTGCTGTAGGCTGGGGTGAGGATGGGGGCTTCAGAGGCGCTGTAGATGAAGAAGGCGTGGCTGCTTTGGAGCAGGCTGGGGATGAGGATGTTGGTGGTGGTGGTCGTGCTGCTGGTGCTGCTACTGGTGATGATGCAGCTGCATCTGATGACAGTGGAGGTGTTGAGATCCTTTGAGGCGGTGATGGTGTTGAGATCCTTTGAGGCTATGTAACTTAAGTAAACTTAACATCTTATTTTAAAACGTTTTTATTCAGAATTCTATTGAGTAAATGAAAAAGTTAGTAAGTAGATAAGATAAGTAGGGCCGGAACTTTAACGAGTTAATTACGATTAATTAACGCCACAAAAATTAGCGTGTTAAAAGAATTGACGCATTTTCATCGCATGTGTATTTTCAACCGCGGAACGTTCCTCACTGGAGGATGAGTTTCAGACGGATCGATTATACTGGAGCGCCAACTGAGCTCCGTGACTTTTCTTGCTCAAAAGTACATTATAACAAGCAGAGACCAACTTTAGCGGTGTCTAAATCTGAGTGAATTAGAGACGCGAAAGAGCGCTGTGTATGGAGCTATGGACTCTGTGAGAGGAGGAGGAGCAGCAGCGAGCGACTCCTGTGAGCGAAGGCCAAGGAGGCGGAGGAGGAGGTGTGCGAGCTGCTCTTGCTGATGTTTTAGTTCTAATGCACACATCAAAAACGTATTATAAGCTTTAGTGCTCATTTTGAGTGTAGTGGATTTTGGGCTTAAGAAGCGTGTGTTGTGGACAGAGTTTGTGGAAGAGGAGGTCAGAGTATGTGGAGGCGATGACAGATACGTTATTTGATGGGAAAGAAGTCCGTCTGATCATCCACAATGAACATGTGTTGCTTAAGCTTATGGATTCAGTCATTATTCAACGGTAAACTAAAAATCCATGTGAAAAAAAATTACTTCTCATTGTTCTCAGGACAAATATTGATATGCAATTAAAATGCGATTAATTGCAATTAATTAATCACAAAGCCTCTAATTATTTAGATTTTTTTTTTTTTGAGTCCCAGCCCTAAAGATAAGATAAGATTGACTTTATTGATCAATCAATCACATTTTATTTATAAAGCGCTTTTCATACAAAAGATGCAACACAAAGTGCTTTACAGTTAAAAACAATCCCGCCAGCCCATGACCCCTCCCCCCGACCACCCAACAGACCCAACAGACCCACCCAAAACCACATACGCAGACAAACACACACAGACAAACTCATGCCTTCTCACACACCCACACACACACGCTCTCATGAACACTCTCACACACACACACGCTCTCATGAACACTCTCTCACACACACACTCTCATGAACACTCTCATACACACACACTCTCATGAACACTCACACACACACACACACACACACGCACCAGTAAAACAGTAAAACAATTATGAGAGACTTGGGAGGGTTCAGATGTAACCAGGTAGACTGCAACTTGAAGGTAGACTTGATAATGATTTGTACTTTGATTTCAATACTTGAATAGATTCTAACTTTTTCCCTCTCATTGGTTCTATTCTTCAGCTGAGGAAGGAAAAGAAGAAAAGATGGATACAGACGAGACTAAAGGTAAATGTCATTTGAAAAATAGCTTAATAGATTTATTCAGAGAATAAATATTGTTTTTCTCACAGAGCCAAAGGAGGAAAAGGAATCTCCGAAACATGAGGACTCGGACAAACTTCAGAACGGAGAAAACACCAAAGATGGAGTGATGTCAGCGGCGACGGCTCTGGTCAACATCAGCGAGGAAAAGAAGAAGGCCACAAAACAACGGTTTATGTTCAACATCGCGGACGGAGGTTTCACAGGTACAGGACATTTACACACTAGTAAAGCTGCAATTTCTAGAAGGGACAAACCATGATCCATTTAGCTTCTATGTTGATCCTGGTGTACTCACATATGGAATATTAGGCATATAACCTACACATGACCGACACATGACCTTCACATGTCCGACACATGACCCACACATGATCGACACATGACCAACACATGACCTTCACATGACCTACACATGACCGACACATGACCTTCACATGACCAACACATGTCCGACACATGACCGACACATGTCCGACACATGACCAACACATGTCCGACACATGACCTACACATGACCTACACATGTCCGACACATGACCTAGACATAATCGACACATGACCTAGACATAATCGACACATGACCTACACATGACCGACACATGACCTACACATGACCTACACATAATCGAGACATGACCTACACATGTCCGACACATGACCTACACATGTCCGACACATGACCTACACATGACCGACACATGACCTACACATAATCGACACATGACCTACACATAATCAACACATGACCTACACATGTCATCATTGTCTAAACACTTTGTTTTGCAGAGCTCCATTCCCTTTGGCAAAACGAAGAGCGGGCAGCAACAGTCACAAAAAAGACGTTTGAGATTTGGCATCGTCGCCATGACTACTGGCTCTTGGCTGGCATTATACAGTATCCTTTTAGTTCTTGTTGGGTGTCATTATCACAACGCACGAATAACGAAAACATTATAATCCAGAAGGTTGTTCTAGCCCTTGACCAAGTGCTTCAGACACGGTTATGCTCGGTGGCAGGACGTTCAGAACGACGTGAGATACGCCATCCTCAACGAGCCGTTCAAAGGAGAGATGAGCAGAGGCAACTTCCTGGAGATCAAGAACAAGTTTCTGGCTCGGCGGTTTAAGGTGGGACATATTTCAATGCTTCGTCATTCATAATTATGCTCCTACTTGTCCTGGTTTTTTATATCCTGATGTCGACTTTGATTAGTCCTGGGTGATATAGACAGATGTCAGTTGCACCCTCTCCCTTCTCCCTTCTCTAACTGCAAGATAAAACTTACATGTGCACCTTAGTGTTCTTATTGTACATACACTGTAGGTTTAATGCCCCTTGAACCAGATTACAAACAACACTAATTTTGACCTTCTTTGTATTGGATTAATGTTTCAATGGAAACATATTTAATTAGGATCCACCTATACAGCACTGGCATTGAAAATTGGTGCCGGTATTGGATCGGTGGGTTGGATCTCGGTTCTATAATATTTCTACTGCTGTAATGATACGTCATAGTTTTTAACCCTGTTAACCAACATTTTTATTTTTATTAAAAGGTGGGATTTGTGGTGTACAATGCTATTTCCAGTCCCTTGAGATATTTCTGCATGTGGGTATCTGCAGATATTAAAAGCCATAGTATCTGCATCAGTATGGGACATGAAAATGCTGAATTGGTAAATCCTTATTTTAACAAAATAGTTAAAGGTCTAGTATAGGTCTAATCTATGCGTAAACTCTGGTCAATTATAATTTCCAAATGAAATGTGTACAATGGTGTGGTAAGACCAGGCTATGACTAATCCTGAACTCCATCTTTCACATGGACCTAGCCAGAGAGTAAACTACAGCAACAAGCACTAAACCACTGGTTGTGTGACTCAACCAGTGTAAGTAAAGTATGAACAGTTAAAAACACTATCTGTATCTTTGCTTTGCAGTTATTGGAGCAGGCGCTGGTGATTGAGGAGCAGCTACGTAGAGCCGCGTATCTGAACATGACAGAGGACCCCGCGCACCCCTCCATGGCTCTGAACACCCGCTTCAGTGAAGTCGAGTGTCTGGCGGAGTCCCATCAGCATCTGAGCAAAGAGTCCATGTCTGGGAACAAGCCGGCCAACGCTGTCCTACACAAAGGTACCACACGGGGGTAATGCAGGATTATATTACACTAACAGGGCGGAAGGGCTTTGAACCAGTGATAGTCTCAATGAACCACTTCACGCCAAGACATTACATTCATAATAAAAAAATATAGATTATAATCTCCTGTGGAGTCATGTAGCGTCACATTTATGAAACAGCAGTATAGTACAAACTATTCAGTCAATATAGTTTCTGTTATGTTAGGCCCTTGTTTAACTGGCTGTGCAAATAAATATTCCTTTTCCTCAAAGTATAATGAGTATAATCTCGTTTTGATTTGATGGTTTTAAAGTTCATGTTTATTGGACAACAAAGCAATCCTAAGACAGTGGGGGGAAAAGAAGCAAAGACATTCATGCCTTCTCCAAGCAGACCAGCAGACGGAGGTGTGGATCACCTGTCCAAGGATTCAAATAAAAGATGTTTGTCATCTTCTCAAGATAATAATTAACTCAGCTGTTCAGAGATCCCGCAACAAGTTCAACACTATTCAGTTCCAAAGAAGCCATATCAAACTATTTTATGACTATCCTCTAATATAATGTCTATTAGAGAACTTTTATACATGCAAACACACAAAATATGATTCTATAGATTATTTTCCCTCCATATTCTGTGCTGCTAATCTACTGCTCAAACCACAGCTGCTCTGGGGTGGGCCGATGGAACCAGGACACTCTGTGCTCCGGACTGAAGTGCCTTTTGTAAGGACGCAACAACAGTTTGCATTTGTCAGAGCTGGAATGCAAGAGGAGCAATTAGAACACAGGGCAATTCTAACAAGGATTTAACAATGTACAACATAATCTCTTTTTAGTTGCTTTTGGATCAACCATGAGTTTCTATTCCATTGTATGTTATGTCTTTGTGAGAGTCTAATTCTCGGTTCCACCCCCTATTTGACTCACAAATGTCCCAAGAATATTGTTGACCAACACAGAATTAAACAAATTCACTTTTATTATTAAATAAAACGATGATATGTTCTTTTCCTTAGTTCTCAAACAACTGGAGGAGTTGCTGAGTGACATGAAAGCAGACGTGACGCGTCTCCCGGCGACCATCGCCAGGATACCCCCAGTGGCTGTGCGCCTTCAAATGTCAGAGCGCAACATCCTGAGCCGGTTAGCGAGCCGTGGCCCTGATGTGACTGGCCAGGGCCAGGTGCAGGTGTCGCGCTGAACTCTTGGACTCTAAGGACCTTTTCTACTGTCGATTTGTTCAGAAAATCCAAGTCAGTCCAGAGCCACAACCTTCGAACTCAGCATCAGAGACGAGCCGCTGGATTCAGACACAGGACTGAGGCCAAACTTCAGGCCGCAAAAAGCTCTAAGCACCACGGACCTCTCTGTTTTCTGTCATGTTTACTGTTAACGCAGTGGGACTAAGCCAGGACCTAAACTAGAATCAAACCAAAACTACAGTAAGTACTACTAAAAACTTAAAAACTTAGGAGTACAAAACAAATATGAGCAAGTTCAAAACACCATGATACTAGGACTAAGGAAGTTGCAAACTGGATCACACCTGGTCTAAACAGGATCAAACAACTTAACCATGTACTAAATGAGGACAAAACAGGTCTAAACTGGGAGTAAACCCAGACTAAAGATGGACCTTGTTTATAGACTGAATCTGTTGAGCCTCACTATGTTTCAAACTGGAAACAAGCTTGGACGCCATGGCAACATTCAGCACCAGGGTCAAATGTGTGTAAGTATAAAGAGGCCGAAGTCAAACACGCAGCATGTTGGAGTTTATTGACTTGGAGCAAGTTTTTATGTCTCATTTATGGTCCTTACATGTAGTTTATCTCTGTAGATGAGGGGGCAAAGGGCACATCGGTACACAGGGATTTTACGTCACTTTGTCCCATAGACGTCAGTGTCGTCATCCACACCAGGGCTGCTCAGCTACAAATACAAGAACACAACATGGGTCAAATTGCAATAGAATATATCACTTTTTAAGAAATGAGTTATTATTATTAAATGTGTAAATGCCTTAATTGTTTATTCAAACTTTGTTCAAAACCAAGATCAAAGTAAAGTGCTTGATGTCTAGTTATTTAAAGCTCTGTCCATATTTTTTAAAACTACATAATAGGTTTATATAGCTTCTGTTTCTGCCACTTTCGTAACAGTCAGCTCTGTAGATCAAGGGTTTCCAACCTTTATCCCGGGAGAGCTATTTTAGAAATGGAGTTGATAAAATGGGGAGCCTTAGATACAGTACAGTTAGATGCCCATGAAAAAAACTATTCATCCATATATTATTGAACAAGGTTATAGTCTGCATTTACAATAGCTGTTGCATATTCTCGGATTATTAGTCCATTCTTAATCCTTTGGGGAGCTACCGGCAAAGGGGTGTGGGATACAGGTTGGAGACCATTGCCTTAAATAATGCAGCCCGAGTCCAGTCCATCCTCAGTTCTAAAAGGCCCTCAGACCTTCAACATTCCTTGTACATTGTTGCTCCGTCACAAAGTTCTTCTCTGTGATTCAAATGTGTTGCTTTAAAGCTTCCAACTAGAATATATGATGGCAATCCGGTTTATTTAATTTGTCGATGTCTGTTGCATTACTTTGAATTGTAATTAATGTTGATTTTATCATTGATGTTTGTTTCATGGGCCCCAATAAATGGTCATCAATTTTACAAGTTTACGTTTGTTTCTTCTTTACTTTGGTGATTTTAAACTGACCATTTCAATATATGTGTGAAATAACTATTGTCAAACATGTTTCCTCTTAAATGGCAAGATTTGGTCTCTACTCCGCCATGTCACGTGTGACATGGCGGAGTAGAGCGCGTCCAAAACTGAAGCTCCCCTGTGCTTGCTTTAAAACTCTTAGCGACTTGAATTTCTGCAACATTTTTTTTTTTTACCTTTTGAACAATACCTTTCTCATTTGTGAACACTCGTCCCAAAAGTTCAATGAGAAAGTCAACAATGCAATCGGAATCGGCCTCGTATCAAACACCTGTCACTGAGGCCTATCTTGAGGACTTACTCAGGAAGTTTTTCAATGAGGCGGAGAATCGATCTCAAAAGCGATTTGAGCGATTGGAGGATCAACTTGGCGCAATTCAAGAAACTTTATCCAAGCATGCTGCGGATATTGAATCTCAGCGCACTGAAGTGGCTTCTATAAAGACACGCGTCCTGAGCAATGAGGACACTATCCTCAGTCTCACCAACACGCTCACACAGATGGAGAAAAAAGTGACAGATCTCGAGGACAGAAGCAGGAGAGATAATATACGAATCATCAACATCAATGAAGGCGAAGAAGGAAACAACGCGCTCTCTTACCTATCCGCAAACATCCCAAAGTGGTTCCCGTCCCTGGCTGCAAATCCTCCTGACCTCATGCGGGCCCATCGGATCGGCCCCTCGCGCCAATCTCCCCGTCCCAGGGCGATGATCGTGAAATGCCTGCGGTTCACGGATAAGGACCGCATTCTGAATGAGGCTCGGAAAGCTCCTCTTCAACTCTCCGGGAACACCGTCCGCTTTGCCCCGGACTACAGTGATGCGACGGCCAAGCTGAGACGACCCTGTTATCCATCATGTACACCGCTCGGAAAGCTGGCTTTGAAGCGTTCCTCCTATATATCCAGCTAAAATCAAACTTTCCAAAGGATCCCAACATCACTTCTTTGATAATCCAGCAGAGGCTGAAAAGTTCATCTCCGCAGCTCGTAAACTCTGATGCTCTTCAGACAGCCTCACAGAATGTGACATGTACATTCCGACATTCCGACATGTTCGGTAAGACTATTTTTGTTTGTTGTTTTTCCTTCAGTAAGACTCTCTCTGTTTTTGCGTCTCTGTGCTGGAGACATGAATGGATCTGTTTACTTCCTGAGTTACTGACGCGTCATGGTGCCACGTGATTGTTTTCGTTTTCCTAAACTTCAATATTTGTTTTCGTTATAGATGATATAAGAGTTTTTGTTTTTTGCTGTTATCGAATTGAGCCTACATAAATGGTGTGATGAATGAGAATTATTTGGATACTTATCTATTTTTTTATTTTTATTTTTTACTTTTTGCATAATAAATTCTTATACTTACCACGTCTTTTCTTATATTGATATACATCCAATATATATCGAGATATGTTTTGTTATTATCACCTTTTCTTCGTCTTTTCTGCTATCGGATATTAAGAAGCTCTTGGGGGGAGTTTCTTGTTTTGTTTTTTGTTTTGTCTTGTTTTCTTAATGTTTTTTTCATTGCCTGCAGTTTTTGAGTGTGTGTGTATGTTTCTGTGTGTGTGGATGAGAGATTGTTTATGTGTTTGCTTGTATGGTCCAGTTGCTTTGTGCGTGTTTATGTTGTGTGTCTGTGGCTCACAGTCCTTGACCAGCTGCCCTCTTCTCATGTTCACGTTTTTCTCGAAAAAGTCTTAGATGCACAGTTCTGATGAGGAAGTCTCCTCGGATTTTGAGAATTATGACGATTTGAGTATAAATATTCCTAGCTTGGAACAAATGAATGATTTCTCTGATCATGTTATTAATTGCAAGTCTCAGAGTGATATGAATGTAATTGATCCGGATAGCCATATGCTTCATCTCACTGATTGCTTATATTACACTGAAGCTAAATTCAACAGAGAAATCACACTAGACAACAAATTGTCTTTAGTTTCATTTTAACACCAGGAGTTTACTTTCAAATGCTGAGTGCATCCAGGACTTTTTTAAAGCATTTAAAATCCCCTTTTGACATAATAGCTTTCTCTGAGACATGGATTAATGATGATATTGGCAATGATTTTGAAATAAATGGATATGAGATGTTTTGCACAAACAGACAACACAAGCGTGGAGGGGGTGTAGCCTTGTATGTAGATGAAAATATAAATTGTTCAATTATTGAAAATATGTCTTTAGCCATTGAGGAACTCTTTGAATGTGTGACGGTGGAACTGGCAATCCAAAAAAAAGATCAATTATTGTAAGCTGTGTCTACAGGGCTCCTGGTGCCGATTTAAAGTGTTTCACTGAATGGATGGAAAAAACTATTTATTAATAAAACCAAACACATTATCATATGTGGAGATTATAATATTGATTTACTAAATCCCAATAAACATAAATTAACAGAGGAATTTTTTGGACACTATGTTTTCTACTGGTTTATATCCACTCATCACCAGACCCACCAGAATAACATCACACAGCGCGACTTTGATCGACAATATCTTTTGCAATATTTTGGACAATAACACAACCGGTGGCATCTTCATTAATGACATCACTGACCATTTACCCGTTTTCATGATATATGACTTAAACTGTAAAGTAACCTCATCTGCTCAAAATGTACATTACTGTAGAAACATCTCTGAACACTCAATATTGGCTCTACAACATGATCTAGCAACTCAAAATTGGGAATCCATTTACCAAACAACAGATGTAGACACAGCTTACAACTCCTTTCTCCACATATTCACTTCCCTCTATGATAAAAATTGTCCCATCAAATATTCAAAGAAAAAAGACCACACCAATACCCCCTGGGTGACAAAAGGGCTTGCAAATGCTTGCAAAAAGAAAATTATCTATATAGGAAATTTTTTAGAGTTAGAACTATAGAAAATGAATTGAGGTACAAAAAATACAAAAATAAGTTAACCAGTATACTAAGGACAAGCAAAAAAAGACTATTACACAAATTTACTAATTAATAAAAAAAATGATATCAAAGAGATTTGGAAAATATTAAACCCCGTGATTGGTCGAAGCTCTAGCCTGCACTACCCAGAGTATTTTGTGGAGAAGGACACCTATCATCAGTGATAAAGGGATGATTGCAGAGTGTTTTAATGATTTCTTTGTCAGCATGGGCCCTGAACTTGCAAAAAAAAAAAATCCCATCTGACAGTGATCGGGCGAATCAGTTGTTCCAAAATATATTAGAAAAACTATATGATAATAGACTTCGCAACTTTATCTGTCATTTTAATTTACTATCCGATGACCAATACGGCTTTAGAAATAGACGATCAACATCACTTGCCTTAATTGACTTAATTGAAGATATAACGAATGGTATAGATAATAATAAATTTGTAATAGGAATCTTTATCGATCTCCAAAAAGCCTTCGATACAATCGACCACCACATTCTCATAAATAAAATGGAAAACTATGGAATAAGG